GATAGAAGTACTCTGTTAAGTTAAAAGATTACTGCCATTAAAAAGGATCTAGTAAAGATGGAGATAAACTGGCATGTAAAATTACATTAAACGAAGATAAGTCAGTGTTTTGTCTCTCAGCATAACTCAACATATATGATGGAAACTATCGAGCAGAAAACATTTTCCCTAATGTACATACTAACAATGATATTTTAGAAAGAGTCACAGTTACAAAAATTCTTGGAGCTCTCATTGAAGAAAAAGTCACCTGTAAAAAATCACATTAGTTAAGTTACTGGTAAATAAGTAAGAAGAATAGAGAAATACTCTTAAAAATGTATTACACTAAGATCTAGTATGTGTACATCTCCCACTATAACACTGTTTGGGCTAGCACCTTAAACTTAAACAAACTTAATGATATTTAAGTTATCTTAAAGTTTCTACACATAAAACTCAGACTGAGTAAGGGATCCTCACACTAACTAAGACTTTGAGGTTTTGTTCTGTGCTCAGTTAAAAACTACTAAAGAAACTCTAGTTTGTGTGGATTGTGGCTCCCCCTAGTGGAAAAAGCATGTGTCATCATTCAGCTGAGTTTGTCAAGTTAGAGTGATTTCCTTTAACAGTCCCTTCACTGTTTTTTGACCCCAGTTTACAGTATATGCGAAGCAGTGCTTTCTTTATTATTCATTAGCTGCCGTGATTAGCAGAAAGAGAGATCATTTGATTGAATCTTCTTTTAAGATCTTATTTTTTTAAGTCAAAAACAGCTCCTTGGATCAAAGAGCTGGACTCAGGAAACTCAGATCAATCCTGAATCAAAGCAAATGCACCAATAATTCAGCAGCAGCTCCTCACTCATCTTTTGATGATTTAGACATCAGCTCCATGTCCTGCTGCAGCCAAACTCCAAAGTTTTCTTCCAGCAAAACTCCAAATTCTTAATACCAGCCTGACTTGACTTGCCAAACTTGACAGATTATTCAGTTGTCAAGTTTGTCAAGTTTCAGTTGCTGCTGACTACTTTATAAAATGGACTTCACTGGAGGCAGGGTTTGACAGCCAGTCAGCAGGGGGAGCTCTATTAGTTTTGGTTTCATTTTGAGGAAGCTCCTACTTATATAAAGTCTGAGTTTGGTTTGTGTTTACATTGAATTAAGTTTTTTTAGAGTCTATCAAACTGGTTTCCCTGCACTGTCTCTCCACATAGGTAGCCTACAATACACTTTGAGCTGCCATAATTCGCCATCATGTAGGATCTTAGAGTTTTGACATTTGTTTGGATTTTCAGACTGCCTCTCATATCTGTTTGAGTCATGGTTTTCAGAGGACGATCACTGCCGCAAAGGAAAATACAGACCAGAAAAAAGACACATTAAATATGTATAGGTGTAATCACCTATCAAAGTGCACACGGCTTTAATGACATCCCTACAAACCCCCTGTGTACAGAGCTGATGAGATGTTTATTCAAAAGGCTCTGTTAATACCAGATTAATGCAAATAACCCAGCAGCTAATCAAGTCCACACATATTTACCTCAGAACAATCATGTGTTCCCTTCCTCAGGGGAGCAGGGTTACACCAAACTGATTACATTAAACGCTCCAGAGACCGATCACGATCCTTTTAAGAAGGCTCATCAGGGTTTTCAGAGAGCTGTGGTTTAATTTGATTTCACTCCAAAAGAAATAAATACAACAGACACTCCAAGTGAAGACCAGGTTTAAAACCTCTAAAGTGTTATCAGACTGAGAGACCCTGTTCACATTTCGCACATATGGGCAGCAGCACGTAGTGTAGTATATGGAAATCATCTTTTCAGGCTGAGTTTCCACAGCCTGCTGCAGAAGCTTCTTTGCATTTTAGCGTGGAACAGTTTGTTTAGTTCAAACTTAGAATGTGACTCTTTTTGGGTTTTGAGAGAATATAGTTTAACTGGTGTAAACATCGTCCCTCTCTTGATTTTCCTTTAAAAGTCTTGTGCTTAAGAATATCACTTTTTTTTTATTTCTTATATAGATCACAAGTTTAAGTGGATGTGATTTGAGGAGATAAACTCCTAAATTTAATTGTAAATACGCTTTCAACTTTATTTAAACCTTTATTCTATTTCTTAAAAAATCCAATTAAGGGAGATTTCACTGCTTTTCCCCTCAAATCACATGACCATACTAATGTGAAGTGTCCTCTCTCACATGGTGGAACTCCTCATAAAGTTCAGGATTGTGTTTTGTGCAAACTTAAAAGTGAAGTTTGTCTCCACTTTTGGAGCATTTAGGAGCTCCACAGGTTTTTATACATCATTGTCAAAAGCAGTGGCATTCCTGCTTTGTGACATAGGGCATGTTACTGGATCATAGTAAGCACTGTTTTTGAGTTTTTAGTTTTTACCGTACCTATTCAGGGTGATTGTTTGACCCAAATTTTAGTGGAAAGGACCAGGGGCACTTTTTTCAATTTTTGTGTGGGCACTGCCTCAAGAGGACCCAGTTCTACACTTTTGAATCGCTGAAAGGGTGTCAAGAAGGCAGTATGTCTAGTGGAAGGGCACCAAAGGGGCCCTATTCCACCTTACTAAACTACAGGGGAACCAGGAGACAAAATTTCTATAAAAAATCTATATTGAGGGGCATAGAGAGGGTACCTTTTCAACTTATTTTAGGTTTGCAGGGCATCAAGAGGGCACTTTTTAACATTCTGTCCACTGGAAAAGTACCCTGGAACAATATTTTTATCTAACGTTTATTGGAAAGGCTTCCAGAGGGTGCTTTTTCACTCTTTATTAGGTGGAAGGGTGTCTGGATACACTTTTTTCACATTTTTATTCTTGAAGATCACCAAGAAGGCATTATTTTTGTGTTTTATTCATTGACGGGGCATTTAGAAGAGACATTTCTATATTTTTTTGCCCAAATCATTAAGAAGGACAACAGGAGAACAATTTTTCAACTTCTTACATGTTGGAAATGCATTGACAAGTTATGATTTTCATCTTTAAGTACATCCAGGGGGCGCTATCTCAACTGTTTTCTGGAAGAGTATCCAGAAGACAGAATTGACATGTCTACTGAAAGGACGTTGGTTGAGCACTTTTTCCAACTTTTTATGTTGTAATGTCATCTAGAGAGGACGTTTTTTATTCTGTTAACAGAGGGTAGACAGCACTTATTGATTGGAAAGCCATTGACAAGGGTGCTGGAAAAGAGGGTCTGATAGTTGAACCTCGGCTCGAGGAGGAACAATGCGGGTTTCCCCCCGGTCATGGAACGACGGATCAGCTCTTCCCCCTCGCCCGGGTCTTGAGGGGAGATGGGAGTTTGCTCAACCAGTCCACATGTGCTTTGTGGCCTTGTAGAAGGCCTATGACTGAGTACGGAGTGGAGGGTTCCTTATTGAGGGCCGTCCAATCCCTTTACCAAAGGAGCACGACCTTGGTCCATGTAGCCGGCTGTAAGTCGGACTCGTTTCCAATAAGGGTTGGACTCCGCCAGGGCTGCCCTTTGTCACCGGCTCTGTTCATAACCTTTATGGACAGAATTTCTAGGCGCAGCCGGGGGTTGGAGGGTTTCCAGTTTGGCAGGCAGAGGATTGCGTCGCTCCTTTTTGCGGATGATGTGGTTCTTCTAGCTTCGTCGAGCAGTGACCTTCAGCTCTTGCTGGGGCGGTTCGCGGCCGAATGTGAAGTGGCTGGGATGCGAATCAGCACCTCCAAGTCCGAGGCCATGGTCCTTAGTTGGAAAAGGGTAGATTTCTTTCTCCAGGTTGGAGGGGTGGTCCTGCCTCAAGTGGAGGAGTTCAAGTATCTCGGGATCTTGTCCACGACTGAGGGTGGGTCGGGAGATTGACAGGCGGATCGGAGCGGCGTCAGCAGTGATGCGGACGCCGCGCCGATCAGTCGAGACTCGTAAGGTGAGACTCTCGATTTACCGGTCGATCTACGTGCTGACTCTCACCTATGGCCATGAACTGTGGGTAATGACCGAAAGAACAACATCGCGGATACAAGTGGCCGAAATGGGTTTCCTTCACAGGGTGGCCGGGCTCAGCCTTAGAGATAGGATAAGAAGCTCGGACACTCGGGAGGCGCTCAGAGTAAAACCGCTGCTCCTCCACATCGAGAGGAGTCATCTGAGGTGGCATCTGGTTGGATCCCCCCTGGACTGGACGCCTCCCGTTAGAGGTGTTCCAGACATGTCCCACCGGGAGGAGACCTCGTGGCCGGCCCAGGACCAGGTGGAGGGATTATATCTCTCACCTGGCCTGGGAGCGCCTTGGAATCCCCCCGGAGGAGCTGGTGGAAGTGGCTGGAGTGAGGGCTGTCTGGGACATTTTGTTGATGAATTATCAGGTTAAAGTGCATCCAGGTGGTCTATATTGTTGTAAAATCAAACTGGACAAACAACAGTTCCAGGAATCGTGAGAAAGTTTTGTTCCTGCAGAAATGATTTTTTTTTATAGGGTGCACGTGCTCTGCAGAAGTCTCCTTCGGTCTTCTTGTTATTAAAAGTTAAATTCAGCTAAAGGGTGGTGGTTGTGTTTTCATGTTATATATGGACTTTTTCTTTAAAGAATAAGAACATCTGAGTGAGAACTTGCTCTCCCTCCTTCTGCTGAGGGATTGGATGCAGAAAAATTCATTATTCCCTTCACGTCCTGCAGTGGAAGCGGAATCCATTTCGGCTCCCACTCAGCGTATCTTATCTCCCCTCTCATCGCCTAGTCGTGCGTTGCAGTTTTTAATGCATTTTTCTGGGATTTTAAACAATTAATTAAGTTGGTGCAGCCCGTGACGCTAGCAGAATGGGATGCGCTGCCCCAAAAAGTACGCAGCTCCTCAGACGTGCTTATGTTGCATGATACCAGCCCCCCCCCCCCCCCCCCCCCCCCCCCCACACACACACACACACACACACACACACTCACACTCACACACCTCTCTCTCTCTCTCTCTCTCTCTCTCTCTCTCTCTCTCTCTCTGCCTCAGTAAAGGTGACCGGGCAGCTCCGATCTGCGCTCATTATTTACCGTCTACACTCTGAGAGGCTGCGCTGGAGAGACGCTCCTGACGCAGATCTGCTTTGGACCCTGTTGTGACTGCTGGAGTACAGCTGCCGGCGCGGGGGGTGGGTGGGGGGTGTCTGTGTATTGACATGTAAAGTACTGGGTGACGCTTCATGCGCCAACCTTCACTCCTCAGGTGAATCTTCCACACCTACAGGCTGTTTTTGTTTCTCTCACCGCGGCTACAATTGTACCAGGTTTTGTCTTCTCTCACCTCGCCGCTGACGCTTGGATGTTCGTAAAACGACGCGCATGCGTTGCTCTCGGAATAATTTTGCAGCCTAAGTTGCATCTCTGAGATCTTTTTGTGAAAGCAGCTGGCAGGATCAAGAGTTAGTGATGTGGAGGACTCTGGGTCGCGGGTGCTGGGGGGTCTGCTGCTTGTCCCTGCTGGCGACTGTGGTGTGCGGGGCGCAAAGGTGAGAATATCATGTGTCATGTCTGTGTCATACATGATCAACGTGTGGTTTCTTCTCCTGTGAACCTAAATGTGTTTCCCTGCTCAGTGCCAACGAGCCCAGCAACATGTCATACGTGAAAGCCACCGTGGACAAGCTGCTGAAGGGCTATGACATCCGTCTGAGGCCTGATTTTGGAGGTAAAGCCCCCTCCTAGCCTGCTGTGCTCATGCAGCCTTATTAACATGTGCTATGATACTCGCTAACACTCCGCTGTCATGTTTCCCACAGGCGCCCCCGTGGATGTTGGCATGAGCATAGACATAGCCAGTATTGACATGGTGTCTGAAGTCAACATGGTAAGTTTCTCTCCTTCCCCTGTCTCTGAATGCGGAGCAGAGTGACAGACAGAGGCGTCATCCTCCGAAAAAAGAAATATAAAAACAGGCTGCTTTCAAATCGGTGTCAGTCCGGTTCGCCGATGTGCCTGCTGCAGCGCCGCTCCTGAAGGAAGCTAAAAAGATCCCCTCCTCACCTCCTCCTCCTCCTCCCCTCTCCGCTTCCCTTTTCAGCACCATGGAGAGATCCGCAATGTGTCAAAGCCAATCCGTATGCATCAAGTACTTCCCCTGTGGTGTCACAACCGGCAGAGGAAGGGCATTAACAAGACCGAGAGAAGGGGCGTGTGTGTGTGTGTGTGTGTGTGGTGTGGGGGGGGGGGGGGGGGGGGGGGGCGCTTAGTGATTCCACGCACACGTCTGCGGGCTCAGCATGCGTGAAGCGCCTGCGGCAGCAGCAGCGGTCAGGGAACGGACACATGAGAGGACAGACAGGAGGAGGAAGAAGAAGACGTATGTGAGCGAGTTTTGTCGGTATTTTGGCCTCGATGCAGTAATTACATAACGGCTGTCAGTGAGTCAACAGGAGGAGGGAGCCCAGTGGAGCAGAGCGTCTGCAGAATATGATTTGACCACTTAATACAGGCTATCAATGCTGCTGCAGGCTGCACAGGGAATATACACATATCAGTGTTAGCGAAAGGAGCTCTGTGAGGTCATGGCTGTGTGTGTGTCTGTGTGTGTGCTTGCGTGCGTGCGTGTGAGGGAGAAACTTGGGTCAGACATGAGCAACACAGCGAGCTGACTTTCATCCTGGTCATGCTCTGCTGCAGCTTTTCATGCAGACAACTCTGATGAACTGAGCTTCACTTAAAACCCAAACACCATGGGAGTTTGGATATGGTGTGAAATGTTAATAACAGCTGAATTTCATGGTTTTTAAATCATAAAATCAAAATAAAAAGAGGACATATCAGATGTTGAAACTGAACATTTTTAAATTTAGGGTCAGAAACATGTATTTAAAGGTTGTTGCAGGGTTATGCTTAACATGCCTCTTCTATCACAAACACTCTGTAAACTTAAAGTGAACCCAAGAGACTATTTTTCCGGAGTTTGGGAGGTGGAGTGTCGTCCCATTCTTGCCTGATAAAGGATTTCAGCTGCTCAACAGTTCGGGGGCGCATTGTTGTATTTTTCTTTTCAATGGTCAGGACTGCAGACAGACCAGTTTCTCAGCAGGACCCTTCTCCTACAGAGCCATGCTGTTGTAATCCCTGTTGCCGGAATGTGGTTTGTCATGGTCTTGCTGAACTATGAAGGCCTTCACTGAAAAAGTCTTTGTCTGGATGGCAGCAGATGATGCTCCTAAACCTGTAGATATTGTTCAGCATTAATGGAGCCTTCACAGATGTGGGGAAGTACCTCTCATGAGTGATGGATGTAGTGTCCAAGATTTCCGAAAAAAAAAAAAAAAAAGGAAACAGTGAAATTGTGATCTGTCATACTGGAGACAGCTTGTTTCTATCTGGTTTCCTTTTTGTGTGGTTCACTTTTAACCTCATTTTTGGATGCAGTGATAAACTGTGTTCACAGACAATGGTTTGTCAAGATGATTTAGAGCCCATGCAGTGATTTCTACTCCAGAGTCCTGTCTGTTTTTAATGCAGTGCTGCCTGAGGGCCTGAAGATCAGGGCCATTGGGTCTTGGTTTTAGTCCTTGTCCCTTTGGTACAGAGATTTCTCCAGATTCTTTGAATCTTTAAATGATATGATGTTCTGTAGATGATGACATGTTGACATTTGACACTCAGGAACTTTATTCTAAAACTGTTGAACTGGTCGCTCACACAGTCTCTCACAGAGTGGTGAACCTCTTCCCATCTTTCCTTCTGGGAGACTCAGTCTCTCTGAATGTACTTTTTATACCCAGCCATGTTACTAACCTGATGGAAATTCACCTAATCAGTTGGAGATGTTTTTTTTAGCACTAAAAAACTTTTACCTTTTTGTTTTTTCCTCAATAAGAACTTTTTCTAATTACGTTGCTGGTGTCATATCTAAATCGAGCCATGATTTTTTATCAAACTTCAACATTTTTCTGTTTGATACATTACTTTTGCACTATATTTGGTTCCATATAGAGTCTAAATGATTTGAAAACCATCTAATTCTCTTCTAATTGACATGTTCCAGCATATCGACACTCATGGCACTGGTGTTGTTTGTCTGTCTAATTAGCCCCCCTTCTTAGGAGACTTTGCTGCTTTGAAGGAGAGTTTCTTGATCTATATTTAGACTCTCTTTAGATCCACCATGCATCACAGTTACAGATCATTTTAAATGGACCTTTTTCTGCTTTATAGCTGACTCTAGACTGAAAACTATTGAATTTTCACCACATTTTACTTTTGAGTTTTGTACCTAATTGATGTTGAATTATGTTAATTGGCATTTGTCACATGAGCCTGTATCTGAATTAACCTCATCTACACATTAAAGTAGAGTGGAGTTGACTTGTCCCCTATTTTTGACATAATAGCAGGTTCAGGCTTAACCAGTCAGTGGAAACAGGCTACCCTCAACAGGCATCTTCAGGGTGCAGTTCATCCTGTCCTGCCTCGTGTCACTATATCCAAACAGATACAGTGGATCATGGATATAAAGACAATCTCAATCCTAATTGGCTATCGTAGTGCAGTATCATACAACTTCTCCTCCATCCACTGGCTTTAGTTAAAAGTTAAAGCATCAACCAGCACAGGACAAACCCAGAAGTCAGATGCCAAATCAACCCAAAAACAGCTGATTGATTTTCAAAAAAAAATGCACTGTGTTGACATCAGATGGTTTTCCACTTAACTTCATCACCAAATGTCAAACTGGGCGTAGCCAGGCCAAAAGTAAGATGGGCAGAGGTTTTCAGAATTCATCACAGAGGATGTAGAAAGCCAGTGATTCTGTATGTAAAATGAAGTTACGGTGCCCTTTAAGGATGAGAAGCTCCTCTGATGATAAATCTGATCCCCCATTTGACAAGTTTACCATCAATAAAATCTGTGCCCAACAACAATCTCTCTTTTCTTCTTCTTTATCCTTCAACCACACCATTTTTGGCTACTACTCTCCAAACACGAAAGTGCAAATGTTTCAAGTTTGGCTGTTCTTTGCTGCCATAGAAAAATGGCAATGAAAGATGGCAGCCATTTGAAAAAAGGCCTGCTCCACTACAGATATAAAGTCTCACTCTGTTGTTTTTATAATCAGGTGATTTTATACTAATTCAAACAGTTATGACTATTCTGTTCCACTTCTACAGAGTCTGTTTCAATCTGGAACTCGAGGTTGGATTTTAAGTGTCAGACTGAACCTTCCAGTAGAATGGTCTCAAACTCAGACTTAGCTCTAGCTCCAGAGCAGCAGTGCTGGGATAGTTACAGGAGTTTAGGTAACAGAATGGTTTCTGTAAATACCAGCTTGACTTTAAACAGCAAATGGTTCTCAAAACCTCTCGCAGTGTTTGTGTGCAGATTCATGCTCCTTAGAGGATGAGAAGCTTCATTAATTTGATTGAAATTCATATTAATGTATTATTTAACTCCAAAAGTTTGATTTTGACCTCGAAAATCCTCCATTTCATATCAAATGATGTCAAATTGAATTCCTTTCCTAATTGCAAGTCTTCTGTGTTGTGGTTTGTGGTATCTGCTGATGCACCATGAACTGTAGTAGTAAGTCTGCAGCCTGTTTCAGGACTCAACCTGCATCCTGGTTTACATTTACAGCACATACATAAGCCATCTTCACATGACAGAGTGGTTTTGTCTGGTAAATGCACACAGTGTTAGGGGAGTTAATGACGGGCTGTCATGGTGAGCTCAGGTTATGAATTGTTTAGCAGCTTGGATCAGAGCAGTGAGGGCTGACTGTGTGGAGTTTGCATGATCCATCCAGGTACTCTGCCTTCACTCAACAATCCAAAGGCATGCTTGAGACTCAGAACTGCAACCCTGGACAATCACAGGCTGAATCTGTATATCTTTGCAAAGATGTTTAGGTTTCCAGTCTGGCATTTTGGATGCATGGCTAATTTGTCTGACAGGCAGGTACAGAGTAGCTACAAGAGGCTAAATGCCCCCCTTAAACTGCACCTCTATTTTGCCTTTGGGAGGTTGACTGAAAGCAAGCTTGAGTCAGCATTTCCAATATGGAGACCTCTGCTGATAGGCTGCTTCAAAACTCTGCTGCAGAGACAAAGGGTGACGTCATGGAAATGTCACTGACAATAATTATTTTATTTAATTCTTTAAAGATAATTACGACCAATCCCAATCTATTGAAGCAGTGCGAACCCAGAGTGCCCATATTTCAAAGAGGCGATGATGCCTAACACTTCTACTTTTCCACAGTTAAAAGATCCCCATGGAAGGATCTGGCTGGATCCTCAAATATATCCAGATTTACAGAATCAAAACCTACAAATGTCCTTGCATTTTTTTTATTTATTTGTCCTGGAAGAGTACAAAAACCTCCAAAATTGAAGACAGAGAATCACTTTCAAAACATTCATATTTAGATTTCTTAAACCTAAATGCACCTATACATGCACCAATGCACCAACAGGCATAAAGGGTGAGCACTTGAATCCATTCTTCTCCAACAGCTGGAGTCCATACTGAAAACAGGAAATCTTGCAAACCCCTGCAGTTAAACAAAACATTTGGGCAAACAAACATAACAGACCATGTGCAAGAAGAATTCATGACAATTTCACAAACTCGTTAGACTCAGTAAAATAACATCCAGTTGTTACCTCACTAAGGCAAATCACTGCAAGAAAACCACAAAAATAAAGCCCAAAGTGGTCTGTCTCTGTCAGTCATGAAGAGCTTGTATGTGAGGTGCACTGCAGAGATCAGCTGACGTCTTCTTCTCGCCTCTCCTCCCTCATTATCTGCTGATCCTCTCTCTTTTTCCGCTTTGTCTCACACATCTTTTGCAGCTCCCAGCCACCATTTCTCAGTCACCTCTCATCTGCAAGGACACACTGCAGCTCCTCAAATAACTTTCATCACACTCCCCCATGGTGGGCTGCACTCCATTGATCTCACCTCTGATGGAGGAGAATGTGTCTCCATCACCATCACTGCATCTTATTGCACCTTTATTATACAAAGTAACACCGACTCAGAGTTGATCCTGTCACTCAGGGAGCTTTCTCTTTCTCTTGCTGTAGGCTTGGTTTCTGGCCACTAGCTGGCTTAAAGGCTGCCGTCAGTCACATGGTGCAAAGGTGTAGCTACTGCAGGTTTTAACCAGAATATCTCCACCCGTAACAACTATGAAGAGATTTGTCTGGCTCATGTATGTGCAGTAATCATGTTTTTACCATCACTTTTTAGAGCTGTGAAATAAGAAATGCTCTCTTAGTTTGTCAATGAAACTTTTTTGTTTTCACATAGAAAAAGGGGAGTTAAGGTCTGCTGTTCAGAGGCATTCAGGAATAAAGGTGAACATTCAAAATAACACTCTTTAAAGAGAAAAGCTTTCCTTTGATTGGCCACTGGAAGTGTAAATCTCATACTTGCAACAATATTTTGGTTTAGTTTGGAGGTCATAGTTAAGGCTGCTACAGGGACTTTTGGTTTTTGTCAATTTTGGCACCCCCTGTGGTCATAGATGTGCATATTACCTTTTACTGGTGTTGACCTGAACAAGCCATGGCAGAATTTTCTGACCTCTAATCTCATGCATTAATAGGCATCACTTTCATTTTGAGTCTATATGGAAACCACAGGAGCTTTAAAGTAATCCTTACATCCACACAGCGCCACCAAACATGGTTCAGCTTCAGTCACAACTTCTTGAGTTTTGAGGTATCCTTTCTTGTCCTATCTAAATCTAAAAGTAGTTGAGTACTATCCTGCAAAACATTGGTATTTGGTTTAGTCCCACCAGGTTGTTAAAAAGTGCAATTCCCTCTAAATTAAAGACATGCAAATATATTTTTAATGTTTTTTGCCATGTTTTAGTTTCAGCAGTAACTTCCCTGTGCTTCTGGACTATCTTTGCACCAGCAGTGCTGCCTGTTGGTTGTTTATGCACAAAATAAAATACTCCCTGGTGCTAGACTGAAAAGCAAGTAAGCGTCTCCCCTGCTGGTTCCACGGTTGGTTGTTTCTTGAGCAAATTAACAGAGAGAGAGAGAGAGAGAGAGAGAGAGAGAGAGAGAGAGAGAGAGAGAGAGAACAGAGAGGTGAAGTGCTAAATCAGTGGAGTAGTCTTTGAAACAAAACTTACAAAAAACTTTTCCCCCTCTTTGCACCTCCTTTGGTACCCTGATCTGATGATTTGACTGTTTATCCATTGACATCTCTGAAGTTATGGCAGTTAAAATCCACACCAGTGCAGCTGTCTTTTTTGTGCAAGCAGCTGGGCCTGGAAATGAAGTCTTGAGTCATGGAAACTCAAGTGTTGAAAGGGCCAGGCTTCATTGGATGAACCTTTTTTAGTCGTTTCTCAGCAGCAGCATTTAAAGCCAGAGAATCTTGAGATTTGTCTGCATTGTTTTGGGTTTTTCTTTTCAATAGTTACAGATATATGGCATTAGTTATAAAGTCTAAACAAATATGGCCCTCTGTCAACAGGACACTCGGTTATTTGATGTATTAATCAGAGGCCACAGGAACAGGGGTGGGGTGGGGGGTGGGGGGGCAGATGCTCCTCTCTGGTGGTATTTCTTTGAACGCTCACTCACAAACATGCTTCTTCTGCCCGCCCTGGCTCCAGCTTTGTGGAGTTCATTGTAGCTTCTGGAACCTGCTGAATGAGCTTCAGTGATGTCCCTGAGGCTGCACAGAGGAGAGGATCAAACTATTAGCCGCCAAATTTTAGAGTATGAGAAGGCTGCCAGAAGTAAACGTGGCTGCTGCAGCTGGCCATAGGAAACACTGGCAGAAAGTGAGGCATGTGGTCGCTCCTCTTCTTTATGACTAATACAGAGTTTTTAGACTGTAGTTAAAAGGCACCAATACTTGTGAAGGTATCTTGTGAGCCTGTGGACAGCCTTTCACCAAGTGTTAAGCTGGGTTAGTCTGGATAGTTGAGAGTCTAAATTCTTTAAAAATACAGCTTGCATCTTGTTTGACCCCAAAATATTAGAGCCATTTAACACACCTGACAAGGCAGGTGATATATTTAGATTTCTATCTTACCACTGCAGCTACAGGGATAATCGTGTTCAATTGTTTTTACTAACCAAAGTATATTAATGATCTGTTTTAAGGTCCAACCCACTGTAGTGAAATTCAATGTCGTCTAATTTGGCTCCTCTTTCCTCTGAGCAGCAGTCTGAGCTTTAAGACAGTCCTTCACATGGCTGATCCCCAATACTTCCATTTTTACTGACGTTAAAGCAAGGAAACATTATTTAAGAGATTTAAGATCTTGGATTTCACTCCTTCATTATTGTCCTCACTTTATTCCTGCAGCATCTGGTCTAAAGTGAGAAGAGTCTCCGCCTTGCTTTTGTCAACATTGCCCCAGTCTTGTGTTCTCAGCTCAGTGAGTTTCATTTCAGTGAATCTGTTTGATTTTGAAATGAAGCTAAAACCTTCTGCCAGATGGTGGAGTCACTGGAAAGAATGGAGAGGCACTGTAGATACTTAGGAGGAGTTAGAAAGAGAGGGTTTATCCTCAGGGAACAGGAATAACCTTGTCATGTGTTATGGGACGTTACACAGATTATTCTTCAGTAAAAGTATCATTGGGGTGGTTTGCTGTGGAGGAAGGATTCAAATGGTCCCAAGAATTAGTATAGTTTTTCAGTATGTTTGTGTCTTAGCAGGTTTGTGAACTCTGTGAGGTTTTATTTTACCCCAGCAGGACCTCCTTTCTTACATGCCCAATCTACAAATGTATCAGCTATCACCTGACAATAAAGCATGCCTCTGGAAACAACAGATAGTTTTTTCTGTATTTTTGGTGTCAGGGGTCAGAAACAGACTTGGATGTGCTGGAGCATTTACAATCTAGTCAACCACTTTAGAAGAGTCCATGTGTTCAAATAAAAACATGTCATCTGATCATACAAATGTCATCAAAAGTTACTTCATAGTCTTTCTCGTCACTTTTGACCCCATTTGCCTCTGTGGGTCAGCTGATGATTATGCAGGGAAATGTTTGAGCAGCTGGATCAAACTCATAAGCTAGTCCTTATAAGCTACGCAAACCTATCCTCCCAATTCTTCGGCATAAGTCAGACAGAAGCGATCACGAGGCTTTACTTCAGCAGTTCAATGGACAAAGAAGCTGATTTCTGTGATTTTCTTGTATTTATAAGGGCTTAAGTTACTAACACTGATAAACCTGATAGGTCCATCTTTAAGAAGAGGAAAAAACAACAATGAAAACTCAGATCAATCATTTATTTAGTCATATAAAGGCATGATTGACGATCTGAGAATCAGTTGAAAAAAACTGAGCCGTTGAGGCAGATTTGAAGAAAAGCGTCCCACCCCCCACACACAAACCTCTCCCCTCTGTTCTCCATGATAACTCCCCTCCAAACCTGCATCGCCCTCCCCATGACACACCCCCTCTGGCAGAGCAAGAAGCCAGCCGGCAGAAGATCCTACGCTAGCTTCAAATAGGATTCACCATGTCGGATTGCTAGTGACTAGCAGTAGTAAACGCCAGCTCTGCTAGCGAGCACCGTCTGCAGCTGCCTAGACAGCTACCGTGTTTTCATTGCAGAAACTAATAAGAGTTGTTTATGAAACATGTGCCATGATAAAAGGCAAAAATTACCTGCTTAACAAAAACTCTGCTGTCTGTTTTCAGGCCCAAATCCTGGTTGAGCTTTCTCCACCGCTCGAATGTTTATTCGAGTTAGATTCCTCACTTGGTCACATTTGCTCTTCGTCTCTGCCATAGACTGTATATAATATGGACAGAGTCTGCCTCCTTGCGGGGTGAAACCACTCCAAGAACAGCACCCTCTGTTGACGGGCTGCAGTATAGGTCGTAAATCCTGCCTCCTCCAGTAAAGCTTACGGGGCTGCGGACAAACTTTAGAAATTTATTACACAGAACATAAATTTTTCTCCCCCCAGCTTGTGATGTTGACATGTAGTTACAGTAAGACTGGTTTGTTCTCAAGTCCTTTTTTGTCTGTACAGCTCAGTTTTTAAAAGTTATTAGGGGGTTAATGTTTTTTTGATTGGCACCTGATACAGCCTATTGGCGTTCAGGGATTGCGTAGCTCACCCGGGGGATACGCTGTTTGAGCCTAGTGTCATCACAGCGACTCTCGGCAAACCCCCCTCCGAATGCGCACAACGCTACTGCGCAGTGCTGGTTTTAGGAAATGAAGAAAAATCCCAGAATTACCAAGAGCTTTTTGGCTTCAAATCTGTATACAGGTGGGAGGCGGAACCAAGTCGTCTATAGTATATACAGTCTATGGTCCGTCCTTCTCCATCACAGCTGCTACGCTACTTTTAGCCGCTCAGAGCTCTGAGGAGGGCCAGGAGAGTGGGAGGGGATGAGTCGGAACTACGGGAGAGGGATGTGTCAAATACAGCGAGGTGATTGGATGAAGAGGCAGAGCAGGAGATTGACCAATAGGTGCTGTCCGAGACGGATGGCTTCTATTGGCCATTGTTTTTGCAGCCCTGCACAGGCCAAGGTGAACAGATTTTTCCATTCTTTTTTCTCTTCACTTGGAGATCGCACTGTAGGACTATGATTGCCATATAAATGAGGTTTATACTAATTACCAATCTCTCCAATCATCAACCATGCCTTTAACATGAATTGCTGCTGCTGAAATGATAATCTACTGATTATCAGGGAAGTCAGGAAATCTAAACGCTTATTGTGTTTTGTGTCACACAGATCTGCGGCTCAAGTTGAAATCTTTGATTGAGTGTTGATTGTTCGCTGTTCATGTGTGCTGGTGGTAAATAAATCCTCCTCAGGTAACTGCTGATGCTCTTCCTCTGAACCCTTTTTCTGTTAGTAAACACAACCTGGATGACAGAGAAAAACTAGAACTAATCTCAAACCAATGTCTGGTTCTAAGTGTTTGGATTCTACAATTTTACATAGAATCTAGAGGTCAGGGAAAAGTGGACATCAACAGTTCAGTTCGGTTCGGGTCCACTCTTGTTGTTCTGGACCAAAACGTTGGGTCTATGGATGGCCAGTTTGACCTATCCCTGTGAGTAATTGCCTTCTACTTGTTTACATATGGATGCAAAGTCGGCTGAAGAGTCCAGCTCCTACCGATTTCCCTCCGGACATTTGTCGTGTCACATTCGGGCGAGTCAGGCGACCTTGCCCATGACACTGACTGCAGGCTGGCGGACAGGCCTGTGCGCCTGTGAAGCTTACGACCGGACTTGGCAGTTAGTGAACAGATTATGAGGAGATTGCAGATCATTGTCAGGCCCGTACTGGCCTTAGTCATCTGACATGCTGTGCTGTCAGAAAGCAGAGCAGCTGGTGAGGAAAAGCGACAGTGATGCGACGTGAAGTTTGGCTGCTCGCTCGCTGAGGTCCGACTCCTTTTCTCAGCGTGCACACTGATGGGCTGTGGCATTGTTTCTGCCTGGGTGATGTATAGTGCTCTCTGCAGAAAGGGGCACAGCATGCACCCATGTCTGGAGATACATCCATATTTGTCTTACGCTGACAGCTGATGGTCGGTTGTTTGCTATCCCAGCATGCCTTGCAGTAACACAGGGTTGTGTCCTCAGGTTGACTAACTTTATAGCATGATGCACTGTGTGGGATTATTTACCTTCCATCATGCGAAGTTACGTGGACTTGACCAAGTTATGTGACCTCTGAACTAATCCAGGATAACTCGATGCTGACACACACGAACAGGTTAAACTGAATTCCTCTGTTATAAATAATCCTTAAAGTAAAACTTGGTTTGTAAGGAAGCACACTGCATTTGCTTGAGGAAATGCATTTTTTATGTGTTATTCTGAATTAGCAAGACAATAATTTGGGAATTAATGGAAAGTTTTATCAAAAACTACCGATTTGAATTGTTTGACTCATATAATGTGATATTGGTCCCAAAAATCCTAGTGAGGCTTTTATTTAGGCCACTTTAAGATAACAAATATACCCTTTACTTAATTTTACAGCTTTATTGAATCAGGATTTTTTTTTTTAGCTTCCACAAAGATTTACAACATATTTGTTCATCTTTGACATTTTGATCACTATCTACTCACCTCTTTAGCTTACTCCATGAATTTCATGGCTTAAATTAGTTGTTAAGATCTTAACTTCATTTTTCATGTTTTATGTCAGCGCTGTCTTTCTGGCTGTGCTGTCATTGCTCTAACTGTTCTGTCGTCACCCTAATAAAATAATGGCCTCAGTCCTTTTTTGACGAAAATTAGTTTTTGGCCTAAATCAGGAATATGAACATTGTGCATGTGGACACCAATATGATCAGACTCTGAGGCTCAGGTCTGGATACTCACGTCTTAAAATCACAGTGAGATCCTTGTGCCTTTAAGAAATGAAGTCCTGTTAATGTTGAGTTTTAGTGAATTTGCTGGTTTTGCTCTGAAAAGATGTGGAGTTTGCAGTTTTTCAGACATGCAGCTTGCTCTGATCTGCAGGCATGATGTGGGTGTGAGATGGTGCATCTGAAATATACACTCTTAAGCAAATGCTGGAAACATTGGATATATCTATGTGCAGCTGAGGCGCTTTGTCTAATTGATACAGTTAGTTTTCTCTTTTCTCCCCAGTGAATGTCAAACACTCCTGTAGATTTGCACCCAGTCACAGTTTTATTGACTATGGGGCACTTTAAACCTGGATGAAGTTGTTCTGATGTTCTGGATGGTGTTTTTGTGTTTTGATGGCAGTGAGGAAAGTATATTGCACTTTGATGCCATCGGCAGCTATGATGAACGATGGCTCTGTTTTGACTTGAGCACATCTCCACACCAGTCTTCTGTCTGCTGTGTGCTTTAATGACACGTCTTCTGGTAGAAGACACCGTCCCAGAGACTGTGGGAAGCTTGCTGCTGCCAAAATCAATCAATAGCTTCAGCACACAAGCAATAAGCAGCCCATCAGCTGTTAATGAAAATGTGCACATCGCCGTCAGAACCATCAACAGCTCTGTCTGCATTTCACTGACAGCCGGCTAATAAGATTACAGCCATGGATCTCACAGCTCTGAGTATTGTTGGTCATTCAATACAACTTTAAATGAACCTGGAGGGTTTTGACAGTGCAGACCTGGTAGCTCAGGTTTCTCATGTGTCCATTTAAGTTTGTTTGTTTTCTTGAGGTCCTACAAGAAGATGATCATATGTCAAACCCCCAAAGTTTCATAATCACACAAGAATAATGGCCTCCATATAAGTCATAATTGCGGGTGATGACCAAATTGGGGTTCTGTTCATCAGTCTGACTCTGCCTGATCTTGTTTCTCAGTGGAGGGAGCTGTTCTTCTCGTCCTTGAGTTCACTGCAGTGAGAAACCTTGACTTTTACTGAATCGTCACTTCCTACCTTTATGTGAGAACTTACTGTGGTTGGCATGGAAACAGAGGAGGGAGAGAGAGGAGGCTGCTTGGTTTGGTAACAGTTGCAGGTCTGATTGGTCACACAAAGTCAGCATCTGTGGCTTTTAAGGCTTATCATGTCACCTGTCAGTGTTATCATTGTTTTTATGATCACTGTTATTAATATCAGTTTCATATTAACACTGGAAATCTTGGCAAACTTTGAGAGGCTGTAAACCAAACCAGAAGCCCTGAGAGAAAGATGCAAAGTTGTGAAATTGGACATAACAAAATCATGTGACAGACCTGATCAGGCCACGCCCCTTACAACATCCTTATAAACTACACCCTGCAAGATGAGTCAATAATTCCACAGAGGAGCATGATGGGAGTTACAAACTAGGGCTATATAACTTCTCCAATAACTCCAGATTGGTTCAATAAGTTATAAGTTAAAGGTCGTATAATGTTTGCTTAAGTTTTTTTGTGTTTTGTACAGTCTTTTTCATATCTACTCTTACGCTATCATAATAAAGAACACTATCACTATGAACTCATTGTGTAATTATAGCCTAATGTCTATGGCACAAAAACAGTATTTCTTGTTTTAAAAAGACATTTATCATGCCCTACCCCTACCTGCCCTTATTTACATCTAGGGGCTCTATTTTCGTGTCTGCCGGGGAGGCTGGCGGAGGCTGGCGGACCCCGCGCAGTGGTATTTTTGTCTGGTGGAGCCCGGCGTACAGCCAGTTTGGTATTTTTGTAGACTGAGGCGCACCGAGGTCCGCAAAGCTGGGCGTGGTGGCGTGGCAGGGGGAGGTGTCGACAGAGTCAGCTGGCGCAGTGACATTTTTGTGCTCGCCGCCGGCATATAAAGTGCGTGAAAGCTTGCCGATTCAAACCTGGTCAGCTTTCAGTGCAGGCGGAGCACAGCTGGTCTAGAGGTATTTTGGTAGACCGGCAGCGTATCGGCATACGTCACCGATGCCTCACCGGTTGGTTTCCACAGTGTCAGATAGATAGATAGATAGATAGATACATTTCAGTGCAATAAATAATCATCAACAACTAATAATCTGAGTCAGCACATACATTTAGATCTATATAGATATATTCTGATCTATATCTGATCTGATGAGCGTGTTTGGACACACAACCTGACCGAATCAACACAGCTGAAACTGCATTAAATTAAATTAAATATTTAGTAAATAGAGACACATAAGAAGTGAAGTAAAGTGAACAAGATATGTAATTCGTCTCCCTCCTTTTCTTTTTTCCTCTTCCTCTTATTTCTCGCACAGCTCGACCTGGACATGTCTCCGTGTCCTCTCCCCGTCCTGCTGCAGCTGCTGCTGCGGCGGCTGAACAGATGATTTGTTTCAGTGATCAATTGAGTTATTTAATTTAAGCCTACATACGAATATTATAATATTCAGTTTTGTGAGCCAAATTTATTTTATATGCCAACATCTATGAAAGAAAGAGCCCGGCCACGGAGCGTGATGCGTCATTTACGCACAGATGGTTTCGATTTTAATGCCATTATTGGAATTTATGATTTGATCTGTGCGCACAACTCACCTTTGTCACGTGAGGTTTGAATATGTGCAACTTTATGTGAGTGTCTTTATTTGTGGAAAAGGGTGTTTGTCTTACTAGTGGGTCCAACATTACACACACCAAATCCATCTGTGCTCATATGAGAGCGTGTAAAGGACGCCCTCTGCAGCGTTTACAGTGACACTTGTTGAGGGGCTGCCTTCTGTCGCCATCATGTGGCATTACTGTCTTCAGACATCTCTTGATCTCTACTACTTCACGAAAATAGTAATACGCCTCGCCGGTTGCGGATTTAAAGGCGAGGAGAGGAGCTGATGTTATTGGTCAATACAGGTCTCGGCTGTGTTAAATTCACTCCACGCCCTCTCTCCTCCCTCGCTACGACTTACGCCGCTGGGAGGAGCTGAGCTAGGGAGGAGCTGAGCTAGGGAGGGGGGATACTTACGCCGGGCTGCGCCGCTCACCAAAATACCAAATTGTGCTTGGGAACGCCTTGTCTGCGCGGCAGACCTGACTTATGCCGCGCCTTTGGCACGTCTCTGGCAAAGCACGAAAATAGAGCCCCTAGAGTGATCAAAGTTTTCCCTCTCATGTCCAAGCTTCTCCTGCCCGCAGCCTCATCTTTTTTTACCATCAGATGTTGAGGCATGCTGCAGGAGGACTGTACTCTTACCTCAGCTCAGCTTTCTTTATGATGTCTTCCAGGCTGAACCCAGAGATGGAAGAATTAGGTCAGGCAGTAGCTCACTGCAGTGGGGTCAGCCTGGCATCGATGCACACGCTTGGCTTGTTTTTTTGCTGCATTAAAACCAGAGCAGAGGAGATCAGAAAAAGCAGGTTTAGAGATGTTTACAGGGACGGAGAAGGAGAGCGTGTCGGCTGCATTAAAAGGATTTTTCCACATGAAACAGGAGGCATAAACGAGGACAAAGTCAAGTCTGTGTTGTGCTGTCAGCTGGGAGTGCGGTGCAGTGTGGTGCAAAAACAGCAGCAGCGCTGCAGCGCTGCCACCACGCTTTAGCACAGCTCATATGCATCAGGCATTCAGCTCACGTTAAGGTTGCTCTGCCTCCAAAACACAGACGTGCCACACCGATGGGTGCTGAGGGGATCAGCTGTTTCTAATAATAGCCTCTTAGAAAGTCTTCATCCCCAGTGGGACTGTTACCCCCACCCACCGCCAACAAACACCCACAAACACTCTTTCAGAGGTTGTCCTCTCTCTGTGTCCCTGTTCCATCAGAGCTGGTGTCATCTTCAGTTTATTAGAGGCCTGTAGCAGTTGCATGGAGAGGCTGATCGGCTTAATGATCTGTTTTATCTCTCTGTGATCTACTGCAGAGCTACAGCAAAAACAATGCTTATATCTAACCCATCACCCTTCACTGACAAAGATTTCATGAAATCAAGTCATTTTCTATAAAGCAGCGATTAACCGGCGGTGACTGAAAGTTTGTAATAAGGTGGATTCACTTACTGTGAGGTTTGATGTGTATGAGTGAGCTGCATCCATACACAGGTGAAACTATTATACCAGCATGAAATGCAAAAAGAGATAGTTCATTGTGTTGCTTGATTTTACCCAGAAGATGGCACCATTATTGATTTTTTTTTCTCCTTCATAGGTTTATAGTCATCTCTTTGAAGGGTAATGTTGGGAAATAAACCGTGAAGGGAGCTGGTTTGATTGAAAAGACTCCTCTGATGGTGCTAGGCCAGGGGTCGGCAACCTTAAACACTCAAAGAGCCACTTGGACCAGTTTCCCACAGAAAAGAAAACACAGGGAGCCACAAAACCTCTTTGACATCTAAAATGAAGATAAAGATATATATTGCATATATCTTTTTTTTTTACCTTTATACAAAGTATATAAAAAACTGTAGCGAGTTGCATTTATGAAATAAATGAACTATTTCGGCGAGTGTCTGTCTTCTTCTGTAGTTAAACCGCAAGATATAAAAATCTACCCGGATACAGCAATGCTGCTTTTTGATTGGCTGTTCAGTAGGCGAAGTTTTCCCACACCACTGATGTTTTAGGTCGGGATTTGGGTTGGGTTGTGTCCCTGTTTTTCTCAGCCGCTGCCTCGGCCATGGCTGTTTCTTTTCTGTGCGTCCTGCTGATGTTTACACGCCGGTGTCCATGGACATATATAAAGACCCGACGAATCGATTACAGAATTTGTTGGCAACGGATTTTTTCGTCACGACGAATCTACTTAATCGATTCGTTGTTGCAGCCTTAATAGTTTATTTAATGTTACAAGAGCATTTTAATCTTTGAATTTAGAATTACAAAAAAAAAAATAATAATAATAAAATAAAATGCAATTAAGTATTTATTATTTATTTTCCAAATCCACGGGGAGCCGCAGCTTAGGGACGAAAGAGCCGCATGCGGCTCCAGAGCCGCGGGTTGCCGACCCCTGTGCTAGGCAGAGCTACACATCTGCACAAAAACTGCACATTTCTGACTCAGTGGAAGTCTTTATGCCCAGTGAAGAGAACTTCAGAGTTGAATCAGTTATTTGATGACAGAAAGCCCCACAAAAGGGGCCGGACAACAGGATTGACTGCTCTGTGGACAAATGAGGCTTCAGCAGTTTCTTTATTGGGTTTTCACAGTAGATCAACCAAAAAAAATTAAATCAGTGAAATGATGAGGCGCTGAGTTTTCACTTTAAAGCTACGAGGCACTGGACAAACATCCATCATGCATTTTAGAATCATTATAAAACACACAGACTTGCAGACAGTCCAAACACACTCACTCCAATGAGTCAAAGCTGGAAAGTCTCAGAGAGCTGTATCACTACAGTTTTTTAATGTCATTAATGTCTGCGGGCATTCAGCAAGAAGTCAGCCAGAGAAGGACTTAAACAAGCTATTTTCAGACCCATGAATCATCACGCTCGTCTCTGATTTGTTTAGCAATTCAAAATTTGCAAATTGTTAAATGAAGTGAAACAAAAAAACTAAATTTAGGCCGAAAAACTGTTTCGGCTTTTATACCATCTGAGTGAGTTTACTATGAATAGATGGGAGAAGAACGTAAACCTGTTTCATAATTTTCTGCAGAAGAAGTGGGAAACAGATAAAAAAGATATCATCGGGCCAAATGTCCAGCAGAAAAAGGCCAAATAACACAACCATTTAGATCCAAATATGTGAAGTCTGTTTTCTCGATACACACTGGATGCAATTAAATACTTGGTTAATTCAGGTGTGTTTGAACACCTGAATATTTTGTGTTTACTCACTGAACTTAGGCAAATAGTGTTCTCTATTTGCATCTTATACTGTGTCTACATAAGCACCCAAAGACGTGAATTTATGTGAAATAAGTGGTGTCTGGTCCTTTTGCAGACAGCCTAGTGGACACTCAGGTTACTGCAGTTTTTACCTTGACCTGAGGTTGGCACTGGGAAAAACATGTCGTATTGTGAAGCTCCAGGTAGCTGCACACTGTCACGATCAGTAATTTTTCAGATGGATGGGGGTCTCAATGGTGACAGGCTATCATCATGACTTGTTTTCTGGAGTTCTGATTTAGTACGAAGCAGGGCCCTATCAATGCAGTATGTATAAAAACATGGATGAAAATCTGAGTTTGCAGGATTGACTTAAATACATTCTAAAATATTTTTAAGGGATTAAAGTGGGGAAGTCAAAACTTGCAGCTGAAGTAAATGAAATGTTTTGAGCTGAGGTTTTTTTTTTTACTGCCTGAGAAAAAGAGTAGCAGTGTTTGTCTCGAAGCTGAAAACAAGCCTTTCCTCTGTCTTCATGTTGTTTTATGACCATGGAGAAAAAGCTTTCAGATGTGCCTGAAGTACATGGTCCCTTTTTTTTTCAGAAAGTTTGTTTCCCCCTGGCTTGTTGGGAAATGCACAATAAGCATCTTTACAAACTGCAACCAATGCTGAAAGCCAGAGAGCTGTGAGTGGAATCTTAACAGCAGCTCTGCACCTCAGATTAGCTCGACTAGAGGAGCAGTGTGCAGCTTTCTCCTGCAGATTTCTACAAAGGTTACCTGCAGTCAACTGAAGCATGCCGATGAGTTCTTTTTTTGAATGGCTGCGAGGCTTTTAAGAGCTATTATAAATTCTATACATGTAAGAAAGCTGTTTTGTTTCAGCTTTTACATTAGAGTTTGCCTTTTTCTGTTTGATGCAGTGGAAGATTTCAAAGTACTGCAGCCTTTTGCATGCATACCTAATACTCAACCCTGTTCTTTTATAATGCACCTGTTTTTCTCTGTATGTCTGCAGGTTTTTAACACACTTCCTACAAATGTTCAGTACACAGATACAGTGTGTCAGTGTTTGAGGATGTGATAATGGCACATTGTGAGCAGGTGCAAATGAAAAGATTGACTCGGATGCTAATAAAGGGCACAGGGAATCACAGATTGGAAGAGTTTAACTCTGCTGTAATACAATAAGCAAATGCAGAACTAATTATCTCTTTCCTAAAGCTCGTCACTTAAAGAGGGGAGAAAATGTGCTCTGAGTATCCTCTGTTTCAGTTATTATCATCAAACTAAAATGACCATTTCTCTGATTGTTATTCTGTCAGATTGAATCAGAGCGAGAACCTCCCTCTAACACTCTGCAGACCGAGGACAGAGCTGCTGCTTTCTGCCATTTGTTTTAACTGAACGTTCCTCTGCGTCTTGACCCACTGATATCAGATGGAATTTGTTGTGTTGCTTAATATAAACCCTTATGGTGGGGGTAAAAAAATAGCCCAGTGTCCTAAAGACTCAGCTCTGGGTGGTTTGTTACTGAGCTCCACAAACTGCCTGAAAACACCATTCTTCACAGGTATGACATGGTAGGTCTGGGCTGAGATTCTGAGAGCTGATTGGACCTGCTATCCCTAAAATTAGATATAATGATCTGTTCAATCTGAGGTATGACATTGAAGAAGTCTAAGGGGAGAGAGACCAGTTCTGGGTCACACCTGATTTGCTGATTTGGTTCAAACTTTACCTAGTTTGATTTAAAAAAAAGTGCCATGTGTGCTAGATTTACTTTAAGTAAGGAATTGACATTTATGTCTCCAAACACAGTTGATAAACATATTTTAGGATGTGCTACATCCCTAAGAACAATTTAAAATCAGGTTAATAACTCTTCCAAAAGTTGTGTTTTGGATCAACTCATCCCGTTTGAGGTGTATGGTAAGTTGAACTTGGGAAGACATTAAATTTAACCACAAGTGGATAAACTGCTTTATTATGTTAAAACAAAACTGCAACCTCTTATACTGCTGAATTACAGAAAGACAAATTCAGGGCATTTCAAGGATTTAATTCAATATCAAATTTGAAACTTGAAATAACAGTTTTCTTTACTAAGGTCCATTTTTGAGCCTGTATCTGTTCAGGTGCAAGAAGCATGACTCCTCAAACATGAAAAACTCACTCTGAACAGTAAAAAACACAGTTTCATAAACTTAAGTGTCCTCACTATTGCCTCTCTCCATCCCAGGGTCAGTAAAATCGATAAAAATGAGCGATCACATGACCAAATTTCTCTTTGTTTACCTGGAAATAGGGGGCATGCCTCTGCTTTTAGAGTAACTGTGTATGTTTTGACCTTGCAGAATTGATATTGTTCACACGGTGCAAATAATAACATGAGCGTGCTGTGATGGAGACTGTGGAGCAGGAGACAGCTGTCAGATAATCTCAGTCAGAGAAGTGGAAGAAAACATGAGGCTGTACAGTGGTGCTAACACTCATTCAGAAACAGACACCTCTTTAAAGGAGCTCTCCTGACTCCATGATTGGGTGGAGACGTGTTGGAGAGGGTGGTCACGGTAGCGTTCGAAAGCAAGTTTATGTGTAGACCACAGACCTGCAGCGTGCTCAGGCTGATATGGTCTGAAGGACAGGTGAAGGAGGCGGCTCGGCTCTCTAAGGAGTTGTGAAGAGAAGTGGAGGGAGCAGGTCAGTGACTGTTCCTGCTGCTTAATAAGAAGTGACGTAACACAACATAATCCACCTCAGCAGTCTGCAGCTACAACCACTTATTCCTGAGAAGAAGGGACACGCTGCTCCAAAAGCTGTGGCTCTCTGCCCTCTGACAGGCCAGGCCGTGAATCATGGAGCGTACCTTAACTACAATACTGGTCCAGCTCTGTCTCACACACACAGCCTCTCCCAGTCAACTTGCTATGTCATGTGCCAAACAATTGACATATATGTTAGCTAGTGACGAAAATGCCTGAGTTATATGTCATATGCAGAGGGGCAGGGCTATTTTTAATTCATACTGACAAAAGCCCCACATTAACAGGTATTTTAGGCTGACTAATGTGCGTACATGAATTTCAAAAGTCCAGTTTCAATCAGAGTGACTCAATAAATCGATTTGAACAACAAAAGGGCAGTTTTATGGGATCCTCTTCATTTCTAAATGAATTACTATTAATAAAACTCAGCCTATCTGCAGGTAGAGAACTGAGCGATTCAGTTTTTGTATCAGCCTTTCAACATGTTTTTTTTTTTCTTGCTGTAAAGATGAGCTTTTTTGAATGGGTGTGTATGTGGTTTTTGGTGCTTCTAAGGTCAGCCTCTTGTGGACACTTTTGCTACTACAGTTTGTGTGACCTTATTGTCCTTATTTAAAAGTTTCTGTTTATATATTACTCATAGGAGATCTTGGTCAGCTCAAGACCATCATGGAACTGGAGAGGGACTGAAACAGAGACTAGGAGGTCTTCTCTGCTGCATACTCTTGCAAATTTCAAGAAACCGGTCATTGTGTGCACACGTATATTAACTTTATTGTGCAGAAAGCCACTTCAATCGGTGATTTGAAGCTTTGTAACAGAAAAGTACTGAGAAGTGTTCACTTACACTGACATTACTGTTTGAGTCTGACTTTTTTACAATAAGTTAAATTAAGTGTTGGAGTCGAACCTGTCTGCAGAGGTTGATCGTCTAGCTTCTGATCCAGTTTTTTGCCCTATTCCTCATTCAGCCTCTGAAATAGTGTGGTAATAAAAATATGAACGTCTAACCATTTTAATCCCTTTCTGAATCTGCTACGTCACATTCAGATGCTTTATGGAAGCGATTTAGCTGTGAACGTCCGGTCTCAGGTGCTTCTGTAGCCGTGCAAATTATCCTCATGGACAAAATATTCTTAACACGCCTACACTGATCTAAAACATTCAGCTGATGAACAGCAGCTACTGTGTTTCTCTCCACCGTGTTATTGGCTTCAAACTGACTCCGTGTTTATTCCTAACATCTGCATTTCATCAAACCCTGTTTACAGATGTCGTTACTTTATCAACAGCCATTTCATGTTTTTGTGTTTCTCTAAATGCCTCCCTTTAGAGAAATTTACATCATCTCTGATGGAGTCCACCTGCTCACATGGACTGTTATTTTATACCTGTACAAAAAGTGTTACCATAAAAGCCCACCTGGAAAACTTGTGAGGTTAATTTCCAGCATGTTAGCAACATGACTGGGTATAAAAAAGACATTCAGAGATACTCATCAATGTCAAGTTTGAGGATTTTATCATCTATGTTACAAAATATTTTTAACAAATTCAGAGCTTCAAATAAAGACAGAAGTTAAAGCTAAGGCTGGACTTCTTTTGGAAATGATTTCATGTTTTTCTTTGGCTATCATTACTCCTGATTGACTGTGATGATGTTTTATACATGGGTTCTCCATCTCAAAATCTGCAGGGCACATCACAAATCTGTAGTCTCTCATTTATCTAATCTTAGTCTTTCCTGTGTCTTACCTGCAGGACTACACCATCACCATGTACTTCCAGCAGTCCTGGAGAGACAAGCGCCTGTCCTATACCGGCATCCCTCTCAACCTCACGCTGGACAACCGGGTGGCGGACCAGCTGTGGGTCCCTGACACCTACTTCATCAACGACAAGAAGTCCTTCGTCCACGGGGTGACAGTGAAGAACCGGATGATTAGACTGCACCCTGACGGCACGGTGCTCTACGGCCTCAGGTGAGTTAAAACCCCACAAACTTGGATTCTTAGATTATGTACAGTAGGGGTCTAATCTGGTTCAAAATAATGTCCAACGTACCACTTCCTCATTTCCCTGTGATCTTCTTTTATTAGTTTTGTGCCTCTTTGTTTGCTTGTCATCTCTCTCTGCTTTATACATCATTCTTTGCAATATTTCAGGCAGGCTCACGGAAGCTGAATGTGTCCATATGTTGTTATGTGGAGATGGTTTTATTTAGCTCCTCATTGAGGACGGACATGGCCAGAGGCACTAAGTTTTGGCACATCTGCTTTATCTGCATGTCTAAACGTCTGTGGATCTGTTGCTTTCTGAGGAGGCTTAAGTTCCCTTAAATTTGGTGCAAATTTGAGCAGAAATGAAACATATTTAAAGACCACCTGCTGGTTCTGTAAGGTGAAGTTGTAGAAGTAAAATGTCAGTAGTAAGTGTTTTAGTCACAATAACTGTCAGTCAGCTTGGGCTCTTTTGTAAGAAACTGCACAGAGAACCAGCACACAAGCTAGGCCACTGCTCTGCAGATAAGGGCAGATCTCCCAGCTACTTTAGCTAACTTAGAGAGACTCTGACCAAAGCACTGATTGGTTTAAGTGATTTTTCAGCACTTCACTTTGCCACCAGAAAGCCCATTTGTTTGTGCAGACAAATCAGGCGCTAATTCTGCGCATTTTGATCAGGTGAGCAGATCCTGTGGTTAGCGTGTTGTGTTATTACTCTGTAAAAAAAACACAAAGGGCTCTATTTTCGTGTCTGCCGGGGACGCGGCGGAGGCTGGCGGACCCCGGGCAGTGGTATTTTTGTCTGGTGGAGCCCGGCGTACAGCCAGTTTGGTATTTTCGTAGACTGAGGCGCACCGAGGTCCGCCAAGCTGGGCGTGGTGGCGTGGCAGGGGGAGGTGTCGACAGAATCAGCTGGCGCAGTGACATTTTCGTGCTCGCCGCCGGCATATAAAGTGCACTGAAAGCTCGCCGATTCAAACCTGGTCAGCTTTCAGCGCAGGCGGAGCACAGCTGGTCAAGAGGTATTTTGGTAGACCGGCAGCGTATCGGCATACGTCACCGATGCCTCACAGGCAGGTTTCCACAGTGTCAGGTACATTTCAGTGCAATAAATAATCAACAGCAACTAATAATCTGAGTCAGCACATACATTTAGATCTATATTAATATATTCTGATCTATATCTTATCCGATGAGCGCGTTTGGCACGTGTTTGGACACACAACCTTACCGAATTAACACAGATAAAACCGCATCAAATAAAATTAAATATCTAGTCAATAGACACACATGATGAAGTTAACAAGATATGTAATTCGTCTCCCTCCTTTTCTTTCTTTCTCTTATTTCTCGCGCAGCTCTACCTGGACATGTCTGCGTGTCCTCTCCGTCCTGCTGCAGCTGCTGCAGATGATTGTTTCAGTGATCAGATGAGTTAAGCCTACATACGAGTATTATAATATTCAGTTTTGTGAGCCAAATTTATTTTATATGCCAACATCTATGAAAGAAAGAGCCAGGCCACGGAGCGTGATGCGTCATTTACGCACAGATGGTTCCGATTTTAATGCCATTTTTGGAGTTTATGTTGTGATCTGTGCGCTCAACCCACCTTTGTCACATGAGGTTTCAATATGTGCAACTTTATGTGAGTGTCTTCATTTGTGGAAAAGGGTGTTTGTCTTACCAGTGGGTCCAACATCCATCTGTGCTTATATGAGAGAGTGTGAAGGACGCCCTCTGCAGCGTTTACAGCGACACTTGTTGAGGGGCTGCCTTCTGTCGCCATCATGTGGCATTGCTGTCTTCAGACATCTCTTGATCTCTTTGACTACTTCATGAAAATTGTAATACGCCCCGCCGGTGGCGGATTTAAAGGCGAGGAGAGGAGCTGATGTTATTGGTCAATACAGGTCTCGGCTGTGTTAAACCCACTGCACGCCCTCTCTCCTCCTTCCCTACGACTTACGCCACTTCGAGGAGCTAAGTTAGAGAGGGGGGATACCTACACCGGGCTGCGCCGCTCACTAAAATACTAAATTGTGCTTGGGAAGGCCTTGTCGGCGCAGCAGACCTGACTTATGGCGCACCTGCGCAACGTCTCCGGCGAGGCACGAAAATAGATCACAGTGTTAAGTCTTCAGTACAGCAGTGGACTCTGGTTGGTGACTGTAGCCTTGTGTGAACTGCTACTGGATTTGGATTCCCACAGATGACCACTCCTTTTTTGGTAGGTCTTAAGAGTTTTCTGCATACAGAAAAGATTGAAATATCCTTTAATGGGCCTGTTTGTACTTGACTTTTCACCACAGTTCATGTTTGCGACTGAGCAGGTAGCGGGACAAATGGAATGCAGTTCTCTGTGCTGCTTTTGGCAGAAACCCGTTTAAGTGAAATTCCTTGTCTACAGACATGTTTATTCATCTGGTTGGTCATAAATTTTCTGTGCCAAAGATTAAAATCTCAGAAGATGTTGTAAATCCTGCAGGCTCCCATAACATGCTCAGTTAGTGGAGTCTGCTGTGAAAGTGTCCCTCAGCTCTCAGCCTGTCACCCAATCAGGGCGTAAAGTAGAGCCTCTGTGCTGCGTGATACACAGAGAATAAAATAAGTGTCCTCATTTCGAGCAATATGATCTCTAGATTAATAATTACATGAACAGTTGCTTTACATTGTAAAGCCTTTTTAAAGAGCGGCTTTCCTCTGCACACAGCCAAGTGTGTGTGTGTGTGTGCGTGTTTGTGTGTGCGTGCTTGTGTGTATGTGTGTGTGTGTGGGGGGCTTCTCTATTCCCAGTTCCAATCACAAATAATTCCCAAATAGATTTCTCTTCCTGTGTTTGCATACAAAAACCTCTGCAGAGCGCCATAAGTAGCATCTGATTAACATGAGAGCGTTCCTCAAAGGCGTCCTTCAGAGGGTAAGCGTTGCTCTGTCTGTGTCTCCTCTGGAGCTTCGAGGGAGAACCAGCTGGTAAATCATTTATGAAGCCATCCTGGTGCAGTGTACACACACACACACACACACACACACACACACACATACACGCTCATGCGCGTGCGGCTGTACCCTCTGCAGCAGAGCAGAGCGACGATGAAGTGTGCGGCGTGGAGTTAACTGAGGAAACCGTGGGCCAGTCACTGTCAATAATTCAGACCTCTGAGTTCAAAGGCGTGCTGTGCTTCGGTGTGAGAGAGGAGTGATGACTTGACACTTTTCAGATGAGAGATTTTTTTTTTTAGCTCTGAGGCAAAGCTGCACATTTTAATAAGGTGCTATGGAATAAATCAAAGCAGGGATCAGCATCAGATTCTGACATTTGGGCTCGCTGTAACATACAGCAGATGTCAGCATGTCTGTGTTTACGGCCTCAGATAAAGCACTGGCTGTGATTTTATTTGCAGTGTTCATGTTTTACCCACGTTTCAATTTCCCTAAAGAACGAGGAAAGTGTCGCAGCTAAATGAGGCGTAAAGTTGAAGTCATGCTGATGAGAAGTCCAAATCTGCAGGTTCAGGAGCTGTCTAAATGAATATCTTTAAAAAAAGGAAAACGTTTTTTTTTTTTTTCTCAAGTTTGTCTTCTTTTTCCAGAGACTGTAAATATGTTGCATGATCCTCTTACAACCTAATATACTTTAAACTGTTTTAATGAGTTTAAAATAGAAGATGAACGCCAGCACATTTTGAACTGGGTTAAAGCCGTGGTTCCTAAAGTATGCTGCAAGCCGCAGTTAAAATGACCACCGTTGTCAAACATGTCTGCAGAGTGCTTCATCTGACTCTCCTCCACATGCACAGTGTATCAGATGTGTGTGTGTGTGTGTGTGTGTGTGTGTGTGTGTGTGTGTGTGTGTGTGTGTGTGTGTGTGTGTGTGTGTGTGTGTGAAGAGTTTTGGCTCGCTGTGGACTGTGTGCAGGGTTTGGTGATGGTGTGGCAGGTGGTTGAGCAGCAGGCCTCTGACAGTTGACCAGCACGGGGAAAGAACCAACATGTTGATCGTGGCAACACTTCATTTAGAGGAAGACGCAGCGGCGACTGTGAAACGTGTCGAACACAGCAGCTGACGGGGAAACAGAAGGATTTACAGTACAGAGCTGAGGGTGCAGCAGGATAACTTGGTCCTCTTCAGCCTGCAGAAGAGTTCAGATCACTGTGAAGATTACTGTTTTATAAGAAACGCCAAGATTAAGTGAGCAAACAAGCAGGTTTACTAATATTCTGTACATTTAAGGGATACCACTTTTCAGAAAACAAACCAAGCAACACAAAATAAAAATACCAGCCCAATGTGACTTAAATTTCAACAACTGCTTCTCAGATGTTTGAGTGTCAGGACAGCTTTGTTGGCGGCACACATCCTCCATTTATAAACAAGACTATCACTGCATCAGTTTACTGAGGTCAAGATTGCTAATTTACAACGGAGTATAAGGGCCGCATTAAGGAAAAAAAAATCAGATTTCGTAATTACTTAAGGGAATAAAGTCGTAATAAAATCATTACTTACAAAAATAAAGTTGTAATCAAGTAATTCCTTCGAGAATAAAGTTGTAATAAAGTCATTACTTACAAGAATAAAGTCGTAATAAAATAATTACTTACAAGAATAAAGTCGTGATAAAATCATTACTTACGAGAATAAAGTCGTAATAAAATAATTTCTTGCGAGAATGAAGTCGTAACTAATAGCTATTCTAACCCGTTGTTGGTGATTTAAGTGAGCGCTGTGGAGCATTTAGATGAATTGAACTCCAGTAGTTAGACTTCACAAACAAGGAGATACTAAATTCTTTGGCGTTTCAGCATCACATTGTCATAAGAATCAGAACATATGCAAAAAATTCATCTTTTCCGCAGAAAGAACCAGGCGGACTTTGTGGAATCGCTGTTTTTAGTTCCAGCCATTTCCTCCTCCACTTGTTTTTCCCAAATAATACAGGTCTTCTGATATTATTTTATTTATTTGATTTGATTTTGACCATATTAAAATTTATTCTTACACCATAACTTATATCATCTTGGATTTTATTCTAATTTTATTCTGTTTCAATCTTCTTCTCTTTTTTCCCTCCTGTCTAACATTTAACTTTTTCATTATTCCCCCGGTGTTTATTTACGAGACAGCTGTGATGATGTTCCCTCAGTTTGCTCATTTTTTTCAAATCAATTTATTTAATTTATTTATTTTAAATTTGTTTTTATTTTGTATTTTCTTTTGATGAACAGCACTTTGCACTGCATTATCATTGTATGAAAAGTTTGATTTATTGATTGATTGATTCAATCAATAAATTGGTCAGGTAGCAGTGAAGGCTCCCTCTGCTGGACCAAACAGCTAGCTAATTCATACAGCCCGAAACTCCAACTGACTGTATATTTTAAATCTTTACATCTCATCACAGTTAAAAATGAACTTTTTTTGCTCAAGTTCTAATATTCAAATTTTATTCAAAAAACTCAATTAAGCGAGTACAGACTACTGTCTTTGTCCCAGTTTAAAGTCTCTGTGTTCCCCATATACCTCAATTTTTATTATTGTTTGAGACTTCAGCAGTACTGTGGAACCTGAACATCCCCTTTAAATGCTCCCTGCATAAAAATAAGATCTCCTCATAGTAAAGGTAGGAATATGGCTTTTTAACATATTTTCACCCCTCTATCAGTGAACACATTAACTGCAGAAAGAGCTGTTCATTCGCTGAGATCAGGTGCCCCTACCTCCGCTTGAGCTGGGTCTCACCAGATCACCTTAGCCAAGGTGTCAGACACACACAAGAACACCAAATCAAGTATGTCCATATAGATTCTCATTCATCCAGGTCATGGTTATCTTGAAGACTTAAAACAGGCAACTGGACTGTGTAGAGTTGAGAACTCTCAACTCTACACAGTCTGTTTTAAGTCTTCAAGAACACCAAATCAAACACACACGACAAAGTGAGATGAACAGAAAGAGAGAAAGAAAGAGAGAGAGAGAGAGAGAGAGAGAGAGCTTTATCCAAGGACAGACCCGGAGTGCTTTCTATTTATGCCCAAAACAGGAGTGAGCGTGTTGAAAAGGACAGAGAGCAGCGGCTAGATTTGTCCAAAAACAACAGAGGCTGGCCCTGCCGTCATGGCTGGGTGAACACCAGCCCTGCAGGCTGTCCTCACCATCCTCTCAGTCCTCTGAGGCAAACACATGAAGCATGAGGGCCTGAAAGGGAGCGATACAGAGCAAGCCCTACGATGGGCTCCACTTACAGAGGAGATGACAAATACAAAAACTAAACTAAAGCCAGGATCATTTCAGCTGTTATTTTAGGTCTAGTATTTGTCTTCAAATTAAAACTGCTTCCTAGTTTAAAACCAAATTTAGTCTTTTTTGTCCTTTATGGTTTTTGTGTAAAATCCAAAACATGTGAGTCAAAATGTTTTCCGTTTTCAAAGTTATTCAGCTGATTGATGAGAAATTGGAATCAAGGCTATACTGAGAGTTAAATCTGCAATGTCTCTCTCATAACATTTTTACTTGTGTGAAATTTGATTAGAGCGGAGGGGGTCTCATGCCCCCAATGTTCTCAAGTCTAAGTAACACCCATGGACAAGCACTCAGTTCACTTACCTTCTTCTGCATCTCCATCTTTGATAGTTAAGAGTTATTAATTTGGTTTAGTGGCCTACATATGATCCTGCAGTCTCCAAACTAAATTGAGGTTGTACATTTATCATTATCTTAAACATGTTATTTGGTGTAAAATATGTTTGTAGTTGCACTTTGTTCAGTTTCATTCCCTTTACCTCTGAGGTTTCTGTCAAAGCTGACCTGCACATGTAAGCAGAGCTGATGATGATTGACTCATTGTTGGTCACGTGTGTCTGTGCAGGGCTTGTTTTTTGTAGTGTAAATCATGAGCTCCTGTTGACACTTACTGATTATGATTCTGAACAAATAAAGTAACCCACAAATACAATCTCACACAGCAGGAACAGACTCCTCGCTGCTCCATGACCATGACTGACTTTCTGAGTCCTTGTTTCTCTTCCTTCATCTCCAGACACAACATCTCCTTCCCTGTCTCTTCTTCGTCTCCTTCAGGTTAACTTCAGCCCATCTCGTTTATTTGACTCCCCAGCCTCTCATCCTTTTTTTCCCTTCTCAATGCCGCCCTTAACTTTTCATTCACCGACAAGGCTGTTTCTAAAATGAGCAAAAACATTAGAGAAATGAAAATGCAAAAAGTGGGCAGAGAACTGTCAGTCTTTTTTATGGCGTTATTGTCAGCTTGATGGTCCATCTGCGTCTGATAACTCATGACGTAGCAGGTTTCAATCCATGCTGATCTATTATCCTGTCAGTTCTTTTTTAAAGAGATGTTCGTCAGTATTGAAAAACTCCTCCACAGGAGCCCCTTTTCATGCTTATCTAAAGACTGAGGCTGAGGAAACATCTGGAGGTGCAAAAAAAGGACTTAATAATGCGCTGCAGTCGCTTCAGCCACCACTAAAGGCTGGGTAGGACCACAGACTGTAAATAAAATGGACGTTGACTGCCTCCTCGCTTGGTGAAGCTGCCATGAGAATAGCATCCCCTGGTGACTTGTTGTAATATAGATCATAAATCCTGCCTCCTCCAGCAAAATGAAGGGAGATGTGGACAAACTTTAGAAATTAATTTCAAGTCATATAATTTATTTTTTATCTAATTTTTAAGAGTTGCGTGGATCATCTGGGGGGAATGCAGTTTGTGCAGAGTGTCATCACAATGTTCTCCCGCCAAATGCTACTGCATAAATGCCAGTTTTAGGAAATTATCTGTGTCACGACAACCAATCAGCATGAAGATTTCCAGGTGACACATGAAAACAGAGCAGAAGATCTTCACTGGTGTGGAAAGTGGAGGAAAAGCTTATCGTGTTGGTGTGCGGGTCCCCGGAGCTGTTTGACACAATGTGTTGTTTTTATAAAAACAGGAATAAAAAGAAGCTCTTCTGGAGGAGAGTGAGTAAGGAGGTCTGATTATCTGGTTAATTGTAATTTTCGTATTTAACGTTTACCTTCTTTGTTAAGAATAACAGCTCTGTGACACAAGGGTCTATTTTTGTGTCTGCCAGGCGGCGTGGCGGAGGGTGGCAGACCCTGCGCAGTGGTATTTTCGTCTGGCGAAGCACGGTGCACAGCCAGTTTGGTATTTTTCATAGACTGAGGCGCATCGAGGTCCACCAAGCTGGGCGTGGTGGCGCGGCAGGGGGAGGTGTCGACAGAATCAGCTGGCGCAGTGACATTTTTGTGCTCACAGCCAGCGTGGAAAGTAAGTTGAAAGCTTGCTGATTCAAACCTGGTAATCTTTCAGCGCAGGCAGAGCGCAGCTGGTCTAGTGGTATTTTAGTTGTGTGCATATGTCACCGATGCCTCACCGGTAGGTTTCCACAGTGTCAGGCACATTTCAGTTCAATAAATAACAACAACCAATATTCTGAGTCAGCACATAAATTTAGATCTATAGATATATTCTGATCTATGTAGCAATCAAGACAACCCTGTATGTGAAACTCACACATTCCTCGCAGGAAAGTTTTCTTATCTGGTCCCAGGACACAGGATATAAATCTTTCCAGACTTGTTTGCACTCTCAGGTTACCTAACTGACACGACCAGAGGTTGACCAAACCTCTGACTCTTCACGATTGGTCAATTCGGAGAACAGAGACAGAGTTTTTATTACCTTTCAAACTGACTCCATCGCTGACCATCTAAATAAACATTAACGCCTCAACCCAGATCTTCCATTTAAGATTTACCACCTTAAATATACAGACCCCAAGATAAGCTCTGAGGAGCAGGACACTGACCTCCAGACCTCGGTCGTAAAACCCTGCTCAACCATGTACTGATAAAAACTGCATTCCTTTGGAGAAAGAATACAAATGACTGATCATGACATCTTATGCATTCAGCAATGTAATAATCTGTCTTATCATGAAATTGGTGTTAAAATGAGATGTTTCCCATTTTTCTATGTGCTCCAGAAGCCAAGTTATCACTCTGACAAAATAAATCCATAATTCTTTAGTTTCTTTAGACCAACAGCTTTTCAGACTGTTTTATGAACTTTTAAGAGTTAAAATTTATTGAATATGAATCATTACTTTAAGTAACAGGAATGGTTTAGAAATGTTTGGTTTATATTTTAATCATTTATTTAGTATTTTTAACCTTTTGGTGGTTATAATGTCACTGAATAATCTGAATGTCAGTATTTAGAATCCATTATTAATCATGATGACGTTCATTCACATGTGTTTACTCTTTTGTTGTTCACAGTTTCTATGTGTTACTATCTGTTTCATTTCAGAGTAATTTAGCATGTTCAATGTGATACTTAAACATAATGAGAATGTTGAATGTGATCCTACATTTCATTCATATGTGTTTAGTATCAAATCTTTTTCATGAAACCAAGCATTCAATGATATTAATCATAGTGAGTGAGTATCAGATCTGACTCTTTTACCAGCCAAAAGTATAAGTTTGATCAAATAATTAGAGATCCGAGGTCTCCTCTGCTTGGAGACATCACGACCGCTCCTCTTTCTCCTCACACGCACATGCCAGAGACACTCCCAGTGTGAGAAGATAAAACCAGAAAGTGGGGTTGCTCTTGTACCCTTTTTCTCTTGTTCGTTTATTCTCTTACACCCGCTTCTTCACTCACTGTCCACACCCTTCTGTGTTCCTCTTCTTTGTGTTCTCTTAGCTCTTTCTCTTAGTCTTCTAAGTTTTACGCCACGTATTGAGTCACGTTGATTTTTCTTTAACATCGTCTTAGTTCAAGTTTTAAAACTTCAACCTTTTGTGCACATAGCAATTCAAGATTAAGCCTTTGATAGATTTTTCTTTAATTTCGTGAAGCCATTTTTCAAAGTTTCCACTGGTCATCGAACCTCTTTTTTCCTGAGTTATCTGCGTGATTTCAAAGTCACCTCTGAACGCAACCCAGCAGGCCCAGGTCATCCTCTGTGCCAGAGTTTTTGAGTGAGACCAAAGAAGCATCCAAACGAGCATCCACAGGATCCACAGGCGCCGGCTTTGCTTCGGGCCTGAGTGCTACAACTCCTGGCCCATCCTTCGGCTGACTTCAGTTGTCTTCTGAGCTGAACCGCTCGAACCGCCGGTAGCCCTGGACCTTCGGAACCTGCTCCATCTTCTCCAAGGACCAGTCTCACTTAAGTATGCAAACCTCCAGAGCTCCAAAGAGGGCTGATGCTGTCTCATGCGGTCGTAACTCAGATATCCATCTATTCTGGTAATCTTAGATTCCTCCAAATCCACATCCAAATTTATCTCAACACCAAAGTTAGTGTAGGTTAATATGTTAGAGCATATTCACTCACTATCATTAACTTTAGTGCTCCTAGCTTGACTCAGAATCTTTATTTATTCACCTATTATTATTTATCCTCATTATCTTATCATCATTTATTGCATGTATGTTGTACCATCATTTATCCTGTAATAAACAGATAATTATTTTTCAAGTTCTGGTCTGTTAGTGTTCTTCCAGAAGTGGAGTCCCTGAAATGAGAATTTAGGCTTAAGATATGAGATTGATTAATTTAAGATTGACTTGATGCTTGATATCTCAATTAAACTTTAGTTTTCTTTATTTTCCCACCATTAAGGGTGGGTGGTGCCCCTTTTAACGAGTGCATAAATGTCATAACTTGAGATTATTAATCTTCAGACATTTATTATAAATTCAAATCGCTACATCTATATCTGATCTGATGAGCCCGTTTGGCACGAGTTTGGACACACAATCTGACCGAATCAACACAGCTGAAACCACATTAAATTAAATAACCGGTAAACAGTCACACATGATGAAGTTGACATTTAATTTTTCCCATTTTCCTCCTTTTTCTCGCGCAGCTCAACTTGGACATGTCTCCATGTCTTCTCCCCGTCCTGACAAATCAGCGGCTGAACAGATGATTTATTTTAGTAATCAGATGAGTTATTTACTACAAAAATTTGAACAAAAAAAAAAAGAAAAGAAACTTTCATTCAAAATAACCTGTTTATCTAATGTCCTCACATCCTTAAAATTATGTGAATATTCAATCTGGAGTTAGGCTTACATACATACTGTATATTATAATATTCAGTTGTGTCAGCTAAAATCATTGCATATGCCAAAATCAGTGAAAGAGAGAGCCAGGCCACAGAGCACAATGCGTCCTTTACACACGGGTGGTTCCGATTTTATTGCCATTATTGGAATTTATGTTGTGATCTGTGCGCACAACCCTCTCATGTGTCCTCTCCCCGTCCTGCTGTTGCTACGGTGGCAAGGCTGACCAGGGGCCTTATGTATCAACGCTTGCGGCGCAAGAAAACCTTGCGTACGCCAAAATCGGCGCACACGTCCAGATTTATCATCGCGAAACGAGCGTCGGTTCCAGCGCTAATCAACGCTAGTTAGGAGGTGGTGTAGAAATTGGCGTTGAGCCGATACTTGCGTTGACTGTGATTCGCACTTTGGCGACGCTGTGTGGCGGTGTTTGGTGACTCACTATGTGACAAGCGTGCACCACATCCCCGTGGCCGAGCAGCACGTCGCCCCACATGACGAACCAGCAGCAGACTGAGGGATGCGAGCTGATCCCGGCCGGGCCGCCGTCCTCGCGCGGGAGAATCTCATCGCCACAGTGTGAATGGGTAAGAAGTGAATACACAGTTCAATGAGCCAAATTAATTTATTTTCTCCACCAGACGCTCGAGGACATTTACGAGCTGGTCCAGCCGCTCGTTGATCCCCGCGATCCCCCTGATGATTTCTTCCTGCGATTGCAGGACCCCCTCCGCGAGGACCCTTCCACTGCGTCCGGGTGGTCCAGCGGAAGCGCTGCGGCTGGTGGACGCTCCACCGCTTGTCGGCGCGCTGGTGCTGTTGCTGGTGCTGGTGCTGGGGCCGGGGGCCGGGGTGGCCCGAATGCCGCTGGTCCTGGCCGACGACTCCGAGCCGGCGGACGGGCTGCCGCGGGCCGGGGTTCCGCAAGCCGGCAACACGGCAGACACATTGATTTCTGTGACACAATAAAAATATTGGATCGTTTCAATTCCTGCTTCTGTGTATCTGCTGCATTTACATCTATCTCCACGGTATCATAGGTAATGTAATCCAGTATTTCGAGGTCCGTTATGCACATTACAGTTGTTTATTGCATAAAAAGTTATCGAAAAATGAAGTTAAGGACGAAGTATAAATCACGTCTAAAAAATAGACTGAATCCCGACGTTGAAATGAAGTATAAACTTAGACTAGACGTCTAATATACATCTTTTGCTCAGTGGGATGGCAAAGCCTGTGGACATTTGTGTGACACGCCACTTACCCTATAATAATAATCACCACCACCCGCTGCTCAAACGGCATGAGGGTCTCCTCCCCCGGACCCCCACCTGTCTGGCCGGTACTCCTCTGGAGGGCAGCTGTACACCGCTTGACCTCCACCTTGAGGTCCGACCACTTTTTTTTAATCTTGGCGGGGGTGCGTGTCTCGGAACCCACCGCATTCACCCTCTCGCAAACTTTCTCCCACTCCAAGCGTTTTCGTTTTGCACTGATGCCACTAGACAGGCTGCCAAACAAAACACGCTGTCGCTCCTCCACCTCTGCCACCAGCACCTCCACCTCGCACGCCGTAAATTTAGTTTTTCTTGTCATTTTGTCTGCGTGCGAGGACAGGGAGACCCTATTTAAATAAATCTGCATATTTATAGGAGGGCGTAACGGGGGCTGGCCCGCTCACTCCGACATCTGCGCTCAATTCCACGCTGATTGGGATTTATCAAGGAAACACACGTGGCTTTCAGCGCCCGCACACATTGATACATACAGATTTTTTTCAGCGTGACGGACCTTGCGTGCGCTTGTTTCTGGTATGAGTCCCACGCAAGTCTTGATACATGAGGCCCCAGATGAGTTATTTACTACAAAAATTTGAACAAAAAAAAAAGAAAAGAAAATTTCATTCAAAATTACCTATATATCCGATGATTTTACATCCTTAAAATTTGGTAAATATTCCATCCTGAGCCAGGCCCACATACGAATATTGTAATATTCAGTTGCGTGAACCAAATTTATTTTATATGCCAACATCTGCAAAAGAAACAGCCAGGCCACGGTTCGTGATGCATCCTTTACACACAGGTGGTTCCGATTTTAATGCCATCTTTATTTGTGAAAACAGATGTTTGTCTTACCAGTGGGTCCAACAATACACACACCAAATCCCTCTGTGCTTATTTGAGAAAGTGTGGAGGATGCCCTCTGCAGCGCCTACAGTGACACTTGTTGAGGGGCTGCCTTCTGCCACCATCATGTGGTGTTGTTGTCATTAGCCATCTCTCTTCGACTACTGCACGAAAAAATTGTAATACGCCTTGCCGAGGTGGATTTTAAGGTGAGAGGAGGAGCTGATCTGATTGGCGAGAACAGGTTTCGGCTGTGTTAAATCCACTCCACACCTTCTCCCCTACCTCTCTACGATTTACGCCGCTGGGAGGAGCTAAGTTCGGGAGGGGGGATACCTATGCCTGGCTGCGCAGCTCACCAAAATACCAAAATGTGCTTGGGCATGCCTTGTTGGCGCAGCAGACCTGACTTATGCCACGCCTACACCACGACGCCAGCGAGGCACGAAAATAGAGCCCACAGTCTTGATTTTATTCAGGTCTTGGGATCTTGTACAGATCATACCTGGTTTGTCCATAGGGGGCACCAAAGCTGACACAAGTTCCTGACAGGAGCTCTAAAGGCACAGCTGTAAACATGTCCCACAATAACAGGGTGATTTTAAACTCCTCTTTGACATTTTCAAACTCTAGATGAACTTTACTTTGTTGACCAGTTTTTAGTTTAATAAAAGCTGCCTCCACAGATCAACATAAATAAGTTGTGTACCATTTCTCTTTGACTTCAAATGTAATCCAGCTGTTCCAAAAATAGCTTTCTTTTGGTCTGAAAACCTTTACACTTCAGAGACTCTGTCAGTCTGATTTCTTTATCTGATATGAGGGATCTGCTCTCAGTGTTGCAGTGAATGAACATCATGTTTTCATCGATATGTTTTAAAAAGAATCCTCTGATTAGAAAACATGTCAGTGGTGTGAAATCGGCCTCATTGAGTGTGTTTTTTCTTTGTCCTCCATCCTGAAATCTCAGCTTGTTTTTCAGTTTTTGGAGGAGCTGTGGAGATATCTTTCACAGGAGCACACTGCAGAATCATTATCCCCTGAAGGTTCCCACAATTATTCATCCAGCATGCTCCCTGCCGACACAAAGCTATATTTAGGTTTGCCAAAATGACCTCATCGCTGACTGACGGGCACATACACATTCTGGATGTTAATAGCTCAGTATCTGGGTTTGGCAGAGACGACAGCAGACACACACAGCGTGGGTTTGTTTATATTCCACAGCATAGCTGTAGCGGACCTGTTTTCCTGTTTTTCTGCGGCTGCTGGAGGACGGCTGTCCTCAATAGCAAAAAAAGATAAAAGATGACAGAACAGCTAAGTTTAGTCTGTGCCGCTGGGCCTGTGCTGATGCACTGTTCATAAAGCTGCTTGGTTGGTAGTTTGATTCTGATACCTTCAGTCTTACGCCAAAGCATCTCTGAGCAAGACTCTAAACACAACAGTGCTCCAGGTGACACAGTCAGCAGAGTATAAATGTGAATGAATGGGATCCCTTTATACTGATGGTTTCTCATTGTAGCAGTCTGAATGAGTGGATGTGGTGAGCTGAGTAAAAGCACTTTACAAGTACAGGGACAATGACTATCTCTATACAATGACACTGGTTATAACACGACCCCCAGCCTCGAAAATGAAGCAATGTTACTTTATAAAAAACATAATGGAAATAAAGCAATAAATGTTTTCATTCAACATTCAAATAAACTTATGCTTCATAAGTGTACATCAAACCTTGAAAGGATGCTTAAAATGCGTTTCTTCAAGGCTTTTCTACAACCCTTTGCCTCAGTATGTTGTATCATACTTTATTTCTTATTTCCACTTCAGAGTCCTGTCCGTTTTTAATGCAGTGCTGCCTGAGGGTCTGAAGATCAGGACCATCCAGTCTTGGTTTTGGTCCTTGTCCCTTTAGTACAGAGATTTCTCCAGATTCTCTGAATCTTTTGATAATATTATGTTCTGTAGATGATGAAATTCACTCAGTTTTTGCAGCCGAGAAATCTTTTTATTTAGAGTGAGCTTCTGCCAGTCATGTTTGTAACCGGTTGGAAATCCACCAAATTTTTTTTGGAGCTGTTCACCTGAGCGTTTTTAAGCGTTACACAACTTAGTTATTATTTGTCCTTATCTTCACTTTTTAAAATGCGTTGCTTGAATCCAATTTAAAGTGAACGTTTTATAAGATTACAAAAAGTTGCATAGCTACCAAAGTCTTTTGGAATTGGTGTTGCATGTTGCGTGTGTAATTTTGGTTATTTGCTATTGTAAGGTTTAGGGTCTTTGAGAGACTAATACACCATATGGCTCCTTAATATGGTTAAGTATGGGCACCCCTGCTCTGGGCAGAACATGTCCCACTTTAACAAACTGGTCAGAGGGGAGTTTTATAATGCATTTATTACTGTCCATGGAGTAAAATGTTGTTTTATCTCTCTCTATAGTCATAAATAAATCATATACAGCATGTTCCCTCCAACAGACCGCTGACAGGACAGATCAGCGTCATGTCCCTGAAGTTTAGCTCAAGAGATGACCAGCCTTTCTGGACTGCCTTGATGGCCCTAAAATCTCTGAAAACGTCAGAGCAGATTTATCAAGCGTTGTTTGATCAATGGAATGTGTATCTGAAATGCTTCATCTCCACAGTCAGCTGGGGTTGCTATTTTTATCCCACATAAAATAAAAGAGTCATCAGAGATGAGAGAGCGGTCTGCAGGTCCTTTGTGGTCTTTTTTAGGAGTGTGCATGCTGGTGACTTTGAGACGAACTCCATTTTAGGGAGATTTAAATCTGAGAACAGGGTTTGTCCATTGAGGACCTAATGATAGCTCTAAGAGCGGGTGAGCTGCAGCATCCTGACAGGTCACCCAGCTGACACTCTCTATTTTTACTGCCCCATCACTTGCTCTGCACCCTCTTTATTATTCATCCTCTGCTCCCTAATGCATTCAGCATGGATGGACAGCCGCAGAATATTCAACCCAGGTGAGAAAATGATGAATATTCATGTACTGAGGGGCTTTTCACATCCTGACATGGTTACAGCTGAAAATAGGGGGATGCAAAAGGAGCTGGACACTGGCTCTCTGCGGGGTTAAGAAAAGACAGATCCAGGAGGAGCATCGGTGGATTTTCATCCGTCAAACCTTTTATTCCTCTTTACTTCCCAGAATACATTTGCCTACGTGCACTCATTTTAGATTCAACTACTAAGTACATGGAGGAGAAATGATGGCTTCGTTTTTTTCATTATATCACTTTCTTTTCGCTGACCCCAACCGATACTTTTGTTTGCATTTTGGTACTGTCTAAAGTAAACTTGTGGTAGCCTGGACAGTAAAAAGCCTCAGACACTCGTCACTGGTGCCAAAGAAGAAGAGGTTAAGTCTGCCTGCTGGGTTGCTCTAGGTTGTGTTTTTCTCGGCCAAGAATTTGCACTTGAGCGCCCAGAGCCCGAGGAAGTCTGGAGTGTCTGAGACCACACTGCACCTCTGGCTCAGCTGTCAAACAAACATGCATCGCCCAGCCCGCCCAGAAACATGTACAATAACTGAAGCATCAGGGATTTGGGGGAAACATGCAGGTTAACAGCAGGGTAACCATCAGATATCACAGTCCTGTACAAAAGCTATTCAGCATTTATAGCTTTGTGCCCACTTTTCCTCCAAAGTTCTCCACAGGAAACAGAGCTGAGTATAAGTGCAGATCAAATGAGCCTGTGCATCCTTTTCTTAAGGTCATTTGAATTTAATTTTGTGGGGGGAATTCGCTGAGAGCTCAAATGGCACCCTCACTGTCTGCTCTGCCCCAAGGTCAGATTCACAAAACATCTCATCCTGGTGACATTCAAGCACAAAAAAAAAGATGCATGCAAGGCTTTGCAGCTCTGTGCAGTTTGCTTTGTGTGGCATCTAATTCAAGGGATGAGCTCTCAGCATCCCTTCCTCTGTGCTGTTTAGAGCTGCACTGTGCACCATTATCTTGAACAGGCTCATCATCATGCCCTCATTAATGACAGGCTGAATGGGGTCACTAGTTAATGATAGAGTTGACACAGGTTTAGCAGTTAATATGCAACCTATTTTCTGGAGGAATCTATGGCGGAGCAACTTTCTTTGGATTAAAACAACCAAAACCAAAACCAAAAGCTCTCAGTGCACAATGGCACAGCTGGTATGTGCAGAGGTTCAGCCAGTGACACCCCAGGCTGATTTAACCCCTGTTTGTTGTGATAACAGTAATTTCAAAGATATATTATTTTCAGGTTATCCTGAGGAACAATCACTGCAATAATCAAGTTTGAGCATGACATCCCTTTTTAATTCTGCAGGGCAGTCACTGCTTAATTTCATTTTCACTGTCATGATGTTTCTGGCAGTGAGTGACAAATTCTCCCCCAAATAAAGGCATCATGTCTTATCTAAATGTATACAAATAACACTGGCACACAGTGAAGCTGTCTGCTCTGCAGTGCAGTCTGTGAGGCATTTCACTCTTAACCTTTGTGTACTCTTTGTAATTTACAATATGTTTTTTTTTAAATATTTCATTTGCACAGGTTTATCTTGTGCACAAGCTGGGCTATCATTTTGTGACTTAGACACACTGCTGGACTCACTTTTTTGCAACTTTGTATGAAAGTACAGTACAGGCCAAAAGTTTGGACACACCTTCACATTCAATGTCTTTTCTTTATTTTTTTATATGACTATTTACATTGTAGATTATCACTGAAGGCATCAAAACTATGAATGAACACATGTGGAATTTTGTACTTATAAAAAAGTGTGAAATAACTGAAAACGTGTTTTATATGCTAGTTTCTTTAAAATAGCCACCCTTTGCTCTTGAGGACAGAAGTACTTAGTGACTGACTCTGTTAGTCATGAAGTAACCCGGACAAGGCACACCTGTGAAGTAAAAACCATTTCATGACTACCTCATGAAGCTCATTGAGAGAACAGCAAAAGTTTGCAGCGCTATCAAAAAAGCAAAGGGTCGCTATTCTGAGGAATCTAAATTATAAAACATGTTTTCAGTTATTTCACACTTTTTTCTTAAGCACATGATTCCACGTGTTCATTCATAGTTTTGATGCCTTCAATGAGAATCTACAATTAAAATAGTAATGAGAATAAAGAAAATGCATTGAATGAGATAATGTGTCCAAACTTTTGGCCTGTACTGTATATGAGGGGTGCGAAGATTGTTTGTTTCCTTTATTAGTTGCACTGCCAGATTTGCAGTTTGAATGATTTCAGCATCGTGTCAACTGGAAACTGCTCATCCATTAACCTTGTAATAATAATTTGGCGTTACAGTATATAAATGTCACATGCCTGTATGGTTTTAATGGTTTGCTGGCATGAGGTTTAATTGTATTTGCTCTTTTAAATATGCCTGACAAAGCCAGACACGGACGTTTGGGACTGTAACAGAGCCCTCCCTCTGCTCCAGGACAAACTGAATGCCAGATACTGACTCTCAAATCAAAAACTATAACTGAAATAAAATGACTCAATCAACATTTTTCTCCCAAAATGTCAGACCAAACTGTCTTCTCCTTCAGATGTGAGACTTCAAAGGGGGAGGACACGAGTTTCACCAGTTTGCCAGGGTTTTAGTGTTAATTCTTAATTACTCATAGTTGTAATTAAGATTAAACACGAGGCCTTTCAAAGGGAGTGGCGCTGCAGTCATGACTCCAGCAGTGCAGAGGCAATTATGGGAAAGAAACTGATAGCTCAGTTCCAGTCAAGATGTAAAGGGATTTGTGTGATTGAAGGCAGAGAAGGTAGGGCGTCTGAAGAGTGTGTGTGTGGGGGGGGGGGGGGGGGACATATTGTTCATTATTTTAAAAAGTGAAGTGATTTTGGAGTCCAGTTATGTAAGGGAACACTGCTTTAGAGACAGATACATACAACACACTTGCACTCTAAACTTGTCAGAAGCAGCAGCTGAGTCAGCAGCCCGAGGCCTCAGGATCTGAGGATCTAGGTACCCCTCCAGCTTCAGTTGTGCACATGCAGCGCTCTGTGGTCAGGATATTTTAAATAAACATGTAAGAATTGGTTAGACTCTCCAAATGCAGCAGAAAAATCAGGGAAAAATCTAAACAGACTTTTAAAGCAAAGCTGGCCAAGTATGACCTCGAGAATTGCAAGCTTAACAGTGTTACCTAAACCTTCAACACATAAGCCCCTCCATGGGTTTCAGGCTACAGGCATGAACCCCGCTGGGACAATGGATCTCCCTGAGAGCAACAAAATTTTCTCTTGGACCATCCTCTAATCCCAACAGGAAGTCCAGAAACTTCAGTTTAGAAAATGATTTTTTTTTTTTTTTTTTATGGCATAGGGTGGGGCCATGGCGTGTCATCAAACTTTGATGTTTGATGTTAATAACTCTTATATAAATGACTGAATCTGCCTTTATGATTTGTTATGCACTGTGAGGAAGATTCCTAATTATAACAACTCAAAGCCTCACCCACACCTTTGCTTACTTTGATATAATAACAACACCAATAATCCTAATTAAGAGCAGAAGAAGATGATGATAAAAAGCCTAATCAATTTAACTCCAACATAACTCATACCCTAACCCAACATTATAATCCATCCACCCAAGGTTCTACAGTTAATCTTATAGATGTGATTTTAACCATTTATCTGACTCTGCATGCCTCATCTCCTCATCTCAAAAAGTGCAATCACCTTCAGATTTATAACCAGGAGGTTCCCACCCGATGATCTAAGGCTGCAGTCTGATTTTTAAGAAGTCAAAAAGTCTGATATGTAGCTCATAGCCAAGCCCATAAGAGATTTAAAAATGATAAAATCTTGAGTGACAGAGAAAATCGGTTTTATAGTCTGTTAGCAATATGACCTTTTTTTCCACTTTTTTTTATTTTTACATGTTTCAAATGTAAATTCAGAGTCAAAAATGGCTTCTCAATTTGGCTTTTTGTTGGCAGATTAGGGCTCCAAGGTGGCTTTCAAAGAAATATCAATGCTTTGAATGACACATGCAGGCCTGACAGGATCTACAGTACAGTCCAAGAGTTTGGACACACTATCTCATTCAATGCATTTTCTTTATTCTCATTACTATTTTAATTGTACGTAGATTCTCATTGAAGGCATCAAAACTATGAATGAACACGTGGAATCATGTGCTTAAGAAAAAAGTGTGAAATAACTGAAAACATGTTTTATAATTTAGATTCCTCAGAATAGCGACCCTTTGCTTTTTTGATAGCGCTGCAAACTTTTGCTTTTCTCTCAATGAGCTTCATGTGGTAGTCATGAAATGGTTTTTACTTCACAGGTGTGCCCTGTCCGGGTTACTTCATGACTAACAGAGTCAGTCACTAAATACTTGTGTCCTCAAGAGCAAAGGGTGGCTATTTTAAAGAAACTAGCATATAAAACACGTTTTCAGTTATTTCACACTTTTTTATAAGTACAAAATTCCACATGTGTTCATTCATAGTTTTGATGCCTTCAGTGATATTCTACAATGTAAATAGTCATATAAAAAAATAAAGAAAAGACATTGAATGTGAAGGTGTGTCCAAACTTTTGGCCTGTACTGTACATATACTTCAGTTCATGGTGAAGCAGCATTGCTGTAGCCGCTGCAGAAGTCTAGTTTCTTAGCCCCTGTTGTTGCCACAGGTCTCACAAGGTGCAAAGATGTAAGGGCCGCTCGGTGCCACTTGCAGCTTCAATAACACTGTTTTTTAACCTCAGTGGCAAAACTGTAAGGGGTTCACAGTTGGTTTACAGCTGTACCCTCGTGAGCCTTTCTGGTTGGATAGGACCTTCAGCTCAGCTTATTGGGTGGCCACTGTGTCCTGTTGGATGTTGAGTGGGTTCAATTTCATCCCTGCTGAACGCCAGAGGCGATGCTTAGAGCACTGAATATTCCCTTCGCGCATGTGTAGTTCGAGTATTTATACCAAAATGGTTACGTGTGAAGAGTCTATAACTTCCAGAGGCCATCAAGGAGTCAGTCCCTTTTCTCTTCTCATGCGATTGAGTTGCAAAACTTTTCTTGCTTGCTTAATGATAAAGCTGCACTAAAATCTAGAGTTGCGGGTAGCTCCTTGATCATATAAATTGGTCAGAGCAGCGAGTGTTCGCCCTCCAGGAACTGCAACTTCGATTGCTACTTCCAGAGCTTGCTATTTCACCTGGATGCTATGGACTTAGCGTCTCACCGGCCCCTCCAGGCAGCAGTAAGTATGATTGCTAGCGGTGCTATCCACGTTTGAGAAGCTAATGTTGGGGCGAGTGTGATTTTGTGTTCGTGTCCTCCCTCTTTTGTTACAAGCTGCATGCGCAATGCCTTCCTCCAGTTAATGTCTTTTCGTTTGCTTCAAGCGGTACTGTTAGCGCTCTGTTGCTGCTTCAATAAAACGTATTGGTTTTCTCTTCTTTCTTTCCCTAAATTACGCTGTATTGCTACAGCGGCATTTAATTTTCTGGGTTGTCTCTGCTGTAGACGGCAAGCAGTGGCGCTTCCTGTTCCAAGCATAAGGGTTTGATTTGGTTGCTCGATTGACGCTGGGTTTTTTTTATTTTTGTTTTTTGTTTCGAAATTCTTTTTTTTACTTAGATCCAAATAACATCAAGAGTTTTTTGCAATGTGCGAACTCTTGGTCTTTTGCTATACAGCTACTGGGTGTAGCTTGTGTTTTTGTTGGTTGCCTCTGCTTGTGCAGGCAGCTACACGCTCCCTCCTCCCAGCCTATGGCCCCTACGGTGTAGCTACTCGCTAACAGCAGGGTTTTCTTTCGTGTTAGGAAACTTCCTGATTGCTAGTTAATGTTAATATTTTCCCTCAGCTTGTGGCCTCTACTGTATAGCTAACTACAAGTAGTTGATGGTCTATTTGAAATAGAAAGCATTAGTTTGTATGTTATACTTATATCTCTATAGATACATTTATTAGTATTATAATCGTCATAATTACTTTTATCATTATCATCAACACCAGTGCTATTAATAGTGATATTAATGATAATGATAAAAAAGAGAGAGTGAGACAGGCTATAATCACTCTCTGGTGACAGCCTCTGCTGGGGCAGGCAGCGTACAGCTCCCTTCCCACAGCAAGTGCTTGCAAACCAGCCAATTATAGCCTCTGCTGGTGCAGCAGTCTCTCTGACAGCCTCAGCCATTCATTTTCATGAGTATGAGGAAGACACAGTAGGCAGTATATCCCAGATGTCAGACTTGGGCTCCTACTCCTCTGGCCAGAGCTCCAAGACGGAGACAGAAGACTGCTCTATGCACACAGTTATGTGTATGGCCTTGGAGCGCCAAAACTTGGATGTCTCACAGGTGGAAAACTCTGCACTGCATGTGCTTTCTTCAGGCACAGGCCACTACCCACTGCCTTTGTTGTGCCTCATTCAGCGGACTTCCTCAAGGAACTAAGGGCAGTTGGGCGGACACTGGAGCTGGCTCTCATATGTCTGCCAATGCTCCAACCCTGGCAGCCATGCATAATGCCGCGGCGGTGGGCCTGGATCATATGCCGGCTGTTGAGCCAGCCATTGCATCCCTCAATGTCTCCCTCGACTCGGCTCTGTGCCAGGAAAACAAGTGGCCCCGGCCCCAGTGCAGGATAACTGATGACCTGCTCGTTAGGGCTTATGACTCTGGAGCATGTGCTGGCCGCATTGGGAACTCCCTCTCACATCTCATGCTTGCTCTCTCGGCCTCCTTGCAAGAAGTTGACGTAGGTGCAGGCAATGTGAATGGTGATACCATCACCCTGTGTGATGCGGTACTCGAGGCATTTGGCCACATGACCCGAGAGCTCGGGCGGAAGATGTTCACTATTGTCCAGGCTTGATGCCAGGTCTGGTTGTCGCAGTCAGATCTGACTGAGGCCTTGAGGAGAGCCCCCAGGAGCCTTCCAGTGGAGCCAGAAACAGTGTTTGGCTCAGCCGCTTAGGAAGCGCTCAAGAGGACTATTCAGGCAGGGCAGACCAGGCAACAGCTTGCGGGTCTGCGTTGCATGCCTCCCCCAGCATGCCTCCCCTTGGCAGAGGTAGGGCCACAACTGCCCCCTGGGGCTCACCCTCCACCACCACCTCACACTGCGGACCAATGATGCCCTCAGCACCCTATGCAGGCATAGACCCGCGACTCACGGGGACCTCAGGGGACTCAACTGATCCCTCAAGGTCATGCAATTTCACATGCTGACCACAGCAGAGGTGTTGCAGACTGTTGCCTGCAAGGAGTGGTTCATATCTGTGGACTTGGATGATGCATATTTACATGTCCCCATCGCCCCTGAACACTGCCCCTTCCCTCGGTTTTTCTATTGAGGCCGCCACTGGCAGTTTTGGGTGCTACCGTTTGGCCTCTCTCTCTCCCCAAGGGTTTTCTCCAGGTGCGTGGCAGCCACACTTGCGCCACTACAGTCACAGGGCATGAAGATACTACCGTACTTGGACGATCCCGGGCACAGGCTGCAGAGGAGACAGCATGCCTCCTGGCCCACGTGGCCCATCTGGGGGCTCAAGGTGAATATCAACAAGAGCTGCGTCGTACCATCGCAAATGAAAACATTTATTGGCTTGGCCTTAAACACCAGAACGATGACAGCCTGTCTGTCCCTCTGCCAGGTGGACAACATTCTAGATCTTCTGCTCCTTTTCCAGGGAGGCAGGTGGCTGCCGTTCCTCACATTCCTCTGCCTACTGGGCAAATTGACTGATTTGGAAAATTGATCTGTTGCGGCGGTTGTTCCGCTGGGTCTGTTATTGCTGCGGCCCCTTCAGAGGTGGCTCAACAGCTTCCACCTAGACGCCAAGTGGCACAGATGCAGGAGGATCATTGTGTTGCGTCAGTGTCTTCTGGCCCTAGCCCAGTGGAGGGACAAGACCTACATCTCAAGGGGTGTCCCATTGGGGTCTATCCTGTCTGGCAGGGAGATCGTTTCCACCGACGTCTGCCTGTCGGGTTGGGGTGTGGTGTGGCAGGGCAGGACAGCTCTTGGTCAGTGGTCTGTGGAAGGTGGTGCAGGACACATTAATATGCTAGAGCTGCAAGCAGCGCACTTGGCCCTTCAGAACTTGCTGCCATACCTGGAAGGCAAGCATGTCCTTGTGAGATCAGACAATGCCTCAGTGGTGTATCACATCAACCACCAGGGTGGAACCAAATCTGCGTGGTTGCTGCAGGTGTCCACAGACCTACTGACATGGGCAGCCCCCCGCCTGGCCAGCCTACGAGCAATGTATTTACCGGGAGAGCAGAAGCAACTTGCAGATTTTTTCTCCCATCAGAAGCCTCTGTCAGGGAAGTGGTGCCTCCATCCAGAGGTGGTGCGCACAATCTGGGGCCACTGAAGAAAGGCAGAAGTGGACCTCTTCATTTCAGAGGCATCGACTCACTGCCCTCTCTGGTTTTCCCCAGCGGAGACAACCAGCCCCCTGAACCAGGATGCACTGGCTCACCCATGGCCAGAGGCACTTCTTTATGCCTTTACGCCCCTCCCTCTGATACGGCCACTTCTACAGAGGGTTCTTCAGGAGGGTCACATCATATTGCTGGCAGGGGGGAATGTGGTTTTCCCTGTTGCACAAACTCTGCCGCAGGGCATCATGGCATTTCCCAGACAGGAAGGATCTGCTCTCACAGCTAGGGGGCTAGATCTAGCGTTCCGGACCCCACTGCCTCAAACTGTGTGTATGGCTGCTGGGGGGCCTGAACCGCTGCTGAGCAGCTGTGGGGACCAGGTGCAACATACCATCCTGAACACGAGAGCACCACCCACCAGATTACAGTATGACAACTGGTGGAAGCTGTTTTCCACTTGGTGTCGGAATCGGGGCGACGATCCAGTGCACTGCCCCGTGCCTACAGTCCTGGAGTTCTTGCAGTCCCTCCTGGGTAAAGTCAGATCCCTGTCTACCTTGAGGGTCTACTTAGCAGCCATATCTTGCCATCATGCCAGAGTCAATGGTGTCACAGTGGGAAGCCACAGTCTGGTGTCCCTATTCCTGAGGGGGACTCAGAGGCTGAATCCTCCTAGAGCCCAAAGAGTTCCAGCATGGGATCTCAACATCGTACTGGATGCCCTAGGCAAGCCCCCCTTTGAGCTCCTGGCGCAGGCAGACCTGAAGTGGCTGTCATACAAGACCACATTCCTTCTGGCAATTACATCCACAAAGTGTGTCAGTGAGCTCCATGCCCTATCAGTCAGCAATTCATGTCTGAGGGAGAACTTGGACAGGTCAGGTGTCACACTATGGCCAAACATAGCATTCACACCTAAACCACCACACCTGAATACAGCTGGCCCGGTTTGACCCTCCAGCAGGAGAGAGGACAGACAGGCTAGAGCTCTTTTGTCCAGTGCGGGCCCTGAAGGCCTATATTGGTGCTCCTGCACACATTTGGCGGTCTGAACAACTCTTCATTTGTCTCCGTGGCCCTAATGCAGGTTGCGCTCTTTCTAAGCAGCGCCTGTCCCACTGGATCATGGGCACTATTGGCTATGCCTACAAGGCCAGCAACTGCCCCGTACCATCTGGTATACGGTGCCACTCTACCAGGAGTGTCTCAACATCGTGGGCTGCAGTTAAAGGGGTACCCTAGGAAGATATTTGCGCCGCTGCCTCGTGGGCGTTGCTGTGCACTTTCCCAAGATTTTATAGAGTAAATTTTGCCACCCCTCATCCCTTGGGTGTGGTCCTTCTCCCGGAGTCCTCTGATACTACCCACTGAGGTTTGTAACCGGGATTCCTTGTGACTTTGCTGGTATTAGTCATTCAGTGCTTTAAGCACCACCTCTGGCAGTCAGCAGGGATGAAATAGAACGAAAGTTACGTATGCAACTACAGTTCTATGAATCCCAAGTGACCGCCAGAGCTGATGTCACTCAGAATCCTTGTATTCTCACGAGAAGATTCTGTAGGGACTGACCCCCTGATGGCCTCCAGAAGTCATAGACTCTTCCAGGGCATCAGGGGTCACACATGACCATTTTGGTAAAAATACTCGAACTACGCATGTGTGAAGGCAATATTAAGTGCTTTCAGCACCGCCACCGGCGGTCATTCGGGATTCATAGAACTGTAGTTACATACGTAGCTTTCGTTTTTCAGGGGAATCAGGAAACCAGGGTGATATAGATTAAACTGCTTATTTTCCTGGGTATCATTTTAGCTACATGACATGAAGATGTTGTCTTTACCAGAACCATGTTGTTTTCGGTGCTCAAACCTAACCAAACAGATTAACTACGTCTGATGGAAAGAAAAAGTTTGTAGCACAGCTGTATTATTTGATATAAGTGTGTTAATGTAAATATTCTGCAGAGTTATGACAGTCTTTTTTTTCCTTCTAGGATCACAACTACTGCTGCCTGTATGATGGACCTGCGCAGATACCCGCTGGACGAGCAGAACTGCACCCTGGAGATTGAGAGCTGTGAGTGTCTGAGCTTTTTGTATGTTGGTGCAAGAGTGATAGGTGTCTTACTGCAAAGTTTGTCCAAAAATACTATGGAGGGCTCTGTCACAGCTGCAAAAACAAGTCAGTCAGTGTCTGAAACATGAAGTCAATAAATTGATAAATTAAAATCTAAGTGGTCCTATCTTTAAAGGGTCCTCTTTGTAAGTCTGTCCCCCTTTTGGTCCACACAGTTCCTCAGGTCTGGATCTCTTTCTCTCTTTGGTCACTGAGGTCAGGCTGCTCTTTACACCAGCTAATGCAAACGGGCATTTCTTGTTCAATCAGACCTAGCTGGAGTGGTTCATTTAAATTATGGATACTCCCCACATGCATAGTTAAAGTCACACACATTAATGTATGCCAATAGTCCCAGTGCTCAGTTAAAGGTGAGACTGCGCCACTCATTCTGATAATGAAATAAAACACAGAGTTCAGTCAAAGTGCAGAAAAAAGTGAGCAGTGAGTGGATCAGTGTCTGTCTACATCTAACTAACCAGAACCAGAACCCATCTTTGGACCTTATGGAGGTAGCTCAGAGCTGTGTCAGCATGTGCACCATGATACATTGCACTCATGCAGCTGCAGCTTAATAACTGTATACAAAGATAGACAACATGCCTGGTGAGATCATTTTGGAGCAAGGGTCTATTTTTATTGACGCGCAAGCTGTAGATTATTTAGAACAGTTTATATAATAATACAAAAAAAACAACAACAATTGATTAATAAGTTTTACTATAACCTGGATTTATCAGTTCTGTTCCTTGGTTACCATGGTGACCAGCCCAACCCCATAGAGTAAATGATTGTTTGGCTGGAGCAGAGACACGAGCAGCTTGTCAAACAGTACATGTTGATAGTCAAAACAGCCAATAAGCTGCTGAATAAGCACTTGGACCACCCTGACAAAGACAGAGGGTGCTGCAGCTTCACGCTGCTTATTATGTTCTCTCCTCCTCAGAATCCACAAAATATGAAAAGACTCACATAACAGCTGGTGAGCTAACATACATGTCAGCTTCTGGATTCTCCACATACATGCACATTTACCAACCTGTTACTAATAACTGATGCAGGGTTAAAAGAGTTTAACAGTAGTAAATGACAGTAAGTAAAAATAAGTTTTTAATAAAACAAATGCATGTCAAAAAACTCATACTAATATGGTAATAGTTTGTGCAAAAGCTGCAGCAGCTGGTTTGCATGAATGTCATAAATCACAACACGCACATCAATACTTACTTAGTAGTCAAACACTGGAATTTTTAATTGTACTAGAGGTTTTTTGCAGCTTCTATTCTTGGAATAATTGTGAATAAATAAGTAGGAGACTTTTGATTCAGTAAAAAAGTTATTTTTGTATCTAACCTCTACATTAGTCCAATGATTTTGACTTTCCACTCAAAGCACTTATTTCAAAATAATCTGTAAAGTCAAAAATATTAATTGGATAAGTAAAAAAAAACAGAGGGCAGAATCATAACAAGGCCTTTCCAGTAATGAGGAGCAGCTAATTCCCTAAAATCCTGCAGCTGGATTTAGATAAGATGCTGAATCTGAAGACAGAGACAAACTGTCCTAATTAAATTGGTCTAATTACTGAAAGGGCAGTGCGCCTGTGCTGCTCAGGTCCAGGCTTTAGCCATAGCCCAGAGACCTGCCAGAGAAAGTTAAAGGAAGGCTGTTTTATTGCTGCTCCAGATGAGCCAGTGGGAAGCTGTGAGCAGCAGCCCAACAGAAAATGAGAGGCTGGCCTCTGCCGTCTCACACTGATGATGTAACAGCAAGTTATTATCTCTCCAGCTCCTCCGCTGGAACAAAATGTGTTAGCGTCTTTGTGAGCTGGGTGACAGTACCTTTCTGCTTCTGGGCTAAAATTAGTCTTTGATAAATATTTTATATTATAAAGTCTAATGTTACTTTTACATCAAGTATCACTGCAATGACACTCAAGATGAAACTCAACAAAAATCAGATTGTTCAGGACTCAGGCTCCAATCAGACTCAGGTCCAAAATTTCAGGACTCCACTCGGTCTGTAGCATCAAGGACTCTGGCTCGGACTCAAACTAAACTAAAGCTTCCCCACAAAAGCCAGAATACTACAATTAGCAGCAGCTAATTGTAACCATTACAGCCTGCTTTACCACCACCTTCTGGACTGGATGAATACAAAAAATTATCATCAGTTTTCAAACTTCTCAGCCATACCAAAAGACAGCTGTTCTTTTTTTATAAAAGGGGGCAGTCTCGTGCTTCGGCTTGAGAAACACTGCAGGATTGGTGGGTCTCAGAGTGGGGAAGAACAGTTCTGTTGAGGATTTTATACAGACTTGAGATATATTTATATATCTCTTCAGAAATGTTCTTGTATATGTCAGTAGAGCGACATTAAACTGCACTTACATTTCCGTGTACAAAAATAAAATCACTCAGCACACGGCACTCTGACAGAGTATATTTTAAATGTTTTAAAGGCTTTGACAGACACAATTATCAGTTCTTGAAATTCTGCTCCATGTAGCAAGTTTGTGTATCTTCTCTAAGCTAATGTGTTGCCCTTTGAACGCACTGGCAAAATGCACAGGTAACCATACTTTGTACTGCCAGTCACAGTCTGCATAACTTTCCAGGTAACTTTCTTCTTCTGCAAATCTTTAAAAACATTTTCCTTGTTGTATTCAGAGCAGATTCTGTGATGACGTTGAAGTTTGTGCATTTATTTGCAACACTAAGATGTGTTGTTGTTGATTGTCCATTAAAATGAGAGGTCAACTCTGGACCATGTTCTGTTAACATTCCGTAATCCAGCTAAAGGTGCCTGTCTTTGTGTTTCCACAGTGGTTTTAAGCTGTTGTTTTCTTCTCTCTCCTCTATCAGATGGATACACCACAGATGACATTGAGTTTTATTGGCAGGGAGGAAGTAATGCCGGGTCGGTCACCGGCGTGGAGAATATAGAGCTGCCCCAGTTCTCCATCATAGACTACCAAACTCTCTCCAAGAAAGCTGTATTTGCTACAGGTAATAAAGTCACACAGAGACACTTCAATCGGTAACACCTTAGAGTTGAGCAGTTAAAAAAATCACCCTGTTTTCTAGGTTTGCAGCAAAAGTTATAAATCATGTTTTGTGAGTAACCTTGGTTGAATTTGGAAGAATTATTTCAAAATGTTCATGCTTGAGATTTTCTTGAAGTCACACTTAAGTTCAGGGGCTGACTCTGAGGTCAGTCCGGCTCTGGTTATTTTGATGCTCTTGTAGACAATTTGATCCGGGTTATATCAAATAATCACCCTGTAATGTCTGAAGTTAGCCTGCTTTAGTCCTGAATCATGCCCCGATCACTTCAACCATCCTGTTCTTTGTCCTCCAGGTTCTTATCCTCGTCTGTCCCTAAGCTTTAAGCTGAAGAGGAACATTGGTTACTTCATCTTGCAAACCTACATGCCCTCCACCCTTATCACCATCCTGTCTTGGGTCTCCTTCTGGATTAATTATGATGCTTCAGCTGCCAGAGTAGCTTTGGGTCAGTGCTGTTTGAATTCTCTGACTGTTTAATGGTGCGAGTGTTAGTCATGCCTCTAAGTGGCCCGGCTGTGTATGTTGATGTCCTACTTTGGCTGAAGGACCATGGATGTAATGGTCCACCTCTTCGGTCCTGTTTGGTGACTTTTATGAGGATTTTATACAGACTTGAACAGCCAGAGTAATCTTTACTGGAATAACATGCTGCAAGTTTAGAGATGATGCAAATCTGCAAAAGAAAAAAACATGCATTTAAAAAAAATGTGCTGAAAATGAAATAAAGTCAGACTAATGTCAGCCTGTTCTTTATTTAAGTAGAGATCACCAGAGTCACTGACATGCATCACATGAAGACCTCAAACAGAAACTGATCAAATGTGTGTTGAAATGTATCCATCTGGACCAAAGAGGTGGACCATCAAACCCACCTGATCCCCCCCTCTCTTGTGTCACTCCAACACTATACTGATAACTTTCTGATCTCTTATCTTCAATTCCTTCTCACAGGCATAACCACGGTGCTGACCATGACCACCATTAATACTCATCTGAGAGAGACTCTACCCAAGATCCCCTATGTCAAAGCCATCGACATTTACCTGATGGGCTGCTTCGTCTTTGTCTTCTTGGCCTTGCTGGAGTATGCCTTTGTCAACTACATCTTTTTTGGGCGAGGTCCACACCTGCAGAAGAAGGTGGCAGAGAAGGCTGCCAAGTCCAACAACGAGAACAAAAGCAGACTGGAGAGCAACAAAGTGCAGGTGGAGAGGGTTTTCAGTTCTTTCACTGCTACTATCATCTCTGAGAGTTAGCTATCAGGCACTTTCACAACCCATATAAATGATGCAACCCAGCTCAGACCAAAGCCACTGCCTACAAATCTGTGGTCTACAACATTGTGAAACTCTACTGTTTACAGTGATGCAACACAACTTACAGTGCAGATACAGCATCTGCTTTCTGTCTGTGATAATGATGATGAAAGCTTTGTCCCAAATCAGGGGTAGTATTTTTTGGAGGACTCAGTCTTTTTAGCCTGTGCAGACCGCGCAAGCTAGACTGAAATGAGACGATCTGGAGCTGTGCAACCTCAAATCTGCACCAGGCCCCATAACACAGGTCACATAACCTGACTTTTGTATTGCTAGTCAATCCAATGAGTGCAAGGATATTTGGACATGTTGAAATTTATCCTTCAAAGCTCAGGAAAGGTTGGATACATGTGTCCTTTACAAAAGAGGCTTTGGCGTACAGCTGTGACACTTTTGGTCTTTAAATTCCTGTTTCAAAGAGTGCAGCCCCTAAATTGAGACACAGCGTTAGTTTCTTCAGGCCACAGGTGTGTCTGTCTGAGACAGTGCCAGGCTGAGCTGCAAAAACACCCAAAGTGAAGAGTGAAAAGGCAGCTCAGCTGGTGAAGTCTGTCACCATCTTGCGCAGCTGTGCAGAGCATGAATGTATTCATTACTGCTTTTAAACCTCACTGGTATGACACCATAATTTCTCAAAGTCGTTACTTTCTTTAGCCGTCTTTCTGCAGGTCGTCCCCTCTCTGAGTCTTTTGCTGCCCAGCCTAAGAATAAATCATTTCCTTGGGAGATGTGAGGAGTGATAGCCAGAGCCCAGAGGCCCATGATTTGCAATGCTACTGGCTGGCCTGAACTCCAATCTGGGCAGAGCGCCTAATCAACCCCTGAGCTCAGTAAGACAGCAGAGGAAAGCTGTGAAAAGTAAAGTTAGCAACAAATCTCCCCAAAAAACAAAGTGCACAACTATTGAGCAGATTTACTGCCCTGCTGTAGGGTGCTGGATCTTTGTCAAGTGACCCAGATAACCTCTCATTAACACACAGCGGGGTACAGACTGACAGTGATTCATAAGAGGGAAAATGAACTTCTGCTTCATAATGGTTTCAGTGAAAAGGTGACAGGAAAACCAGAATGTACTGATTCTTGAGGATATCACTTAGATCATGATTGAAATATGTCCAGGGAATCTCACCTCATGCTCGACCCTGAAAATCATCAAAGCCTGCTGAGGTCTTACCAGTGCTCCCATTTAGAGAGTTACCATGTTAATGGCTACAGTGGTTACTTTGGTTACAAATAAAAATAATCTGTGCTACATTGACACATTTTTCAGCATGTTGCTTTCTTGAAATCAGACATTACAGGTTGCTTTGTTAGCATCATTCCTTTTGGACCACCTCTATTTCTTGTCCACCACGCTCACTCCCTAGAGTCCTTCATTATCATTCTGATCACGTTTAACAATGTGTGACGTCACTTTTTAGAAAAGCACCAGCTCTAAGGAGTCCATGTCTTGTCAGGTCAGGGCTGTTTTGGACTACATGGTGTTGAGCAGGTGGTTGTGCTGTTAGGGCTGGTGGGGTTACATCTGCACACACAAAAGTCTTGAATCTAGTTTTGACTTTGTGCCTATTTGGTTGTTGGTCACAAAATTAATTGAACATCTGATGACCTCTTTCCTCAGGTCGATGCTCATGGAAACATCCTGCTGACCAACCTCACCAGTGAGATGGGTGGAGCAGACATGATGGGCACTCTCAATGACCCCAGGGCTACCATGTTCTCCTACGACAGCGCCAGCATACAGTACCGTAAGCCAATGACCAGTCGAGACCTGTACGGACGACCAGCCATCGATCGACCGATGGGCCACAAGAAGGGCAGGTTGCGAAGGAGGGCCTCGCAGCTCAAAGTCAAGATCCCGGACCTCACGGATGTCAACGCCATAGACAAGTGGTCTCGTGTGGTTTTTCCAATCACATTCACCTTCTTCAACCTCGTCTACTGGTTCTACTATGTCCACTAGAGTGGTGACAGCAGCACTACTCACGATGGGTTTGAGAAGCTACCTAAGTCTTGTACTGGGATGACACTAGAGGAGCATTCAGTCCATTTTTACAAATCCGGTTTTGGAATGAGTAAAACTGGATAACTTTTCAATGTAAATACAATTGAATATATATATATATATATATATAAATATATAAAAATATATATAATACATACAGAGGTATAATTTATTAAAAATCACTTTTGCTGTACTCGTCCACACAAAATAGATATAGATAAAATATAATACAGATTTTTAGACACAAGACACAGTAAAGGTTCACAGCTATGTCCAAACTTGCCAAAAAGACTTTGGTGGCTCCAACTTTACTGGCAATGGTCTTTGATATGGTCTTTCTTTTTCTTACCTTCTGTTATCTCACTTTTTGCATGTGAATGAAATACACATTTTATTTGCTTATAGATAAAAAGAGAGAGAGAGAGAGAGAGAGAGAGAGAGAGAGAGAGAGAGAAAATGAACCCCAACACAAAACAAGTAGGTAACAAAAGCCGTTTTTACTAAACCTTGTGATTAAAGCTCACTCAGCCAATTAGCATAAGCTGTATGGTTGAATTTCATCGTAATGAAGTGATCTTTCTTTGGGTTAAGCTTGGGTATGTACCATTGTGCTGAAATCCTTTTGCACTGCTAACCAAACTCATTTTATTTTTGTTTCTGTAAAAAGAAAAAAGACGAAGAAAAGCTTTGCATGGCACTCTGGACCACTCTGTATTATATTCATTCTACTGTACGCTTTGGAACAATCATTGCATTTAAGGTTAGTACAAGGCCGCTTCAATTGGAAATCCACACTTCTTTCCTTGAAAACAAATTAGTTCAAATTTATACCTGCGATTTTCTCACATTTGTGACACTGTACAATGTAAAAATCCTTGAAAAGAAATCAGGTAAAGACTGACCAATGATGTCACCACATGTCTAAAAATCACATTAACTATTTCAAGCCCTGATAAAACACGCTGCGGATGCTGGGATGCCTGGTGGTTCAGGCAGTTTTGGAAGAGATTTGTCTGAAAACATGAAACTATTCTTTCCTCCGCATTGAGCTGCTTCCATCTGAATTCATGGTTTAACTACAGGGTGAACATGAGGTCAAAGAGACACTTACTTATTTCTACAAAGATTACCTTTCAGGACGATGAACCAGCTCCAGTTCAAATTTGTTCCAGGGTTCAAACTGGTGTTAAGGATTTTAAGTCTTATTAACAACAGTTAGCATAGCACAATGTTAGGATTAGCCAGTCTGATAATCAATAATCATACAACAGACTTGTGTTTTGTTTGTTTGTTTGTTTGTTTTGTTGTTTCTTCTGTAGAGCTGCACAAAATGTTCATCATCAACCCAGCCCATCATTTTCAGTCTCAGGGTTCTGTATTTAGGGATGCCCAACCCTTGCCACCTCATTACCTCACCTTATGTATTCTCACAATCAACGACTGAGATATGACAGCTGGATTAGGGCTCCCATAATTCTCAATGTGCAATTTCAAAACCCCTTACCTGAGTGGCAACTCTGGGATTGGGCAACGCTGTCCACTTATGGTCGTATATACCTGGATAATACGGTAGAGGGATGTTATCTGCTCCCATGTATTCTCAGCCAGATTTAATCTGGCTTCAGCTTCCTGTGCATGTAGTTCATACAGTGTACTTCTGTACAGACAACAGGAATATCAGGATTTATCAGCTGAGCAGCTCTTTACAAGTACTTTCTGTGCCAAGCGTATGGCGAGATAAGAGAGCAAAACTGCATCATTTCATTGAATTATTAAAACCAAAGAGTTGGTACAATGATTATTTTCATAATCAAGACATGACTGTTAAGTTTCAGTGTTGAATGTCAATACTAAATGAAGGAAAACCTTTATAAAGTGACGTAAATGTTTGTTAGCTCAGCTTGTTTAATACATCACATGAGAATTACGCCAGAGAGATACGAGATTTGTCCGGTTCATGACATCACAGAGAGAGCTTGAAACATGAAAAAGCAGCTTTATTTATGCTGTTCCTCAGACTCACACAAACACTTCAGCCTCCTCCTGCTCCTTCTCTCTCTGCTTTCCTCACTCCTCCTCCTGCTCCTTTCCCTGATGTCTTCACAGATTCCCCTCAAAGCTTCCCCTGTTGAGGTCAAATTTAAACATCATGGACCAAACCAGTGAAGTAAAAAGCTTCCATACCTGCAGTGACATACTGAAAACATTTGTGTGTTTAAAGAAATGATTTATTTCCAACTTTTAACGTAAACATAGCTTTACTTTTGATCAGGATGTAGGCGCCCTGCAGCGTTTTTAGCTTTTATGCCAGTCGTGATAAACTTTTATTTTGTTCACTTTACACAAAATACAGGATTAAGTTTCATGAAGAGTCATCTTGTATGAGAGCGACACAACAGAGATTAAGAATATAATAATGATTCGTAATTTTGCCCCCTGACTGAGGGATCTGTTGATGCATTTGCTAACTGAAGATGCTACATGCAATGACGATTGTCCAGCTGCATTGGCAAATATTAATTTTCTTATTTATTTGTTTGTTTGTTCAATAGGAACAACGCAAATTAGACAGTTTTACAAACAAGCTGGTGTATCATGGGACAGGGATCATAAATTTTGATCTGACACCATTATCGAGAGTCCTTAATGATTCAAGTTCTCGTCCATCGAGTCTTCTCTATTATTTTCTTTTTAACTGTTATATTTATACAGATTTTTTTCTTTTTCTGGCTGTGACATTCAAATTTGAGATTGACATTGAATTTCCCTACGGGGATTAATAAAGTTCGTCTTCTTCTTCTACTTAAACACATCATGAAGACATACTATCTACTTAATAATTCTCAGTTTTACCCGACCCTGTCAATGAGCAAGACTGCTAATTTTGCCGTCTTGTGATAATTTCAACACCAAATCCAACACTGAACTACAATTTTTAACTAACTGGACTTGCTCTAAAGTCTGGCTGTGTTTACCCAGACTCCTTTGGGTGAAGAAGAGGGGGGCAGCCCTACAGCAGATGGAGTTGATGAGTTGTTTTAACCTGCAGACAGTCAAAGGTTGTGCATCTTAGCTTGATTTGATACACAGTCATGTGTCTGGCAATGGAGGTCATGTTTCCCCTTACAAGATATTATTTTGCAACTTAAATTTCATTTCACTTTATCTTTTTCTCCAGCTTTGGTAAAATGTAGCCACACTTTGGACCATTTCACACCTTCAGCTGTCATCGCAAGAAACTGACCACCGGAAGTCTTTTTCATGCAGTTTAATACTTGTTAGCTGTTGAATAACTTTATTAGACAGTCTATTGCACCCCTGATTTAAGGTGACTTTGCCCAACATACAGTATAGTTACAGGACCCACAAGACTTGATCGGCTCAAAGCAACCGATTTTCAGGTTTTGGGATATGACACAATACATTAGACTGTTTTTGTACATTAGACTGGGAAATTCATCTTAGACTCAAGTACTATTTAGTCAACTTTTAGGGTTCCTTTTTTATCATTTGGTTAGCATAGATAAAGGTTGCACATGGAACAACATGCAAACAATAAAAAATGTTTAAAAATTAAAATAAAGACTAAATGATAAATATTATCCTCCAGGTTACATGAAATTAGAGGCAAAGGTCACAGAGCACCATAGAGGAGTCAAAAATGTTCACATCCCGAATTTTGCATCAGCCAGCCTTTACCAAAAATATCAATATCTTGTGTTAATTTTATTTCAGTTTGCAGTATTTCCCACATTTTAGAGCCTTTTATGAAAAAAGCTGCAGTTTCATTCTTGCTACTAGCTGCCTCTGGTGCTTCTACCAAATAACTGATGAAAAAAAATCCACGCTTAATCGATTGTTATTGTTTTTGAAGCGTATTTGCTGATGTCATTAGTATGTCATGTTTGAATGCAGTTGGAAATTCAATAATGTTACAGGTGTGGTAGGAAAATATAACATTACACAGGCTCTCAGCACTGATATGTATCTGATATGGTCCATTCTTTCCTTCGTTTTCTCCAAATGTAATCATGCTATGGTTGCAACCAAGGTCTAAAATGATAGCTCTAAATAATCCCACAATCCTCTGATACTGTCGAGAGCAGCTGTGCACTGAATTGCTGCCGCAGTAATACCTGCTATATAGAAGTTGGCGCCACATACAAACCACTCCTCTGATTTGTTGAAAGTAACTTGAGCAACTTGTCAGCTCGGACAAATGTGACCTGCTTGTCTTATCAGGGCTTTGAAACAAAACAGGAAAACAAAATAGGCTTCTCCAGGACACGGAATAGTAGCCGTGTCCTCTCTCCTCATGGCTGAATATTGTGCCTTTTACCAAGAATCTCAATATTTTCACAGGGTTAAACTTAACTTCTATCTAGCGAGTAGAATTGAGAAGAAACCATCTTGTACTTTTTTTAGATTAAGGAGGAGCAGAGACAGATGTGGACTCTTTATGATCCTTTCTGAGGCTCTACATTACAGTTCCATTATCTAAGCGTAGATTGTAGTAAGACATTCCAGCATTATGATGACAATCTTTTGAATTCAATGCTGAAAATAATCTCCTGCAAAGTCTCCATGATGGCAGCGATGCAGTTTCTGGACTGGGCGCAGAAAGGGGCGAACAAACCACTCTTACGGCTTTCTTCACAACAAAGGACCTGGAGTAGATGGACACATGATTTCTGTGGACAGCCAGTACTTAATGGAAGCCCTGAACACACAGTTTGGCCAGTGGCTGTGGAGAGGAGGGACATGTGCTGGACTCTTATTGTGTAAAATTACTGTACAATTTTTCTCTCATGCTCTATATGTGCTCTCAAGTGGAATGAGGAGTGGGTGTGTTTGCATGTGTGTGTCTCTCTGCTCGCTTACAGGCCAACATAAGACACTGTGCAGGACTGGTCGTGTGGATGTCTGTGTATGTGTGTGTGCGTGGGGGGGAGCCTATGGATGCGCGTGAACGGGAGGAAACATAAAATACAAATTCTTTGTGTCAAATTATAGAGACCTCAAAGAATTTAGAGTTTAAATAAAATTGCTGACATCTCTACCAACAACATGGAAATGTGTCTTTTTGCTGTTTCATCAGAAAAAAAGTCTTAGAAATATGAATTTGACTATGAAAGGTGAAGATCTTGCTCATGACCCTGAACAAGATCAAGATATTTCAAGCCAAGGCTTGATTTATAAGTTCCTTGAAATGGGTTTTACATTTGATATCAAGATACAATGCTTCAAGAAACTTATGAAGCCATTTAACCTCAATAAAACAAACTAAATCTTTAATTCTGGCTCTTAATAACAATTCTCTCTGCAAAGCTATCCATAACTGCGGTGTGCAGAGACCATCTACATAGCTGCATAGCTCCATGCTGATACAACACATAACACCACATTGTTGCTGTTGGTCAGTTTGGCCCCCTGAACAAATGCCAGGAGAATCGGTATGCAAGCAAGGCCACAGTTTGTTGCAGACAGGGTCAACTGTGTGTACACTTGATCAAGAAATTTTCAGCACTTTGTCATCAGAAAGCCCTTTTGTTTTTACACTTTTTGCAGATGCAACATACAGTCACTGAGATATTTTTTAAAATTTTTGCATTTCAGTTTTTCATGATGTTAATCACCAAATGCCTCAGGTCAGCCTGCAGACACAGTGATCAGTGCAGGGTTTGTTGTTTCAGCCCAGTCTGCCCCCTCATCAGCAAAAACAGAGTATTTGGATCAGGTAAACAGATCCTATAGTCAGGTTGAGTATGCAGGGACTGTCTACAAAGTGCAATATTGACATAAGAAGCTGCAAAAATGACCAACTTCACCATTTTTAGGTGCAGAGTCAATACCATATTCATGCTGTCGCTTATTTTGTGAAATTATGCTTCCACATAATTTAGGGAGGCCTTCTTACTCCCCCAACCTTCACCCCTATGTGTTAAAGAGACAAACTCAATACTCAGCTCTAACTTCTACCTAAATTTAATGATATTAAAGCAGCTGTACTGAATGCTCTTGGGACGATGATGATATTAAGGGACATTGCTTTGTCCACAGGGGGCGCCACAAACAGACAGTCCCTCATTGGGGCTTTAAGTAGAATATTTTAGTACTTTTTAAACTCCTGCTTATTTGTGTGTGATGGTGTGAACAGAAGCAGATTTCTCATTAATTGTAGCTCAAATTTATACAAATAATCAACTTATAGAGGTCTAAAAAAGTTCATTTTAACAAGTTTTCAGGGTCTTAACAGCTGTTGTCAGAAGACTTGTATTTCAATAAAAACAAATTAATTTAAAAAAAAAGATTTTCTTCAGTGTGCATAAAAAATCTCAATTCTTGTTAAACAGACTGGGCCTCATTCCAGAGAGGAGAAAATGCTCCATTTTTAAACAGTTTTGCAAAACAGCTTCAATTCAGGCCAGGGTGACTGACTCCTCCTGTTTTCTATCCAGCTAAATGCTGCAGACTGGAAGAGCAGTCTTCACAAAGACTGGAGGTCTGCAGGGAAAGTGTGCGAGCCCGAGGAGATGCCATTAGTCCAGTTAGCATGTATGCAGCTGACAGCAGCAGCAGCAGAGCTCATTCTCATGATTAATCTGGAGCGAAGACTGGTGCCATTAGCACATTTAGCTCCACTCTGTCTGTCTGTAGTTGTGCTTGTTCTCATTATCAGTCCTACAGCTGGCTGTTTAATCGACTGAAGGGATACAACCTAGACACAAATATCATACCTAGACTGACCAAGAGCATGCTGGGAACTCTCAGCCTCCTCTAGTATTTTGCTATTGTTAAATATCACTAGACAACAGGTGTTGCGTTCCCGTGGTCAAGAACTGGACTTCTATGGAGATTTCCTTTTTCAGGACCTGGCACCTGTCCACAGCGCCAAAACCACCAGAAACTGGTTTGCTGACCATGAGAACATGTGGCCATTACAGCCAAGGGCATGGATGTCAGGAGTGATTCACATCCATGCTCGGACTTCACAGTGGGCCAGGGGGCTACGTTTATATTTGTATATTTATGTATATAACACCAGGTGAGTTATTTGTCATTTGCAGTGTGTTTTTGGATTTCCTGGCACCAATTCACACCTGATCCTGAGTCTGCACTTATGAGTAAATAATTAAGTCACAAAACCCTTGAAGCATGTTTACCTTTATTTCTACAAAAATCTACAGAGTTGAAAGAAAAAGACACATTTATTCTGACATATTCTTAATACAGGAAACAAACCAGCAACTCACGGGAGGAAAAACCTCCTCTAACTCTCAGAGCATCTGAAATCTGAAACGATCCTCAGAGTTTCTCTCATTTTAACTGTAGCACCACCTGAAAAAGACAAAAGCATGCAACCATTAGGAGATTATTTTACTGACACAGTTCAGACATTACCTTCAAATTTAGAGTATAAACTCACTGTTATTATCTTTTAACCATCTGAAAATACAACTGTGTCTTGTACACTGGTGCAGAGATAGGATGTTTATATTGTGCTACGGTTTGGTGCTGTTGTTGTGAGAGATTTATCACAGATACGTGCTGTCATGAGCGGCCGCTGCAGTCATCATTATAACTACTATAGTTACTGATACTTTAACATACTGCAAGCGCAACATGTAGACAACAGATGGTGCTATAAAGGAGGAGGTGTGTGTTAAATAAAAGGTGCACAGATGAGTTTCTACCTGGGCTACAGAGGAAGAATTGTTGAAGTTCAGCTAGTAAATTATCTGGATCAGTTTGAAGTTGGCGAAACTTTTTTTAGGAACATAAAGCATTAAGCTAAAATTAACTACTACTAGGCCTGCTGATTGTAATCACATTCAATTAACTTAAAATAGTCCATAATTACTTATATCCTGATCCTGTAAACTGAATTCATATTGTTTCATCATTACTTGCTCTGCAACCAGAACTCTGAATGAGCTGTTGTTGTTGTTGTGTGAATGTTGCTGCTGTACCGTCTCTCTCTCTCTCACCCTCATTCTCTATTCTCTCTCCCTCCCTCTCCCTTACTTGTTCTCTCTCTTTTCCTCTCCCTTGTTCTCTTTCTCTCCCCCTGCCCTCCCACTCCTCTCTCTTTCTCCCCCTATCTCTCTGTATCCCTCCCCAACCCAGCAGCTGCCTGGCGGCTGTCTAGCAGGTCCTACCCAAGGTTTCTGCCTGTTAAAAGAAAGTTTTTACTTGCCATTGTCACTCATGTTAGATGAGATGGGTCAATTCTGTCCCATTTTAGGTTAGGTCTTGATAATTCATCAAACAATAAGCATGGTCTAGACCTGCTCCGTCTTGGAATAACAACTGTTGTCGATTGGCACCATATAAATAAAATTTGACTGATTGATTGATTAGAAGTTTTCTTGAATGTTGCACCTGACAAAGTTAAAAGCCAAGACTATTTGATTTGTGTTTTTTTTTTTTTTTTTTTTTAAAGAAACAATAATGACAATACTCATAATCATTTTGTACCTTGTAATTGTTCTTGTCATAATCTACTGAGATGAATTTTCTCTTTCAAGCATGCTGAAGTCATGCAGAATAACACCAATCCTTCAAAATATGTGTACTTCATGATTTGACTCTTTGTTGTAGTTTCAACGTTTGGTATGCTTTATAGTTCTGCCCCCAAGTGGCAAAAAATGTTTTTACAGCCTTCAGCCAATGTGACAGGGTGAATCTGGAGTTTTCTTATTGTCAATGAATCAATACAAAGATTAAAACTGACCATGGATAAAGCTTATTTTTTTATTTCCTAGTGTATGTGAATCTCAAGTCAAAGCCCATAAGGGTCTGTTTAAAAGGTCTGTTTAAAAAGATTGTTTATCAAAGAGCAGGACATTATGTTTGTTATAAAGAAAGAGTAGATATCACCTAGCCCTATGTGCAGTCTGATGTGTGTTAACATGAACTTTAAGACAAGAAAACCTCAGAGTAAACTGGCAGAAATAACTGCTGATAGTCATGATGTTTGACTGTCAGCTGACAGCCTCACACACTCTGAACAAAACAAGAGGAATCTGACTCAATGGCAACACCACTCAGTGGCTGTCCTCCATTACTGCAGAAGAACCAGATAGCAGTTTGTCCTCCGATTATTGACTTCCTCATTAATCATATTGTATTCTCGATTAAGTGATAAAATAGTTAAATGACTGTTAAGTAAAAATTATTTTTTGCACAACTACTTTCTTCGTTATCTTCCGACCTTTGTCTGTGACATTCCCGTTCACTAAATAACCAATTAAAATTTTTTTATACATAGTAAAGTTTGTCCACTATGTGCTACTGTGGAGAAACATGATGATGCAAGATGGCTGACTCAGTATATAAGGGGGCTCGAACATTTGTAAATATAAAAGGCCCAATCTTAGTTAACAGAGCATCAACAAGTTTCTCACACACACACACACCTTATTAGCAGCCTCAAGTGAGGTGATGAGCGTGTTAAGCTCGTCTCTGTTCATTTCCATGGTGACGGAGCGCAGGCCCGTGTTCTCTCTTACATCTAGACTGAGGCTGAGCAGAGGAGTGTGCAGAGACGAGATCTTATCGCTGGACAGAGCTAACTGCAGGACGGGGATGGGATAGGGACGGGGGGGAGAAAGAGCAGGAGGACAAATGAAGAGTTAATTTAGACAGCAGCAGAGCAGAAACTGTCAGTGAAGGATTTTACACTCAGATCCTGAACTTTGAGAGCTTTGGTCTTTCTACAAGATCAACCTTTTTGGGTATACTAGACACACTGAATACCGACCACACACAGTTCAGATCAGGTACTGGTGTCTTGATCATCCAGAAAACCAGAACAGACTGTTTTTATTGTTGGTAAGATCGGCAGAAACTCCTTCAGAATTATAAATGCCTGTCTGAGTTTTGTATATGGACATTTTATCATAGAGCACTGAGATTGAAAAGTCAAAGTAATTTTAATTTCTTCTGCAGTCCTCACTTCTTCAAGGATTATTAGGACTAAAGTGCCAACACTTGACATACAGTGCATCCGGAAAGTATTCATACCACTTCACTTTTTCCACATTTTGTTATGTTACAGCCTTATTCCAAAATAGATTAAATTCCTTTTTCCCTCAAAAATTCTACACAAAATACCCCATAATGACAAAGCAAAAAACTATTTTTAGAACATTTAGCAAATTTATTAAAAATAAGAACACTCAAATGTTGCATATACATAAGTATTCACACCCTTTACTCAATACTTGGTCGACGCACCTTTGGCAGCGATTACAGCCTCCAGTCTTCTTGTGTATGATGCAACAAGCTTGGCACACCTGGATTTGGGGAGTTTTTCCCATTCTTCCTTGCACATCCTCTCAAGCTTAGTGAGGTTGGCTGGGCAGTGTTGGTGCACAGCTACTTTCAGGTCTTTCCAAAGATGTTCAATCGGGTTCAAGTCTGTGCTCTGGCTGGGCCACTCAAGTGCTGTGTCCGAATTGCCCGCTCGCATACTACATACTACTGCTACACACTACTGCTAGATCCTACTCCTACATACTAAACACGTCTGCCCAATTCGGACACACTAGACGAGCGGTAGAAAAGATGACCCCCGCAGGCAGAGAGTAGGTACTGCGCCTGTTTTAGACTCTTTGAATGGTAATTGTGCAAGTGATGGATGCTGCTGTATTATATTCCTGCACTGCTTTAGAAATTGACAAAGAAGCTTTTCCATTACTTTTAGCCTTCATTCACTCACGTGGTGATCATTTGTTCAATGAGATCTGCCTGATTACTGCAGCTGTGCAGTTTAATGATGGAATAAGTGAGCTTTACCTCCATGATGTCGCCACATATTTATTACACATATTATTCACATATGACACCATGACATGACAAAGAGATACAACCGCACATTTTTTAGGACAGTGTGTGAAGTTACATGAAACTTACATTTGTACTCCTGCGGTCCTGCCTGCTGCTGCTGCTCTGCCATGGTGCGCGCTGCTGTGGCCAGCCGGCGTTCGCGACGCATCTAAATAGGCAACAGCTGGTAGCGCTAGCATCACATGTGCTTCTACAACTTTTAAGAGGACGAAGAAGAAGCCCTTGGTGCATTTTGGGTCAGTAGCATGCCCGTAGGATGCACTGCGACCATCCTACAATGTGGGCGTGTCTAGTATCTGAGGTAGTATCTGAAGTAGCATGCTACTCGCTCCGGTGGCTAATTCGGACATGCTACATACTACTTCCACTACTACTTCGACTACTACTTGGCAATTCGGACGCAGCAAAGGACATTGAGAGACTTGTCCTGAAGCCCCTCCTTTGTCTTCTTGGCCGTGTGCTGAGGGTCATTGTCATGCTGGAAGATGAAGCGTCGCCCCAGTCGAAGGTCTCAAGCACTCTGGAGCAGGTTTTCATCAAGGATTTCGATGTACTTAGCTGCATTCATTTTTCCCTGGATCCTGACAAGTCTCCCAGTTCCTGCCACTGAAAAACATCCCCACAGCATGATGCTGCCACCACCATGCTTCACTGTAGGGATGGTATTGGCGAGGTGGTGAGCGGTGCCTGGTTTCCTTCAGACATGACGCTTGGCATTCAGGCCAAAGAGTTCCATCTTCATTTCATCAGACCAGCAAATTTTGTTTCTCCTGGTCTGTGAGTCCTTCAGGTGCCTTCTTGCAAAGTCCAAGTGGGCTGTCATGTGCTTTTTACTGAGAAGTGGCTTCTGTCTGGCCACTCTACCATAAATGCCTGACTGGTGGAGTGCTGCAGAGATGTTGGTCCTTCTGTAGGGTTCTCCCATCTCCTCAGAGGAACGCTGGAGCTCTGTCAGAGTGACCATCGGGTTCTTGGTCACCTCCCTGACCAAGGCCCTTCTCCCCCGCTTGCTCATTTTGGCTGGGCGTCCAGCTCTAGGAAGAATCCTGGTGGTTCCAAACGTCTTCCATTTCTTAATAATGGAGACCACTGTGCTTTTTGGGATCTTCAATGCAGCAGATATTTTTCTGTAACCTTCCCCAGATCTGTGCGCTGATACAACCCTGTTTCGGAGGTCTACAGACAATTCTTTTGACTTCATGGCTTAGTTTGTGCTCTGTCGTGCTCTGTCTGCTGTGGGATCTTATATAGACAGGTGTGGCTTTCCAAATCATGTCCAATCAGCTGAATTTGCCACAGGTGGACTGAAATCAAGTTGGAGGAACATTTCAAGGCTGATCAGTGGAAACAGGATGCACCTGAGCTCAATTTTGAGTTTTATAGCAAAGGGTGTAAATACTTATGTATATGCAACATTTGAGTGTCTTATTTTTAATAAATTTGCTAAATGTTCTAAAAAAAGTTTTTCGCTTTGAGATTATGAGATATTTTGTGCAGAATATTTGAGGGAAAAAAAGGAATTTAATCCATTTTGGAATAAGGCTGTAACATAACAAAATGTGGAAAAAGTGAAGTGGTATGAATACTTTCCGGATGCACTGTAACCCACCACTTAAAACACATTTATAAAGCATTGTAGATGCATTTTAAAGGCTTTATAACATAATGGGTGTTTTAGTATATTAAAAGGTGATAAATGCATTTATAAGTCCTTATAAAAGTTTTTTTTTAATAATTACAAGTTTCATAACGCATTGTCACATCCATAACTTTAACCAGTTATTAAGCTGGATAGGAAACTAATATAATGTGCAAACAAAACTAACACTTTTGTACCATTTTCACTTTAAAGAATGACTTCATTTCAACAGAATCCATCACACAGCTACCTCTCTTTTGTCAATTTTAAGGGCAGCATTTCTTTTTTACTTTTAAAAAGTCAGCTTTCAACTTTTCAGAACTTTTATATTAATTTCTTTTTCATTTTTCTCCTTGTTTTAAAGCTCCTGTGAGGAACTTCCTTTGACAAAGAAGTCTTCGCTTACCTCTTCCTTTATATGATGGAGTTTTCTGCTGATTTCTCTATTTATTGTGGATGTTATACGTGGAAAACGCAAAAACAGGCTGTTTCTTCAGCTGCTTCGTCAACACCTACAAATATTTTGCATGGAGTTCAACTGAAGTATAAACATCAGTTCTGAAGGATGGCCCTGATTCAGAGGTAAGATTTATGAAGATTTAAAAAGTTAAACTTCAGGTCACCTTCAGCTGCCAGTCAAAGTCCTGCAGAGTAGCAGAAGAGATGGAGTTGGTTCTGTCCTGCAGAGCGCGGCAGATCTCCTCTCGTCTGCCTCTTAATACACTCAGCACAGTTTCTGCATGGCTGCTGCTGCTCATACCTGACAGCCCGGCCAGCACCTGGACACGGACATAGACAAAGACAAGGACACAGATACAGACATAGGAGGAGGGCTGAGAGTCTGAAATCTCGACAGGCTTTCACTGCTGCTGAGCATCACACATACTGCACACTACTGCAGAAGGTAAAAACAACCTCTGCCTCCGCACAGACAGCAAGATGAACACGAATCTTCAACAGACACTCTATCACAGCCTTTAAAATATCATAGGTACAATCTGAAAGCATGAATGTGTTGTAAATTATAAATTAGCTTTTTTCTGCTGAGTTGAGCTGACACATTTGTGTTTTCTTACCTCTTCATCTGAGCTGTTGTTTCCCACCGCCAGGCGGAAAAAACCTGTAAGGGAGTTAAGGAGGTCCAGCCACTCCTCCAGACTCCAGGTGGCGCCATAGTCCTTCCTGCATGGAGGCTCCCGACCACAGATATCATCCACCACCCTGTGACACAACTATAGAAGGAAAAAGCTCTATCGATTCAGGCCCTTTAAAAGCTTCTTCTTTAGCTTGAAACTGAAGAACTATATACAAGTGTTAAAAGATTTCAAATACTTTGCTCCAAAAAGTTTCTTTTTGAATTCTGGACCAAGAAAACAAACAAACAAACAAACAAAAAAAAAAACAGCAGTCAATGTTTATCCTGTCCTCAACGTGCTTGAAAAGCGTCTTCTGACGAGAAATCTTATCCTGATAACTCTTGATGCATCATTTTTTTTAATTTTTAATGTTAGTCTGTTTCGTAGCTAGTTAAAATTATCCACACAGTAGCTGTAAACTGTAACCTACGGATGTAAAAAATATACTTTAAAATCCTCTTCTTGTTAGACAGCATTTGGGGATTGTGTAAGTAATTACTTGTCTGCAATGCTAAGGTGAGCAAAAGAAGAAAAATCCCAAAGATGATTTATAATTTTCCGAAACGGTGAAATATTGAATATCTGGCTGTCACGCGCGATAAGGAAACCATCAAAAAACTGTTTCAGATTACAATGATTATCTTCATATGTTGCATCTGCTTTTGCACCACTAGTCAAAAACACCGAATTGTTCTTCTTGTGTATCATAACAGCTCTGTACTTACTTTTAGACAATCTGCAGCAGGTAACCTGCTTAGCGAATCCACCATGTTTCCATTTGCTTCCGCCTGACGATCAGCTGAAGCCTGTCACGTGGTGGACAAAGCTGCGTTCACATGACCTGGAAAGATTAAAGTCAACGTATCAAACTACTTCCAAGTACGGATATTTTATGGTAGTATTTGAATAAAATCTGTGTTAGCATGCACTTTAGTTTTCTTGAAGACTCCAAAATCAGGCAACTGGACTGTGTAGAGTTGAGAACTCAACTCAACTCTACTCTACTCTACTCAGTCCAGTTCCCTTATTTTGGAGTCTTCAAGAAAACCATAACCTGGATGAATGAGAATCTACATGGACATGTACTTTAGTGAATTACATGTTGGAAACCTGAACCCTGTTTAAATATCTACGGCCTACGTATTTTTCTCTGAACTTCAACGGGGGCTCAAATGCAACAGCCAGTCAATTGTTTTTAAATTGTAATTTTTAAAGGCTTACGTTTTATTTTCGGTGATTCGATTGAATGCCGAATGTGAGAATAAAGCTGAACATATCCAATGGGGGAAAAAAATGCTGTAACTATGTATGCTTTACGGCAAAAAATAATAGAACTTAAAATTGAACATTTTCTTCATGGGGTTTTGTGGGACGTCGCTCCGTGAAAAGGCGGAACGGTTGCAACAGCAGCAGAGCTACACCAGCTAGTGTTTCACATCCTGCTTTGTGTTGTCAGCTGGTTGTTGGTGAGGTCCTGTGACAAACACTTATGTGACTGTTGATACAACAGACAGTCGACGGAGAGAACCAGGAGGTAAGCTTTGTCCTCTTCTGTCTGAGCTGTAGTTTGATGCAGGGAGCAGGTTTATTCATTCATTACAGTTCAGGTGAACGATAAGCTGAGGCGAAGAACATGGGAGAGTACAGCGGGCCTAACGTTACTGTATCAGCGGACACTCCTGTCAAGATACGCTGCTGCTCATAACCTTAAAACACTGTGTCATAAACAGCCAATTAATGTGACTGGAAGAAAACCGACCGTCTTCTTTTTCTGCCTCGATTTTTTACATAAATGTAAAGGATCAAGTCAGTCAAAAAGGCTGCAGTTAAGTGAGGTTTTCAGGTGTGGTTTCCAGTCTGTTAAGTTCTTGGGCTGATAAGGTTGTGGATAAGCCATAAAACAGGACTAACAGAAACCTCACAAAACAGCTGTTATCCATGCACCTGCCTTACATTGACAGGGGTGATTTACTATAGGTGATATAGTAAAACACACCAGTAATTATAAGAACACCTAGAGCCTTCTGCGAAGTCCAGTTTGATATTATTTAAGGCAAGAGAGTCATATGAGGAATATGGTTGAAAATACAGCCACATATTGTTTTTTGCAAGCAATGTAATTTAGACTGATGACAGCATAATTGTTTGAATAACAGTGCAGTCCTACATTTGTAAAGCTTTTTTGAACAGTTCAAACATGCAGCTTTGAAAAACATAAATTATTTACAGAAAATATATAAAACTATAGCTTTCATCCCGCTGAAATAGTCAGAGGTGACTTTTTTCATATCCTACTGCTGGTTTATTTTCTCTCCTACATGTTCTCATTTTAATATTCTATCATTTCATAAGAAGGTCAACAAAGGTGTTCCCCTTTTCTACTGTTTCAAAAGTACAAATATGTGTCCCTGACTTAAGACACCCAGTTTCACCTGTATAAAGTTTAAATAGATATCAACTACATTAGCTATTGTTTGAGTTAACACACACTATGGGTCCTGATTGAAAGCACAAGTTTTGTTCCCTAAAAGTACAACTCTCTCAAAATATGACCAATTTAATTCTCCAAATGATGCTTTATCCATAACTGAGTATTTTTGGTAATAATAATTGTAGTTTTAAAGCATCCTAAGCATTTGCATGTTAAATATGTCAAGATGGGGAAAACTGAAGCTGTTAGATGTTTAAACCCTTCTGAAAAACAGAAACACGCAGAGTATGTGTGAGATGAAACTCTAAAAAAATGTGACACAAAATGTAGCTTGATTATTGAATAAAAAGCCCCTCTTGTTCATGTCATACATAAACTAGATTGTGAAATTATATGCTTCTTACAGAAGTAAAGGTTTTGTCTCTAAATGAATCGTCTGCAGAGTCCACGTAGAGTTATTGTCTATGCAGGAAAACCCAGCTTGCCAGGAAATTTGTAATTCTGTCAAATATGAGAGGCAAAAAGACTGATGTTGGTTTAGGGAGCTGGTTTAGCTCAGTTGATAGAGCAGGCCCCCCAGATACAGAGGCTGCAGTCTTTGTTGCATGTTGTTGCAAATTTGAAATGGATGTAATAACTCATTTTGAAGAGTAACTCTAGGTGTAACCTATGGAAAAGGCTGAGAGTAACCTAGAGTTAACACTTAATAAATAAATAAATGGTAATAATAATAAATGGTAGACCACCTGTTGAGTTTACAATATGACTCCAAGAGACTTTTTTGTTGGTCCAGGCATGATACATATTCTTGCTAAATGCCATGATTATAGGTTGAGTATGCTGTAAGGACATTCCTCTCCTTACACAGCCCTGAACAGTTAATTTAACAACTATAATCTCTGCTTCCTGCAAGTAACTGCAAAATGTCATTAAACTTTTATTTTTAATAACATGGAAATCAGTCCACGGCTTCCAGACACGGCTTTATAAAGCTGTATTTAGAAAACCTGTGAATAGATTTTTTGCTCATTTGAAAGACTGAATCTGTTCAACTCTGTTCAGCTGTTTGGATATCAGACCCGTTTTTAATGCTAGGATTTATTGCAGAGTTGATTAATTAGTTTGATAAAGTTGACCTTCGTGTGCATGTGTGTGCAGATTTATTGTTCAGATGGTTAATGAATTTCCTCAGCACCATAAAACCACACCTCAGGGTTGTTGACATGTTATAGAGATGAATTAACTTTCCAAGCCTCCTTTGCTCTTTACAGTAATGATATTTGATTTGCCATTGAACTGGTTTCAATGCTGTGTTTGGCTGCGGGACTTTTGACATCTGTTTCATTCTAACGCCTGGTCCACGCAGGAAGCGCCGCGCACAGAGTTTCGGATCGGCGCCCGTGTTAACCTATGAGACTGTTCACACAGCTTGCGCGCGGTAACGGCTCGCACTCTGGAGCGCGGCCGCTCCGCTTCTCTCTATTTTTGGCGCGCGCCAGAAAGTTATTTTAGCACTTGGACCAGGCAAACGCTAAAGAACTTTCGTAGATTTAGCCATCTTGTTTCTGGCTCCGATTTTGCTGTTTTCTGACTTGGTAACTGAAATGCTGGGAACTAGGGTGTGACGTCAATTTTAGCTCCGGCGTCTGACTTCCGAGGAAACTGGAATGCAGCATTATACCCCGAGGTTTAAGATCCATTGGCAACAGTAACATTTGAGTGTAAAGGGTTTTTAACCTGGATTCAAAAAGAATTAAAAGAAGGTTAGTTTTGCAAAACAGCTGGCAAAGTGCAAGTTAGGGCAAACTGTTGCAGCCGAGCAAATAAACCAGCATGTAATCATTGTTTACCTTTTTGTGCAATCAGGGAACGGGTCCGGGTTTGCATGTCAAACTCCCTGTCACATCCAACATCATTGCACTCATCACTCTAAATTAAACTGCCGCATTGGTGTTTAAAAACAAAGCAAATGAGGTGTGGCAAAACAAAAAAAAAAAACAACAAAAAAAACTGCAGTACCTCTAGTGCACATTGGGGGGCTGCTCCAACAGACAGACATCTTCATCAACATGTTAAATCATGTTAAAATAGCCAACTTTACTGCAAAATGCCAAATGAATCTGTTTGCCAGGAGCTGTAACACCCACATCCATGTGTGATACATCAGAATTAGATTTTGAGACTATATTCAATATTCAGATCCATGCATATTCCTTTACAGGAATATTCCGTTACACATTCCTTTTGTTAAATGGTCATGGCTGCTGTAAAAAAAAAAATCAGACATTCCACTCAGACTGTCAGAAGAGTAGAAATTTCACCTCCTACTCAGTCTTTTCATGAAATAAAACACCTGCTGTCAGTAAAGCTGCCTATGGGAAAACTGCCTGACCAGACAAATTAAGTACAGATTGTGGAGTTAATGGGAAAGTCACATCATTAAGTCAGCAGCTCTTAAATTGGAGTCTGGGGACCTGCAGGGATCCTTCAGGGGGTTTAGACGTCTCCAGTTACAGTTTGCGGAGGAGTTAACCTGCAGCAGCATCATCTGTTCCAAAGAAATGAAGTCAAACTGAAAAATGTGACACAAGGAGATTTGAAAATGTAGATTTAGAACATAAGATTATTTATTGATCAAGTTTTCAAATGATTATAACATTGATTACTAAGAACCCAGGTAAGAAAACTGAGACTTTATGTAATAGGCTATAGCAAATATACCAGGAATAAGAGACAGGTCTGTGTGTGTGTCTGTCTGTCTAGAAAGAAAGAAGGTACATCTGATACAGTCCAAGTGCATGAAGTTGCAAAAGGCTCTCCCTGCTCTCCACTCTCCTCTCTCCCTGCTCTTCTCTCTCCTCCTCCTCCAGCTGCTTTTCCTGCTCTCCTCTCTTCTTCTGCTACTTTACCTGCTCCACTCTCTCTTCCTTCTGCTCCTCTCCCTTCTCTCCACTCCCCCCCTGCTCCTCTCTCTGCTCGCCCCTCTCCTCCTGCACCTTTCCCTGCTCTCCTCTCCCTGCTCTCCTTTCTCATCCTCCTGCTCCTCTCCCTGCTCTCCACTCTCCTCCTGCTCCTCTCCCTGCTCTCCACTCTCCTTCTGCTCCTCCTTCTGCTCTCCTCTCTCCTCCTCCTGCTCCTCTCCCTGCTCACCTCTCTCCTCCTCCTGCTCCTCTTCCTGCTCTCCTCTCTCCTCCTCCTGCTCCTCTTCCTGCTCACCTCTCTTCACCTGTAACTGCCTAATAGTTCGGACTTTATGTCGAAGATTCAGCTCTCCTTTATTTATTTAAGCAGGGGCTTCACTTCCTCACTCTCCCAAACTTGGTTTCTCACTGATCTGCGATGCTGATAACGAATTGAAAGTGAGAGCTGTTTGGGGGGAGGGTCCTCTCCTCATCCATGCTCTGCAAACATAAGCCTGGAAGTTGTGACATGCAGACAGCAGAGGAGACATATCTTGTAGGGACACCAAAATTTGTAAAGAAACTCCTGTTGTTATCTATTTGTTGCACCACTGCTATTTCTAACATTAAGCTGTGTGGTATCGACCCGCCTCCATTGTGGTTGTTGAGTGTTTGTGAGGAAACTTCTTTGTGCTTGGATGCTGTAAGTGTGTTTGTTTGCAGGACCTCGTGGTTTTTAACCTCTCAGTGTTTTAACTGCAGTTCACTTTAAGTAGGTCACATGCGAGTGGCTTTTTGTAAATTCACATCCTTTGCTTGTGTTACTGATTACTGTGTGACCTTTTGTGTTACTATATTTTAATCAGGTCACTAGAGTGTTTCTGATTTTGGGGATTTATTTGCAGCTGATGGGTAATGATAAGAACACAATGGTGACACACAGAGAAAGAGGAACTTCTGCATGTCTGTTTGGAAATGGACAATGCATCATTCACACTTCTTGAAAAAGCACTTGTGAAACAGTAAATAAGGAAATTCAGTATTTACTGTTGGAGTTGTGCAGGACTAATGAAGGTGTAAGTAAGAGGAATAACGACTTTTTTTTATCAGAGGAGCTTTTTAGTAGAATATCAAAACAGCACGCCACTGTGTACTCTGTGCTGGTAGTTTAGCAGCTTTTATTCAGTCAGAGTAAGTGAGAACAGAAGAACACAACTTTGTTTTGTTTCATCAAGACCTTCGCCCTGTTGAAACACTACCAACCTGTAATCGTGGGCTGCCTGTAGAGATGTTATGTGGATCAGCAAGGTTACAATGAAACTGATTTTGGAAAGGAGAAGACTAAGACGTGCATTTCTGCATTTGCAGCATTATGTTGCACTCAATTACACGATGATGGCAGGAAATGTAAAGGCTCCAGCGGTTGGTTACCAAATGCATCATCTTGGGCATGCAGGTAGATATTTCTCCATAGACTGCTACATCCACCCTTGGTGCACTGTTGTTCACATCACATGGTGCTTAACTGCATATGCCACAAGTGTACTATTTTCCACTTTGAGATAGGTTAACAGAAATAAAAAGAAAACGCTCAGAAAACAGTCATAATTGAGTACAATTTATCAACATCTCTGACAAAAAAAGACCAAATATGAAACTGAAAAATTCAAAATAAAAATTCACTCTATCAAAATCATAATCAGCAGGGATGCAAAGGCTGAGTCAACTAAACCACTGCTCTGCTTCAGTATTCAGGCCCGAACTACACGAATGCGGATATATTTCAAACCGCACATATTTATGTCCGATTAGGCCTCCCTACCACACCAAAATGGGAGTTTGGAGCACTCAAACCGGATAAATCTGAATCCGAAAAACAAGTGGAGAAATAAAAAAAATACCCGTATCCTGTATCCGTAGTGGATTCGTGTGGTTGGACTTTTACGGATCGATGACGTCAAACCGCAGCTCGCGCATGCGAATTAAAAAGAAAAACAACAACAACAATGATGGTGGACATACAGGGTATTCTTTATGTTTGTTTTGCCCTTTTGGGGCTAATTTCAGCCTTGCAAGTGAACCTTGTTTTATACAATTACATCCACCAGTCAGCCAGCTCACAGACGCGTCTGCTGCGGCCAATACTTTTATTGGTCACATGGTCCGTCACATGGACCCGACGCACTAGCGTAGCTTCCGCAAACAATGCATGACGCATCACGCTGTTTCGATTCATCGGCCAATCAGATAGCTTTGTTCCTTAATTTTTTTTAAGCGGCACCAGATAGGATTGAGTTTGAAGGCTACGTGTGGACGCAGATATTTTTGAGAACTAACACGTGTGGACAGATACATTTATTTAGACGGCAGTACAAAAATATCCTGATAAATAAATGTCTACATACGTGTAGTCCGGGCCTAAGAGTTTCACTCCAGTAAACCTTCCTCCTGTGTTAGCTTTCACTACACACCCACCATGTCAACGGGTCAGGTTCGACCTATTCTTACATTAGCTGCAAATTACACTAAAAACTGTTATTCATCTGCCAATTTGGTTCTCATCTCTAGGTTACCTTGTTAGGCTTCTTTATCCATGAAAATACTGCTCTTGAGATTTTTTGGTTTAGGCTTCTTGCCTTTTATTCATCAGTATACCCCTCAAACAGACAACCCTAACAAGACAAGTGCCACAATTTTAACCAGAGCATTTTATAATTTAGTCTATTAAATTATTTTTTTCATTTTGTTGAAACAGAGGTTCCTGACAAAGTCAGAAAGTCTTGATGCAAAACAAACAAACAAAAAAAAAAACAATTGTATGAGGCTCTTTTCTCCATTTAAAACTAACCCTAACTCAGGAGGAGGGTAAAACATTCTGCTGGAGCACTGTCAAAGTTGTTGTCTCTGTTAGTCTAAAGGGCCCAGGCTAAAGTAGCGGATTATCCCTTTAAAGAGGAATCACTCAAACCTCTAGTCTGTGCAGAGCATGTGATTCAGTCTGTGTGTGGAGAGACAGCGCAGACATAACTCCTCAGCTGTCAACCATGAGAACACGAGTGCTGTGATTTCCTCTGCAGATAGAGCAGATTTTAGTCTTTCTGTTTGACTAATGCGAAACTTTCCAGGATGAACTCCCTTTACCTCCTCATCACAGCATGTGCAGGAGCTGCAGCTGTTATCTCCTATCAGAGCGAGTCATTATCTCACCCTTGTGCTGAGAATGACGGTAAGCAGGTTAGACATGTCGCAGAGCTCTGTGAGTACGGTCCAAACCCTCCTTAAGGGGTCCCTAAGAGGGGTAGACTACAGAAGCGCTAGGGGAGCAGTGGATGAGAAAAAAGAGCTGAGACTGATTCTCATTAAAGAAATATAAAGTGAGCTGAGAGCTGATTCCTGCTCTGATGTTTTCCTGGAGGTTGCTGTTGTTATTTGTTAGCTGTTTTTAATCCAGAGACCCAAATCAATTGGATGAACATGAGTCTTTCTGTGTTTTTAAAGTTACCCAAGCTGTTACTATTACTGTCTCTAGACGTTTTTAATGTCATCAGGTCTTGTTATAGTCAATGTCAACAGCATTGTTATAAATTTCTGCCACCATCACACTGTTGTACTTTTACAGTAATCCTCCTTCAGGGTAATATATTGGTGTAATTTCCTGCTTAAAATTACAACAGGACAAATAATATTAGAGACAATGAGTCTATTTTAATTCAGCAAAAGTCCAATAACCTGCACCCTCAGGTCTAAGCTGTTCCTGCCAAACAGGTCCAACAAAAGTGACGGGAGAGGGAAGGAGATATCAATCTAACAGCAGACAGGCCCACATGGCTGCTCTGGGAGGGGATCGAATGAGTGATAATACCTCTGTGGGTTCACAGCTGCTGTGCACAGTCTTTATATTATATCCCTACAGTCTTATTTCACAGTTCTAGGCATCCTCCATAACAGAGATGAATCTAAAGCTCAGCCCCTCCTCTCAGCTAAACTTCTTCAGCTCAGCTTCCCCTGGCTCATTGCTGTGCTTTTATGGTTCATGAGCTTTGAACCATGTTTGGTTCTTATAAACTGCCTGAACGCCACCTGTGTGGACTGAAATAACAAAGACAGAGGTCAGCCTGTGAGCATGGTGCAAAGGTCTGTAGCTAAAGAGCTGGTTGTCTTAATATGCAGTGAGTGTTTGAACAATTGATTAAGTGAAACTGAGTTAATTTGGAGTGTGCATTCAACAAAATGACCCATGCACTGTTTTTAATTAGTGCCAATGACTTTGAAGTGGTCTGTTTTCTCATAGAGACAATACTGCACCCTGCTTAAAATGCCTATGTGCTATGATTTCAAGACATTGTGGTCGAACATCTAAAATTTAACGTCAAACTTTGTCCAGTAAACATTTGATAGACAGTAGACAGTGCTCCCCCTCATGGTAAAAAACTGTCAGGATTTCATCTGTAATGTGTGCCAAATATCAGCTGTTTTAAACCAGAGCAGCCCCTTTTTTAAAAAGCAAAGTATTGATATTGTACTGAAAATAAGCAGACATAGCTCCACAAGTTCATTGTTGTGATTCTTTACGCTACATCTGATAAAATAGAGGAGGGATGAGTCAGACGCAGCAGCTGCTAGCATGATAGACGTGATCGTACAGCTAAAAGGTGACTAATTTTGTTGTTTTCTCTCTGCAGGATGAAGACACTGTGAAAGTCTGCAGTGGAGCACAGAGGAGGCCACGGGAGGAGGCGGTCACTCTGCGCAGATGGAGCGTCTCCACTGGGTGCAGCATCGCTGTCGGCAGCTCCTAGCCGGCGACTCGGAGCGAGGCTGGTATTCTGCACCTAATGGCCTGCCCAACAAGAACTTCCTGGACAGGCACAGCTCACCTCAGAGAGTCAGCGGGAAGCGGAGGACAGTGTTTGCTCGCCATGGACCCCACCAGCAGGAGTACGAGGCTGCATCCAAAAAATACAAGGGCAATGCCATCAGGACTACAAAGTACAGCCTGCTGACTTTCCTCCCCATGAACCTGTTCCAGCAGTTCCACAGGTCAGATTCACACCTCTGAAACCATCACATTACACATACACTACTGTTGTAATTTAATGTTACATTTCATGTTTTGATTGAATTGATACTTCATTATTATTATTATTTCTAGTTAAAGGAATTGATTGACAAATTGCATGATTTACACTACAGATGGATTGATTTAATTGAACAATTTAGTATTGCATTTCATGACTTAGCTAAGAGAACTGCATTTCCCATGCTCCTTTGCTACCGGATGTTAGAGAGAAATGTCGGGAAATTTGTGTTGTGATCAGAAAAGTGCGAGCCTTCTAGTAGTTCAGACCACAGAGCGATAGCTAAGTGAATGTTAATTTTCTCCATCTGCACCTTTTTGTAACCCCTTTTTTTTCCTATAAAAACAGCAAGCAACTGCACTATATTTACGTCATCCTGTCGATCCTTTTGAACATTGTTAATCTATAACTACAGGCCAAAAGTTTGGAAGCAAGGCCATTTCAGGCATCCAGAAGGCATCCTAACCAGATGCCCGAGCCACCTCAGCTGACTCCTCTCAATGTGGATGAGCAGCGGTTCTACTCTGAGCGCCTCCTGAGTGTCGGAGCTCCTTACCCTATCTCTAAGGCTGAGCCCGGCCACCCTGTGAAGGAAACCCATTTCGGCCGCTTGTATCCGCGATCTTGTTCTTTCGGTCATTACCCACAGTTCATGGCCATAGGTGAGAGTCGGCACATAGATCGACTGGTAAATCGAGAGTTTCGCCTTACGGCTCAGCTCTTTTTTCACCACGACTGATCGGTTAAGCATCCGCATCACTGCTGACACCGCTCCGATCTGCCTGTCGATCTCCCGTTCCATCCTACACTCACTCGTGAACAAGATCCCGAGATACTTGAACTCCTCCACTTGAGGCAGGACTGCTCCTCCGACCTGGAGAAGGCAATCTACCTTTTTCCAACTGAGGACCATGGCCTCAGACTTGGAGGTGCTGATTCGCATCCCAGCCGCTTCACATTCGGCCGCGAACCGCCCCAACAACACTGATTCAGAGAAGGTGTATGAATGTGAGTGTTGTGTGGTGGTGGTCGGAGAGGCCGTAGGCGCAAACTGGCAGCCACGTTTCTGTCAGTCAGTCCCAGGGCAGCTGTGACTACTAAGGTAGTTTACCACCACCAATGTGTGACTGTGTGAGTGAATGAATGATGTATCCAATGTAAAGCGCTTTGAGGGTCTCTGATAAAGCGGTATAATGCATTATTATTATTATTATGTATTTTGGGATGTATTTCCTCCATAATCAAATGTTGCTTTCATGGAAATGCACCATTTTACTCCATTTACCTTTAGATATACATTGATGTTAACAGACCATTGCTAAATATATGTCAGCAAAAGATAATAAGGGCTTAGTTGCAGGGTTGAAAACATTTGCAAGAGTCACAACTTCAGTGCAAAAGCAAAAAAACAAATCACAGTTGGATTATTCACTTCAACTTTTTGGCTTTTGAGAGTCTGCATACAAAAATCCTAATAAATCTTGACTGCGTTCAAACTACCCCAAAAATGGCTAGAAAGAAGCAACTGAGTAAAGACACAAAAATACAGATTAGTACATTGAGGAAAGAAGGATACACAGAAAGAGAAATTGCAAAACGCCAAAAGGTGTTTAACAAAGGAGTCCACTACACTCTGAAGAGACTAGAGGCACCTGGAAGTTATGATGATAGAAAAAGACCTGGACGAAAGAGAGTTACTACAAAAGCAGAGGACAAACATAGCATTGTCACCAGTAAGAGAGATCGGCGAAAGACTGCACCACAAATAAGGGAGGAAATCAACATGACAAGGTCGAAACCCATATCTCTGACAACCGTGAAATGACATTTGAGAAAGGCTGGTCTGAAGGGTTGTGTATCTGCAAAAAAACACTACTTCGTCCACAGAACAAGAAAAAAAAGATATGAGTGGACAAAAGCTCACAAAAATTGGACTTATGATGACGAGAAACAAGTTTGCACTGTTTGGTTCAAAAGGCAGAGTCTATGTCCACTGACAAACTGGTGAACGTCTGAAAGCACCATGTGTTACACCCACAATTCAGCATGGAGGTGGTAGTTCCATGGTGTTGGGATGTTTTGCAGGTGATAGAGAAGAAGATTTGTTTGACGTAAAGGGTATCATGAATAAGGAACAGTACCACTCCATCCTCTAGCACCATGCTGCTCCATCTGGACTAAGACTTGTGGCTCATAAGTTTGTTTTGCAGCAAGACAATGACCCTTAGCATTCTGCCAAGCTCTGTCAGGGTTACCTAGACAAAAAAGAAGAGGAAGGTGTTCTTCAAAAGATGGTTTGGCCCCCTCAGTCTCCAGACCTTTCTCCAATTGAGCTTGTGCGGGATGAATTGGATTGATCGGTCAGAAAAACGCGTCCCACGAATCAGCAGTCTCTTTTTAATGAACTTAAGAAAGCTTGGAATGCAATCCCTGGAACATACCTTAAAAAACTTGTGGAACGAATGCCTGGTATATGCCAAGCTGTTGTGAAAGCCAGAGGAGGTTACTTTAAAGAAAGCAAAGTCTAAGCAACAATAACTCAAATACCTAATAATTATAGTCAAAATGTCTACTGATAAGTTACTCTTTACACAATAGTCATGTTTATTGTGTTGCAAATTATATATATGAAACAATAATCTATTTTTGTACAAATCTGATCTTGCTTCCAAACTTTTGGTCTGTAGTGTACAGAGCAAAACCATTTCTTCAATTTTGGATTTGTGAGCCACCCAAGGCTCTGCCCTGTTTAAAGCCAATGTTGGACTTCTGTCACCAAGTGTTTATACTTTTCCATTTGTCACTGAACTGCAAAATCAAGGTCAGGAGAGTCCTTGCTTAAGTAGTGAGAAATGTTAAAACATACAGGCTGCTAAGTGAAAGGGGACATCCACCAAACTGAAGAAAACCAACTCTCAGAAGATGCTCTGTTAGCTCTTGGTTTCACTACCTCAGCCTCTATTTTTTTTGAAGACTTAAAAACAGGCAACTGGACTGTGTAGAGTTGAGAAGACGTTTCGCCTCTTATCCAGGGAGCTTCTTCAGTTCTAAATATTTCTAGTGTGAGGAGCAGATATTTATCTTACTGGAGAAGGGGACAGACAACAACTGGGAGGAGTTGGAAAGAATGGGTCGTAGAAACCCATCTCAGGGTGCCCGGGTGACACAAATAAGAAATGGAGTGAGAGTTTCAACAGTGCCTCCTGAGCAGATTTATTTTCAACAATGACCATAACAGTCCAGTTTACAGGTCAATAACTAACTTACATTCCAACAACATTCAAAAACGTCCCAGTATTTGCCTGGTACAATGTAATTTATTGACTACCCCTCCAGTACCTGTCTCGAACGCTCTCAAACAACTCTGGCAGCGCTGTGTCAGAAAAGTACCGCTTACTTGGTAATTTGTACCGTGGACTCAGGTGTGTCATCAGATTTATGAAGCCTTTATCCTGTACTATGCTAAACGGCTGGTCGTCCAGTGCCATGAACTCCATTATTTTCCTAGTGGTGGCTTTGGACTTTTCAGTGTTGATGTCAAACATAGGAGCCACGGCGGAGGGTTGTTGTGGTTGCTGCGACTCTGCTGCATCCCTTCTCTTAGTGGCAGTGTTGTCCTTATATTTGCTAAACAAGCCTGGGTGCTTCTTTTCCAAGTGGCGTATTAAGTTTGCTGTTCCAAATGTCTTGGGCGTTGATCCTCCACGGCTGACTTTTGACTTGCAAGGATTACAAACAGCGTGTTTTGGGTCGCTCTGGCACACAGTGAAATAAGTCCATATCACCGACATGTTTTCTTCCTGAGTCTTGCTAGTTTTTAGCTGGTTTGCTCTGAGCTGATGCACACTGCGCATGCGGGTCAGTTTGCTCGGGGAAAACCGGCAAATTACGACAGTGACTGGCCGGTCACCGGTTGGGGCCGGTTGGATGTAAAACCGGCTTTTTAAATCGGCGGCCGATTGATCGGTGCATCTCTACTCTGTTTATGTCTCGGTGTTTTGTCCTTGGGATGGACTATTTTCTGCCTTAGTGTGTTACCAGGGGGGGCACCCAGGCACCCTCCCAGTCGTTGTCTGTCCCCTTCTCCAGTAAGATAAATATCTGCTCCTCACACTAGCAATATTTAGAACTGAAGAAGCTTCTTGGATAAGAGGTGAAACATCTTCTCAACTCTACACAGTCCAGTTGCCTGTTTTTAAGTCTTCAAGAAAACCATGACCTGGATAAATGAGAATCTACATGGACATATCTCAGCATCTATCTGTACGTGATCATTTTTTGGTGCTACTCTGCTCTGTCCTCGTAGGGCCGCTAACCTCTACTTCCTGTTCTTGGCATTACTGAACTGGGTGCCTGTGGTTGAAGCCTTTCAGAAGGAGATCACCATGATACCTCTTGTGGTTGTTCTCACCGTGATTGCAATTAAAGATGCCCTGGAAGATTACAGACGCTATCTGTTTGACAAGAAGGTCAACAACAACGTGGTGCGAGTATTTTGCAGGTGAGTAACCCTTCAAGTCATTCACTCTTTTGTTTCTGCTGCTGTCTGACGACGATATACAACGAGAACTTTATAAATGCAACTCAAAACTCCAAATTCAGTTTTAAGAAGGCGGTCAAGGAAATGTATCCTTTCCAACAAATGGAGTGAAGCCTGTGAGCTAGTTCAGGCAAACTAGAGCTCCACATTACTGAAGCTGCTCATGCAAAAGTGCTGCACTCACATTTTCAGCCTCAACAGCACCCAAGGATCCTTCTGGAGGGTCCAACCAGGGGTTTAAGATACTGTCTCATCATTCCACAGTTTCTGCATGAAAAAGTACAACTGCGGGAAGGCTAGAGTTGATGCCCGGATTCCAAACACAAACAATGCCCTGCTGTTCTGCAGCAATAAATGGCTCACAGCATAAACTCTAACTAAAGTGTAATCTTTGCAAACTGAAATTTTTAAATTCATCACCTGTAGTGTCAGCTGCTGTATTGCATTTCGATTAAGCTGAATGTGGCTCCACAATTTTGTAGAAAAAAGCTGAATTTCAGGATTACCAGCTGTCCCTGTCTATAAAGACAGTCTCTGGAAAGGATGCTGATGTACTTGATAACCAGCGCATGCTATTTTGCTGTTGTGATTGTCTTGTTAGGGAAGCTTTGCTCAACCATGTCCTCCATTTTTGTGGACTAACCTTACTGTATTTTTTTACTGAGGTCAAGAGTGCATGCTGTGATCAGTTCACGATGAGAGCGCCCTCTGTTGGATCATATGTCAGGATTGTCCTCATATGGACAATCCTGTGCCACTGGTTCAATGTTGGGGAATCTTGGTTGCAACCAGTTGTTGGTTGTTATGGCTTTCCTACCACTTGCCAAAAAAATCTTCAACAGGTACCTGTCCTTATGTAGGACTGTTTCCGGGATTTTACCGAGATATAAAACAACGAAAGACAAGTCTAAATCCACCCCCATTATTTTATTTATCTCGGTTGACACCTCCCTCCAAAATGACTAGATTTTCGGACAGGCCCAAAAAATATGAAAGTGATTAGCCATAGGGGTTCCACATTGTCTACAGCAGTAGCCTCGGTTCTGTGTGCCTGTTTGCAGCGCTGTTAATTTAGGGGTTGTGAAAAATCTCACCACATTCTTCCAGTCAAATTTTCTTGAAGATCTTGAATTTGCAGTGGTCGCTTGTGTCTCACAAATTTCTATTTCAAATTTCTATCCAGGTCTGTAGCCAGGTGGTACCTCTCCTAACCCACTGTTTAAAGCCCCCGTCCAATCTAGCAGGTTCAAATTCTGGATCATATACTATCCAATTCAAGACTCTAACCTGTTTTTCTATTTGTAACTTCTTCAAAACCTTAAACCATAGCTTAAGAGTGAGTATAGTCCATTGAGTCAAGCTGTTATAATGTGTTTCGGCTTGGTTTTTATTTCCTATTATAGATTGCATTGGAATTCTTAACTGTGTAGTTTCCAAGCATTTCCATTTAGATTCATAATTTGGAGAACAGGGTTTCAGTTGTGCAGCATAATAATAGTCCAGTAAACATGGTAAAGCTCTTCCTCCCTTTTCTTTTCCCAGCTGTAGAGTCTTGAGCTGAACCCTAGGTTGTCTGCTGTTCCAAATGAACCTTGAGATCCAGGCATTCCACTCATCAAATGGTTTTTGGGGTACCTCTAGAGGCAAAGACTGAAAAAGATAAAGAAGCCGTGGCAAAACATTTGTTTTAATGATTTTTATTCTATTACTCATATCCAGTGGGAGGAGGGTCCATCGAGAAATATCAGATTTGATCTCTTTATTAATGGAGCTGTAGTTGTTTTCAAAAAGTTTTGACATATCTTTAGTGAGATTTATTCCTAAATATTTTATTTTGGGCGAGTCCTTTTGGTATCTGAGTGGGGAATATAGTAAAATGTGAGTGTTTGTGTTTTTTGGATATTAAGCTTGTATCCAGAGTATAAATTATAGTTTTTTAGTAGGGACATCAATTTGGGAATGCTTGAGTCTTGGTTTGTAATAAAAAGCAGAACATTATCCGCAAACATACAAGTCTTATGTTCTTCTCCTCTAATCATAACCCTCTTTAGCTCGGAGTCCTCTCTAATTGCTTGAGCAAGGGGTTCTATGAATAGTGCGAATAACGTTGGGTTCAGGGGAAAGCCTTGGCGTGTCCCTCTTTCCAAATGAATAGTTTGTGACAGGTGTCCATTAACTCTGATCCTGGCTGTTGGAGAGAAGTATAGCGCTCTAATACATTTGATAAAACCATCTTTGAAGCCGAATCTTGCAGGTACCCTGTATATATATTCCCAACCCACCGAGTCAAACGCCTTTTCGGCATCTAGGCTGACTAACATTGCTCTGATGTTTTCTGTTGTAATATGACTTATCACCTGTAGTGTTCTTCTTTAATTATCCTGTGTCTGTCTGTTTAATACGAAGCCTGTTTGGTCCAAATCTACCAGCTCTGAGACAATGGATTCCAGTCTCTTAGATGGGGTTGAGGCAAATAGCTTATAGTCTACATTCAAGACTGATATTGGTCTGTATGAGCTACATTCCTTTTTATCTTTTCCTTCTTTCAGGATGATAGAAATAACTGCTTCCTTCCATGATTGGGGGGCTACTCCTGTTCTCAGTGTTCTCAATGTATCAAAACAGTTAAGCAGGACAGGTGTTATTTGTGGTTTAAATGTTTTAGACCATTCAGACGGATAACCGTCTGATCCTGGAGCCTTATTAGCCTTCATCCTTGAAATGGCCTTGCTCAGTTCTTCTTCTGTTATCTCAGCCATAATTTCTTTATGTTGTTGTTCTCCTATAGATGGTAAGTCTAGTGAACTTAGAAAGGTCTCTATTGTTGTGGTATCTGACATGGGCGGTTGGGTATACAGTTCTTTATAATATAGTTCAAAGGCATGTTGAATGTTCTCTGATTCACTGCAAACCCATTTGTGTCTTGGGATTTCTAATCTTATAGATCATATTTCTCTCGTGTTGTTTTCGAATCCTCCAGGATAATAGTTTTATTGCCCTGTGCCCTGTCTCATAATACTTTTGTTTTGTAAATTTAAGTTGCTTTTCAATTTCTTCATCATATGTACCATTTATATCCTGTTTTATTTTATTTATTTTAGTTAATAGCTGAGGGTCTTTTTGTTCCATGTGTCTAGTTTCTAATGACTTCATGCAAATATCTTTCTCATACAAATAACCTGTGAGTCGTCTTTAATGTGAAGCGAGTCTTTTGCCATCAAACATGAGGCTGTAGTGTTGTATTGTTGGGTTGTACCTTGAAGTTTCATTAACTCTTCATCGATACCGTATTATGCATTCGTCAGCCCACCCACTCATTATGAACACCATCCGCCCCTATGATAGACTCCCTTTAAGGTGTTGAGTCATGACTGTAGGCAGAGCTTACAGCTTAAGTCCATGATTGATGTGGTGCTTTGTACCTGAGCTGTCAGCCCCCTGCTCCCTCTGTCTCGGCCTCGCCTCTCCCAGCGTGCAACACCAACAATGGAGAGCTCTTTACTGTCTCTCCTTTTAGATTAGATTAAGACATAAAAAATGTCAAAACATGTGCAGACCAAACCCAGCCCATTGTTTGAGGAGGGATTTTCACAGGTGTAAAGACCAACAAACAGGGTGAACTAAAGGAAAACTCGTTTTGATTTGAGGTGGGTTTCAGTCTTATTTCATTCAAACAACTTCTATAGGGTTGTTTTGTAATATGCAAAAATATGTCTCTAAGCACACATTGAAACCAGGTAGCTGTCTGATTTGCATGTGGTGTCACAGCTGTTCAGGTGTACTAAAAACAAAAACACCAGAGGAATTTGAATGCTGTGTTTCATACTGTGTCTGGTGAATTTAAAAGGTAATGTAGTCATTAAAAGGTTTCTGTAGGTCTGTTTGCGTTGGATCTTTAGGAAAACCTCACCAGCAGCACCCAAAGTGTTTATAGAGTGGCCTTCTTGGTTATGATTTACAGTATGTGTGAAAACGCCATGCCATCGCAGCAGCAGGTGGTGTTGTTTGGCAGCTATCGCACCAGGAGCAGAAGATCAGACTCCATGTGATCAGAGAGAATGATACTGAGCATCTGATCTTATTCATACAAAATTACAAGATAAAAATATAGTCCACGAGTCCCAAAGATCAAGTCCAAGTCAAGTCAAGCCTGAAGTCACGTTGAATTGTAACTCCAGTCTAAGTCTCAAGCTGGAGTCTCGGTCCCCGGAGCATATCAGTTATTCATCACTCTCTGGTGTCCAACCTGTGGAACCCTTTCTCTGTGACTGTGTCCTCCTCCTACAGTCTGTCACATTTTCAGTATATGCAGTAAAATTTTATGGCAGTGACAGAGGCTCTTCTCACCCCACTGTCTGATGGATAACTGACTCTTCTTGTCAGAAAGTCTTCACCAGGACAATCCCTGCTGCTCCATGACTCTCCCTCCCCTTTCTTACTACCAACTCAGTCATTTCAGCCGGCTGTAAAACCTGAACCTTGAGTTTGTTTATGCTGCAAGCCCTGAAAGAGGAGGGGCCATGAATGTGTTACTGAGGCTGTTTGCTATCATCTCCTGTTCCATATTCAAGGATCCCTTTATTCAAGAGGAGAGGAAACAGGGTTCAGCAGCTGTCATGGACATAAAACCACAGTCAGGCCACACTTTCAGCCAGGTAAAGCTTCGGCAGAAGTAGAGTGGACTCATGTTCAGCCTGGAATGTCTTCATCCTGCCAGAAGACGTCAGCAGAAGAGGAGGACAGTGGTTCCTCCCTCCATAGAGGACGAGGAGGTGGGGGAGCTCCTGAAGACATACAGAAACAACAAAATCCGGACGTCCAAATACTCCCTCCTCTCCTTCCTGCCCAAGAATTTGTTTGAGCAGCTCCACCGCTTTGCAAACATCTACTTTGTCTTCCTGGCAGCTCTGAACTTTGTCCCTGTGGTGGAGGCCTTCCAGCAGGAGATCGCTGTGATCCCCATCATACTGGTGCTGTTAGTAACGGCCATCAAGGATATCTGGGAGGACTTTCGCAGGTTTAAGTCAGATCGTTTCATCAACAGGCTTTGCTGCCATGTTTACAGCAGGTCAGTTTTACGTCAGTACTTGTGGTCATTTATATTCACTCTAAGATTATAAAAGCTGCTTTTTCAACTTTTATGGTGGATGTTTGTGGTCCATCATGTGTTCTCTTCATGAGAACACATGAAGGGTAGAAAAATAATCTTGAGTGTTACCAACATTGCAAGCAGAACTTTTGAAAAGAAGAACAAATTTGTTAGGGTTCAAGGTCTGATTACATCACAAAGATCCAGAAAGAAAGCCGCGGAGACATTTCATGTAGATAACAAGAACAAATATCAGTGTGGCTAAACACAAATGTAACTCCAGGATGCATGTTTTTGCACCTTTTACTGAGGTTTTCAAACAATGAACAGCAGCAGCCAGTGTTGAAATAATGGTTTTTTTTTTGGTAGTGATATGAGAACAGAAACTGGACTCTTCAGCCTTCTTTTCATCATCTTCAGTGAAACAGACATCATTTATACATACGGACAGAGGACCTATTCAGTTTTGAGTCCTTCCATTCTGTTCCAGACTTGTTGACTGTTGCGTAAAGCACTGTCTTGTGGTGGAAGGAGTGAAGCAGGACCCTCAGCCTGGGTATCATCTCCATCTAATTTATGATGAAGGAGTTCAGCCTCTGTTCCTCTTATCTCTCTTACCTATCCAGTAAATGGCTTAAAAAACATTCCCATCCCATGTTTTCTCACATATATCTGAGATTGGTCAAAGTCATCCCAGACACCCTTTCTCCCAGCTCCAGTCCTTCTGGGGGATCGCTAGGTGTTACCAGACCAGGTGGGATATAAAATCCCTTTGGTAGGCTCAGGGTGGATCCTGAGACCTCATGCCAGAAAAGCTCTAAAGGGTTTTCCAGAAGGTCCTTATCAAGTGCTTCTTTACAGTACACACCATAATGTCTACACTTAGTGGATAGTGCCATAAGACTCCTTATCAGGCTCTCATGGATGTGACGTCTCTACTCCAAACTCCCCCTGCTGATGTCAGAGCTCCTGATCCCATATCTCTTGTTCACACAGAAACATAGTTTTTGGTAAATGTCAAACTGTTGTTCCGCTCTGACCAGTCCTCTCAACAGAAACCGCCTTTTGAACAGATTTTTAAGCTGGAATCTGGTAAATGTAACCCAGTATGTCACTATGTAAACTGGCAGTATGTGGATCCTGTGATAACAGTGTCAGTGGAGCTGTGGTGTTGCCAGTCAAGTATTCCTGCATAAGCAGGAGAACAAGAACATCAGTGGTGGACTGCTGAGCTGTCTCTGTGCTGTTGACCTTACTAGATTTATTCATGCTATCCCAGCGTGTGCTCACCATCCTCATCACTTTCATGACAAACTGAAACCTCATGTGTTTTCAGATGATTGAACTACATTGTTCAGTGAATTCAGGTTTTTTGAACAAGACCCCATCTGCTGTCTTAAATTTCAGTTGAATATATATTTGCACAGTCCCAGTGTTCACCACCATGAATGGCTGCTGGACTGCAAGTCAAATAACTAACCACTGACTCATTCCTCATGTTGAATGGTCCAGACAATTGAAAGTGGCTTTTCTATGGAGAAGAATGTAGACCCCCTGTAGACAATCACCAGCTGGAGCTGTCACCATGAGCAGCACAGAGGATTTGAAAGGCCTGGCTCTGTCAAAGTCTTAGTAAAGTGGGGACAGTGAGGTGATGGTTGTGATGTGTTATCAGTTCAGGGTTGACCCTAGTCTAGTCAAAGGGGTCAAAGTGGTGGTTTTGAGTTTTTCTTTATCGAGCAAGTGGCTTTCATTGTACCTCTGTGACATCTCCCACAACAGGGTTGGGTCATCAGATTCAGGAGCACAATGTAAACTTGTATTCACTTTATTTTTGATAGATAATTTCAGGAGAAGTGTGTTTGTAATGTGTTTGCAGTGTTGGTCCTTTATGGGTGGGTGGGAGAGGGTAGCTCTTGAGAAAAAAAAGTCTTCAAGTGAATTCTTCTCTTTCATAAGAAAGTCCTCTTGTTCTGTAGAGCGTTTTTTTGGGATCAGTCCCCCAAAAATGTGTCCTGCCTGACGCCTTTAGAGGCTTTTCAACAATTCACTCTGGCAACCCCAGATCCACCCTGAGATCTATTTACCTTGGCTGGTTTTAATCCTCCTGTCTCTCCCTCTTCTCTTTTTCTCCCTCAGTAAACAGAAAACGTACGTTCAGAAGTGTTGGAAGGATGTACAGGTGGGAGACTTTGTCCGTCTGTCCTCAAATGAAATCATCCCTGCTGACCTGCTGCTGCTGTACTCCTCTGACCCTCGTGGAGTCTGTTACATAGAGACCTCCAACCTGGACGGAGAGACCAACCTAAAACAGAGACAGGTGGTCTCAGACTTGCCGTTTCAGGTAACACGTGACCTCAATTTCTGGCCCCCAAAAACAAGTCTGTGTCCACTCATGAAATCTAGGTGTGAGTGTGAATTGTTTTTGGCGTCTGTGTTTCCAGGGAGCAGAGCTGACCCTGGAGAACTTCAGGAGCCGAATCGAGTGTGAGAATCCCAATAATGACCTCAGCAGGTTCAGAGGTTACATGTGAGTTCAGTTCTTATCTGTCAGAAATTACTGTCTGATCGAGGATTTCAGCTGCAAGTCAGGACTGCAGACAGACCAGTTTCTCAGCAGGACTCTTCTCCTACAGAGCCATGCTGTTGTAATCTCTGTTGTCAGAATATGATTTGTCATGGTCTTGCTGAAATATGAAGGTTTTCACTGAAAAAGTCTTTGTCTGGATTACAGCAGATGTTGCTCCTAAACCTGTAGATATTGTTCAGCATTAATGGAGCCCTCACAGATGTGGAAGATACCCATGACATGGACCTTTTGTACAGAGATTTCTCCAGATTCTTTGAATCTTTGAATGACAATATCACAATTTCTCTTGGCTTTCATAGAATTCTGCACTAAAGCCTCAAACACACTTGTAGTCCCCTTCGCTGAAGTAAACAGGATCGTAGCGTGTGTCTGATATTTTTCTGCTTCATGTCCCACAGGGAACACCCTAATGGAGTTCGTGTTGGCCTTCATAACAGCAACCTCCTGCTGAGGAGCTGCACCATCAGAAACACAGAGACCGTGGTGGGCATCGTGGTCTACGCTGGTAAGAGAAAACTAACTATATGACATCTGAATTACATATACTGTAGTTCCAAGCTCATACTTTGAAGAAACTGTTTATGCTTTATGTCAGATGTTTCACAGATTCCCTTTTGGGGTGCTTTCTACATGAGTACTTGGATGATAATGAAAAACTAAGACAATATCTTTCAAGAGTGAACTTGGACCTTTTGGATTTAAACACTGAAGAATTTTTCCAACTTTTGAAGATGAAACAGTGTCAGTGCACCTCAGTGAAAGAGCTAAGCAGTCAACAGTGTTCAGACTTCCTCCCTCTTCTGTCCCTGATCTCTTCCTCAGGTCATGAGACTAAAGCCATGATGAACAACAGCGGGCCTCGCTATAAGCGCAGCCAGCTGGAGAAGCGTCTGAACACAGATGTCCTGTGGTGTGTGGTTCTGCTCATCGTCATGTGTCTGACCGCCGCTGTAGGTGAGTACTGATGCCCAAGAGCAAATATTGAAGCCAATTACGCAGAGAATAACACACGTCTCTGCTCTCTGATCCTTGTGGACTCAGTGTTACTCCGCAGGCTGAAGGAGTCACTTAGTGCAGCTTTAATTCTTACTTTCTCAAGGAATGCTGTGGTTCTGCTGTTTGTGGCTCTTTAGGTCACGGTCTCTGGATGAAGAACCTCAAAGACCCGATCTTTCAGGTGGATGGGGAGACGTCTCCTGCTCTGGCTGGTTTCTACGTCTTCTGGACTATGATCATTGTCCTGCAGGTACACAGTTACTAACCTACTAACATTTAACACGAAAAAAGCCTCTTCGATGAAGTATATAAATATATATTTTTAAAAGAAAGTCACTGGAAAAAACGAGTAAATTATATAAATACAAAGGTGTAACAGTCCTCTGTCTCTGTTTCAGGTGCTGATCCCCATCTCTCTCTACGTGTCCATCGAGATTGTCAAACTGGGTCAGATCTACTTCATCCACAATGATCTGGCTCTATACAACGAGCAGCTGGACTCCAGGATCCAGTGTCGGGCTCTGAACATCACAGAGGACCTGGGTCAGATCCAATACCTGTTCTCTGATAAAACAGGAACTCTGACAGAGAATAAGATGGTGTTTCGTCGCTGCAGTATCTTTGGGGTGGAGTATCCTCATGAGGAGAACGGTGAGCTTTGAGAAGATGACTGTTGAGGTCAAAGCATGAAAAAACTGGTCTCTGTTGACTCTCCAGGGTAAATAAACTCGGGTAATGGCCAATGTCTGAGGCTTTGATTGATAATGATACGTTTTTTTTAGTTTAAGCTGTAAGTTTTAAATCTAAACTTAGTCCTGTGATAACTTCTCATTCTAAATTTATGCTCCAAACTAAATGTGACCATGGTAACATGGTTAGATTTATGGCAGTGGTGTTTACCAGGTCAACGCCCCCTTATTATTTTCATGTTATTCTGAATTATTAGTTTTTTCTGGAGTTGTTGTAGTGCAGCTGTGTTAATGAGAGGCTCGGTGAACAGAAGTGGTGAACAGATGTGAACACAGTGTGAAGATACTCTTTTTAAGGATTTCTAGAAACTAAAAACAAGGTATCAAAGTTACCACCCTGGATTTACACTCATCCTTTATGTGTCGAACATGAATCAAAGTATGCTGTACCTGCTTCACTGTCACTGATGGCCCCGCCATTTCTGAAAACATCAATAACACACCACAACTTGTGAAACTTTTTACTAACAGTTTCATGAATTAAAAATTCATTACTTTGAAATGAGGACTTTTAGAGTTGAAATATGACCTGACTCGAAGCAAACTGATCCACCTTCTGCAATCACTATAATTCTCCGCTTGTCAGCTCGGAGGCTGGAGGTGTACGAGGCAGAGAAGACTGAGGCAGGCGGTCGTTCTGTGACGCTGAAGTCGGGCTGCAGCGGGAAATCTCTGAGCTGTCGCTCTCTGAGCTGTAACCGCAGCTCTGTGTCTCTGCACACGCTCACCGACGAGGCTGAGGAGGAGGAGGAGGACCAGCTGACCAATCACATCCAGCGCAAAACCAGCGCCTTCTGCAGCCGCGTGGTCAGGATCACACATTACCTTTTTTTATGTTCATGCCTCGCCTGTATTGCTGACATTTTTCACATGACTCTGTTGAATAGGTCACGTCTTAGTGCTTTAATGGTTCCAAAAAGAAAGTTTAATCAGTAACCAGAGGCATGTCTGTCTGTTTGTTTGCTCACTAAATTTAAACAACGAGATCTTTATCTAAGACAGAAACTTTATTATAACAGACAGAAATTAAGACTGAAGCATCAGTCTCTGTACAAAAGTTGGAATCATAACAACCATGATCCATGCAGCTCTTTTGTCAGCAGAGCTACAAAGAGCTTCAAAACTGTCATTAGTCAGACTTTGACCTCAGAGGTGTCTGGTCACAGTAAAAAAAGGGGTTCATGAACTTTTAGGGTAATTGTTTTCTTTTACTAAATTAACACTAAGTCCAGCTCCTGTGGCTCTGTGTCCAGGCGAGGGAGGTGGTACCGGACCCCATGCTGGTGAGGAAGCTGAACTGGCTCCGCTCTCCTGTCCTGACTCTGAGTGACGGCTCCTCAGGAACTCCTTCCAGCCTGGAGCTCACCTATATTACAGACTTCTTCCTGGCTTTGGCAATGTGTAACAGCGTGGTGGTGTCCTCACCCAGCCAGCCCCGACACCAGGTAAGTGGACGCTATCCAAGTCTGGTCTGTCCACTCTGTGTCTACCTTGAAAATAATACCTGACTTCGCTGTCCCTCTGTGCCCTGCAGGTTCCTGAAGCTCGAACTCCCCTGAAGTCTCTGGAGGAAATCAAGCTGATGTTCCAGCGCTTCAGCTTCTCCCCTTTCTCCACCCTCTCTCCTCCTCAGATCAGAGGAAGCCCTCACAGCTTCACCAGCAGGCTGTTTGCCCGCGGGAAGACCGGCTCCTTTACTTTCCCAACGCCTCCTGACAACACCACAGGCAGATCTGAACCAGGCCTAGAGGACCAGCTGGAGACCTCCAAACTGGACTCACTCTCCAGAGCGGAGGGCAAAGATGCAGGAGGGATGGAGGAGAGGGAGGATGGTACCACAGAGAACACAAAGATGAGCCCTGATGAGAGGGACTACGATGACGAGCTGTTGTATGAGGCTGAGAGTCCAGATGAGGCCGCTCTGGTCCACGCTGCCCAGGCGTACCGCTGCACTCTGAGGGGCCGCTCTGCAGAGAGCCTGCTGGTGGATCTACCGGGGATCGGCTCTCTGGTGGTCCAGCTGCTCCACATCCTGCCATTTGACTCCAACAGAAAGAGGATGTCAGTGGTGATCCGCCACCCGCTGTCAGGACAGGTGGTGGTTTACACAAAAGGGGCAGACTCAGTCATCATGGACCTGACAGAGACGCCGAAAGGTAACAAGCTGTGCAGGTTATGCTGAAGAACAGCAGTGATCCATTTTGACCTCCTGACTGATCCAAAGAGTGGTAACAGTGACTCTGGTGAATGTGTGTGATGTTCAGGTGCAGATCACGCTCAGGAAATCTACGGACACATCAGAGAACAAACCCAGAAACACTTGGACAGCTACGCCAGAGATGGTCTGCGCACACTCTGCATTGCCAAGAAGGTAACGTTTGAGGCCAGTAGGACAAAAGAGCTTCCAAAAATACACAGCATATTTCTAACACATATTCACCGCCCCCTAGTGGATTGTTGCAGTGTAGTTCTTTCAATGTGATAAAGTGTCAGGGTAAAGCTCAGCCTGAGTGTTTGTATTGTGCGTCAGGTTCTGGAGGAGGAGGAGTACGAGGTGTGGCTGAAGAGGCAGCTGCTGGCAGAGAGCAGCATCGAGAACAGGGAGGAGTTGCTGCTGGAGTCAGCTCAGAGGCTGGAGACCCACCTCACCCTGCTGGGTACCACTTACTCTCTTAATACCTAACTGCAGACCTGTAGGTCCATATCAGCATGACAACCAAAAGAAACAGAATTTGTGGTCTGTGGTTTTGATGCGCTCTTGGAGATGCTCTAAAAAAAAACTCTCCTCTTAGGCACTACAGGTATCCTGGACCGACTGCAAGAGGAAGTCCCAGAGACCATTGAGGCTCTTCAGAGGGCCGGGATCAAAGTATGGGTCCTCACTGGTGACAAAAAGGAGACAGCCATCAACATCGCCTACGCCTGTAAACTTCTGCGTCCAAACGACCAGCTGCTGACAGCCAGCTGTGGGAGTAAGGTCTGTCACACCATAAGTGAGCTTTTTTATAACCAGAGACTTTTTCTAAGATGTGGTTTGATTTAGCATCGACTTTTAAACTATCTGACCACGTTAGTTCAGACCCTCAGCTTCAGTCTACAACTACACTTGTGGTTTGACGTGTTTGACATGCAGTGCCTTATTTTAGTGGTTTTCTGATCAGACACTGACTTTTGAAGTATTTTCTTTTGTTTGTTTTAATAACCAAAATGAGTATCATTATGTTGGTCAGAGGCTCTGTACAAAAACGACATTAGTAGTATCTTATTTTCCCTACTTCCTGAGTCCTGCACCATTCCTGAGTACCTTTATAACCCTCCTCCTGTTTTTTTTTCTCCTCCAGGAGGCATGTGCAGCTTTGCTCCAGCAGCTCAGACTGGAAGTGCAGCATGGAGAAGACAGTTTGACAACAGGAGCAGGGAATCATGGAAAGTCCTCCTCTGACTGCGGGACTGGCTTTGTCCTGGTTACAGATGGCTGTACACTGGACTGGGCCCTGCAGGAGGACCTGAAGAATGACTTTGTGGTGCTGAGCTGCAAATGTAAAGCAGTGATCTGCTGCAGGTCCACGCCCCTGCAGAAGAGTCAGGTAGTCCAGCTGATCCGAGACCAACTGGGTGTCATGGCCCTGGCTGTGGGTGAGGACTATGTACTTTGCTGTGGAGTCTCTGTATTTCTTTGAAAAAAAAAAGATTTCACTCGTTTATTGAAACAAGAAGATGATCTGAAAATCCTGCTAAATTCTATTTTGTAGAAGTTTCAGTTTTGTTCTCTGCGCTGTGTGAAGGTGAAGGTGACTTTAAAGGTCATTTTGTTGGTCTCTGAAGGTGATGGAGCGAATGATGTGAGCATGATTCAGGTGGCTGACGTGGGCATCGGGATCTCTGGTCAGGAGGGCATGCAGGTAATGAGAACTGTATTTAGTGTATCAGAACTAATGGGAGGAGAGCTTTGATTTGAACAACCACTGTGCAGGGACTCTCAGTGATGCTGTTTCCTTTTGTGTTGATAACATTGGGCACTGAGCCCTTCCTCATGTTTCCTAACACTGACCCTCATCTGCTTCTGTCCATCAGGCGGTGATGTCCAGTGACTTTGCTGTCTCCAGGTTTAAACACCTCAGGAAGCTGCTGCTGGTCCACGGCCGCTGGTGTTACTCTCGCCTGGCTAACATGATCCTGTACTTCATCTACAAGAATGTGGTGGGACTCCTATGAACTCTACTTGTATAAAATGAAATATGATTGGCCAGTTTATTTCTCACTTATGTAGCTTTTCAGATCAAATTGTAGTTGCCTCCTTTTATGCTGCAGAGTCGTCACAAAATTATTGTGTACAATGTTGTGAATGGTGATAAATTTGATCGGGTTTCTGCAGTCTTGTTTTATGAAATCCAGAAATTGGGCTGAGGAAATTCAGTAGGGAGGCAGAGGCTACAGCTGCAATGCATTGTGGTTCATGTAGACACAGCTTCACAAGCAGCAGGATTCAGGTTTCTCTGTCAGTAGAGCACTAGCTGGACATTGTTAACTTAATTTGCGTTGTACTCTAACAGTTGTGAGTACTCATCTTTTAAATAACCAGAGCATCAGCAGCTACTCTTCAAGATACTTCTGAATCAAACTGGAGCCTGAAGCAGTGACCGGCTCCTCCGCATGATCAAGAAGATCAAAGTAAAACAGGCTGCATGTTTCTCACTGCCTCCTGTTTGTATGTTCAGATGTACGTGAACCTGCTCTTCTGGTATCAGTTCTTCTGCGGTTTCTCCGGGAGTGTTATGACAAACTCCTGGGTGCTCATCTTCTTCAACCTGCTCTTCACCTCCGTCCCTCCTCTCATCTACGGTGTCCTGGACAGAGACACACCTGCAGACACACTGATGGAGCTGCCTGAGCTTTATCAGGACACACAGTCCTCGAAGGTGACCACACACTCATAAATCAGCCCTCTTGGAAACTGTTCCTCTCTGATGATCGTATAGCAATGTTGTAATAATACAGGGCAGCTAACATGAGCAGAGCTAGTTTCACATTCACATACCTGTGCTGGTTGCATAAACATGGACTCTGTCTCCCTGCAGGTCTACATTCCCTCCATGTTCTGGTTCACAGTCCTGGATGCCTTTTACCAAAGCCTGGTCTGCTTCTTTGTGCCTTATTTTGTAAGTGCACTGAAATGAAGAGAGTAACGGCTGATAATAGTCCATTTACCTCTTTTTTACTGTTTAAATTTGTGTGTTAAAAATTCATCTTCCTGTTCAAATCTTGCTGTCAGGCATATGCAGGATCAGATGTCGGGGATCTGTCCTTCGGTTCTCCAATCAACGCCTCAGCGCTTCTCATCATCCTGCTGCACCAAGTCATCGAGAGCCACACTCTGGTCAGACTCACAGCTGATTAAAGTCACGTTGTTAAGTCTGTTGCAGTTTGCAGCATGTGTACCTGGGGTCTCTAATTCCTTCGTACGGTCTTGCAGACGTGGATCCACGTGCTGGTGTTGGTGTTCAGCTCCAGTTTCTACTTTGGCTTCGTGCTGCTTTTCAGTGTGATCTGTGTGACTTGCAGCCCCCCCACCAACCCTCTTGGGGTGGAAACACTCCAGATGTCCCAGCCGCTCTTCTACATTGTGTGTGCTCTTACTACTGTGACGGCTCTCTTACCCAGGTACACACGCACGCACACGTGCGCACACGCACACACGCACACTTTAGTGAAAGCAACATCTTGCACACGTGAAAATCACACAAACTGTGTCTGATATAAAAACAGTCAAAGAAAGTGTCATTTAAAAGGATATTTCTGTGTTTTTTTAAGTGACACTGTACTAGTTGTGTGTTACTGCTCAGTGTTTTAGCCACAGTGGATGTTGATCAGCTTGACCTGTTCACAGAAACTTCGGTAGAAACCAGTTGCAAGCTAGGCTACAGTTTTCTGCAGAAAGAAGTCGACTCAACCACATGATTGAGCAAATTAAAGGAGACTCTAACTTAAACACTCATCTTGGTTTAAAAGTGCGCCCTGTTGAGAGTGTGCAAAAACAGATGTACTTTCTGGGACTTCACTCAAACTGAAATGAGTGTTTGAGTCAGAGGGCTCTATTTTCGTTCCTTGCCGGTGACGTGGCGAAGGCGCGGCGTAAGTCAGGCCCGGCGTAAGTCAGGCCTGCCGCACAGATAAGGCATGCCCAAGCACATTTTGGTGTTTTGGTAAGCGGCGCAGCCCGGCGTAAGTATCCCCCCTCCCTAACTCAGCTCCTCCCAGCGGCGGAAGTCGTAGTGAGGGAGGAGAGAAGGCGTAGAATAGGTTTAACACAGCCGAGACCTGTTTTCGCCAATCACATCAGTTCGTCCCCTCACCTTTAAATCCACCACCGGCGAGGCATATTACAATTTTTGTGAAGTAGTCAAAGAGATCAAGAGATGTCTGAAGACAGTAATCCCACACAATGGCGACAGAAGGCAGCCCCTCAACAAGTGTCGCTGTAAGCGCTGTAGAGGGCGTCCTTCACACTCTCTCATATGAGCACAGAGGGATTTGGTGTGTGTAATGTTGGACCCACTAGCAAGACAAACACCCTTTTCCACAAATAAAGACAATCACATAAAGTTGCACATATTCAAACCTCACGTGACAAAGGTGGGTTGTGCGCACAGATCACAACATAAACTCCAATAATGGCATTAAAATCGGAACCATTTGTGCATAAATGACACACCGCGCTCCGTGGCCTGGCTCTTTCTTTCATAGATGTTGGCATATAAAATAAATTTGACTCACGCAACTGAATATCATAATATCTGGATGTGGGCTTAAAGTAAATAACTCCTCTGATCACTGAAACAAATCAGCTGCAGCAGGACGGGGAGAGGACACGGACACATGTCCAGGTAGAGCTGTGCGAGAAATAAGAGGAAGAAAGAAAAGAAGGGAGACGAATTACATACCTTGTTAACTTCATCATGTGACTAGATATTTAATTTAATTTAATGCGGTTTCATCTGTGTTAATTCGGTCAGGCTGAGTGTCCAAACAGGTGCCAAACGCGCTCATCAGATCAGATATAGATCAGAATATATCGATGTAGATCTAAATGTATGTGCTGACTCAGATTAATAGTTGTGGATTATTGCACTGAAATGTGCCTGACACTGTGGAAACCTGCCTGTGAGGCTTCGGTGACATGTAGACACCACACCGCCGGTCTACCAAAATACCACTAGACCAGCTGCTTTTCTGCCTGCACTGAAAGCTGACCAGGTTTGAATGGGCGAGCTTTCGGTACACTTTCTACGCCGCCAGCAAGCACGAAAATGTCACTGCGCCAGCTGATTCTGTCGACACCTCCCCCTACCGCGCAACGACGCCCAGCTTGGCAGACCGCGGTGCGCCTCAGTCCACTAAAATACCAAACTGGCTGTGCACCGGGCTCCGCCAGACGAAAATACCACTGCGCAGGGTCCGCCACCCTCTGCCGCATTGCCGGCGGGCACAAAAATAGAGCCCAGAGTCTCTGTAAATTTAGTGAATTATGTGACTGATTCTGTCTGCAGAAAACTGTAGCCTGTAGCTGTGTGCTGGTTCTTGCTGCAGATTCTCATTGAAGAGGCCAAGCTGACTGACATCCATTGTGCTGAAAACTCACATGCAGCATTATTACTGACTCCGTTTCGAGCACTTTTTCTGGTCTGTTTACGACTTTCCGACATTCACCCTCTTTTTTCAGGCTGTTATTCAGAGCTCTTCATAACACCCTCCACTCCTCAGCTGCTCTGAAATCAGCTCAGATGGACAAGGAGGATTCAGAGAGATACCGCAGGAGGATGCAGTGCTGGAACCTGAAACACTCCCCGGCCAACAGAGTGCCAGTGTGTGTGGATAACCCTGACCTGGAGCCAAACTCGGCCTCAGTGATGTCCTGACCTTCATTTACACACACACAGAGTCAGAGAGGTGTGTGTCTCCTGTACCACCGGACTCAACAGTAGTTATAGTTATTCTTTCTGCTGAAGCACTGATCATTTTACTACATGAATAGCCAAAGAGCTCTGTGAGTTAATCCATGAATACCTCACTTTTCAATGATGGGAGCAGGATCTATCAAACATCATCAGCTTTTCTCAAATTCAAGACTTAGTTATTTTTGCACAAGTCATAAAACAAAAATTTACCTGATTTTATTTTTTATCTTTGAGGATTATTATTTTTATTATTTGAGGATGTGTTTGTAGAAACAACCAAAGCTACATCTGCACTGCAGTTAGGAGTGATATTAATGAGCTTATAACAGACACAGAGGTGTTTACATCAAAACCTCAGCACCCTCACTCTTTTCCAATCTTATTTTCAAGCTTTAAGTTTTTTTATCTGTTTTATTTCTGAGGAGTTTTGCAGATGAAATCTCAAATTATCAGAGCAAACAAAGAAATCAATCAAAACCAGGACTTAAAGTTAAACATTAAAGCTATTGCTACTGGGTTTTGACTGACAGGTGGGTCTGTTAGATATACTGACCTGATCACAGTCTTGTATTCAGGAGAATGAAACTGGAGTGCTGCTTCAGTATACAGGTGTCTTATTTTCTTCTATTTTCTGTCTGTTTATATTTCTGCAGCAGGTCTGTGAATAGTCGCCAGAGGGACTTTCATATGTGAGGGTTGTAAACCCTCCCTGGTTAAGTGGAGTGAACTGAACAGACCCAGACACATTCACCACGGTGAATTGGTCTGTCAGTGAGTCTGTTCAAGTGAGTTGTCCGTTCTTGTTTTAATGAAAATACATAATCCAGCTCGTTTAAAATTGTCAAAGTAGATTCAATGGACCCTCCAGTAGCAGAAGCCGCTATCTTGTTTGTTAACAAATACACTAAAGTGGCGCTCCTGTGTCATTATCTTAAAGGACTGTGATTGAGTCGGTGCGTCTGCCACCCATAGGAAATCATTCAGAGTAACAACAGTCCAATAACCACCTGACAACAAAAATGAATATGAGCCGGCTAATGAGAGATAAAATCAGGCTGTAATCCCAAAACAGTGTCAGAATGTTTTCTGAATGTGTGGCTCATTAATAAATACCCCAGTATTTAATAATAGGTGAAAGATCCCATCATAACATGGCCATGAAACAAGGGTTAAACTCTGCCCTGCCCCTCCTGGACTAACTCCAGTGAAGTTACTCCGACTGGTCTCAACTGAAATGAAAGAATCTTGCAGTGTGGATGTAGGTTAAGATTTAGTTTTTGTAAAAAATAGGAGGAGCACCATGGTCTTCTCAGGTCTTCATTTCAAAGAGGACGGCGTAGGGATAAAGGAATAAGGTGATGTTTCCTGGAGATGAACCCAGTGCCTCTCCCTCTGCTGAGTCTGGTCCCATCAGCTACTGTTAACCATGATGAACTTTTTCTGCTGGATGACGTGGTGGAGCTGTGGAGCCTTTAATACTGACGTTTTCACCAGGTGACAACGAACAAACACTGAAAAGTGTACGGTGGGTTGAATGTGTTTACAGTCCTCTAACATGGGGACAGTGTAAAGAGACTTTAATAGAGGCGTCTTTTTTGTTTACCTGCTCAGCTGTTGTCTCAGATGAGGTCAGCTGGTGGTAAATGAGATTAATCTCTGAGTCATACTGACTCCATTTTCATTTTTTTTATTTATTTCTCTAATCAACACTCAGCTGAAGCTGCAGTTTACTAAATGATTAATGCTGTATCAAGAGCAAAGTGAAGACGAGCTTTTTGTAATTTTCATCTGTACACACCTGTGTAATAAACCAGCAAATAACATGAAGCCTTAATTGAAAAGCCTTTAACAGCAAAGTGCAATCACCTTTATAATTGTCCTTTTTTTGACTGGATGTATTTCGAAAACATCTGTACAAAGCAATAAACGCACTGTTCAAATACTGTTTTTTATTATCAATATGAAGTTCTCAGAAAACAATATTAAAAGTGACAACCCTGGTACTGTACCAGGCTTTGCTGCAAAATCACCCAGATAATGATCTGCTGTCTTCTGTACTATTTGCAGATATTTACATGAATGATTGATGGACTCAATCAGCTGATGCATATGCCAGCTACAGAGATGTAGTCAGCTGATGGCCAATATGAAAAGCTGATATCTGGCTGTCCTTTTTTGCAAACAAAATACCACAGTCTAATAAAAACAAGTGAGACATTGCTGACTTTGAATTCTTTTTTTTTTCAATAAATGAAGCCAAGGAAATTGTAGGGTCATTAAAAAACTGCAACCAGGGTGTAGCGATTTGAATTTATAATAAGTGTCTGAAGATGAATAATCTCAAATTACGACATTTATGCACTCGTTGAAAGGGGCACCACCCACCTTTAATGGTGGAAAAACAAAAGTTTAATTCAGAAATCAAACATTAAGTCAATCTTAATGTCAATCAATCTCATGTCTTAAACCGAAATTCTCATTTCAGGGACGCCACTTCTGGAAGAACACTAACAGACAAGAACGGAAAAAAATAATGATCTGTTTATTATAGGATAAATTATGGTACAACATACATGCAATAAATGTTGATCAGAAAATGAGGACAAATAATAATCGGTGTAAATAAAAGATTCTGAGTCAGGCTAGGAGCACTAAAATTAATGATAGTGAGTGAATATGCTCTAACATATTAACCTACACTAACTTTAGTGTAAAGCTAAATTTGGATGAACCAAGGATTACCAGAATAAGTGAATATCTGAGTCATGACCACATAAGCGATGAGACAGCATCAGCCCTGTTTGGAGCACTGTAGGTTTGCATACTTCAGTGAGACTTGGAGAAGATGGAGCAGGTACTGAAGGTTTAGGGCTACCGGCAGTTCAAGCAGTTCAAGCGGTTCAGCTCAGATGACGACCAAAGTCAGCCGGAAGATGGGCCAGGAGTTGCAGCACTTGGGCCCGAAGCAAAAACCAGTGCCTGTGATTTCTTTGGATGCTCGTTTGGTCTCACTCAAAACTCTGGCACAGAGGATGACTTTGGGCCTGCTGGGTGGCGTTCAAAGGTGACTTTGAAATCATGTAGGTGACTCAGAAAAAAGGGTCGATGGCCAGTCGAAACTATTTCAAAAATGGCTTTGCTAAATTAAAGAAAAATCAATTAAAGGCTTAATCTTGAATTGCTATGCGCACAAAAAGTTGAAGTTTCAAAACTTGAACTAAGACGATGTCAAAGAAAAACCAAACAACGTGAATAAACACGCGGCATAAAACTTAGAAGACAGGAAAAAACGTAAGACTGAGTAGTAAGAGCTAAGAGAAGACAAAGAAGAGGGCTAAGTGGAGACCCGGTTAAACAAGGAGGTGGAATAAGAGAGGGAGCACCCCTAACTTTACTGGTTTTTATCTCCTTCACACTGGGAGTGTCTCTGGCATGTGTGTGTGAGAAGAAAGAGGAGGGGTCGTGGGGTCTCCAACTGAAGAGGAGACCTCTTGGATGATTAATATCATTAAATGCTTGGTTTCATGATAAATGATTTGATACTTAACGCAAATGCATGAAATGTAGGATCACATTCAACATTCTCATTATGTTCAAGTATCACATTAAACATGCTAAATTACTCTGAAATGAAACAGATAGTAACACATAGAATATGTGAACAACAAAAGAGTTAACACATGCGAATGAACTTCATCATGATTAATAATGGATTCTATATGCTAACATTCAGATTATTCAATATTATAATCACCTAATGGTTAAAAATTCTAAAAAAAATTCTTAAAATATAAACCAAACATTTCTAAACTATTTCTGTTACTTGGAGTAAAATTACGATCCATAGTCAATAAATTTTACTCTTAAAAGTTCATGAAACAGTCTGAAAAGCTGTTGGTCTAAAGAAACTAAAGAATAAGGATTTATTCTGTCAGAGTGATAACTTGGCTTCTGGAGCACTTAAAAAATGGGACACATCTCATTTTAACACAGATTTCATGATTAGGCAGATTAGTACGTTGCTGAATGCATAAGATGTCATGATCAGTCATTTGTATTCTTTCTCCAAAGAAATGCAGTTTTTATCAGAACATGGTTGAGCAGGGTTATACGACAAAGGTCTGGAGGTCAGTGTCCTGCTCCTCAGACCTTTTCTTGAAGACGGTAAATCTCAATTTGGAATGATTATTTAGATGGTCAGCGATGGAGAAAGGTAATAAAAACTCTATTCTCCGAATCAACCAATCGTGAAGAGCCAGAGGTTTTGGTCAACCTCCAGTGGGGTCCATTAGGTAACCTGAAAGTGCAAACAAGTCTGGAAAGATTTATATTATCCGGAGTCCTTGAACCAGATAAGGAACCTTTCCTGTGAGGAATATGTGAGTTTCACACATGGTTGTCTTGATTGCTACAAAGGACTTCGAGATCATTATTTATTTAAATAGAAAACTACAAGGTGAGTTAAACCCTCACACACACACACACACACACACACACACACACACACACACACAAACCAAAAAGTCATATATGACTTAATTATTCCATTAACGTTACAACCCAGTATGATCCAAGCTGCTGACCAGTTTCGGGTGGATCACCTCGTACAGTATCTTTGAATTCTCTTGCATGACACTGAGCTGGACTACATGATTCCTAAAATGAGTGCTGACAGAACCCAGAATAAAAGAAAAAAAAAAAAAGAAACAGGAGAAGGTTGATACATTCTTCACTTTTCCCTTCATTTCCCTGCAATTAACTGAAATTCACTTGACATAATTTAATACAGTAAACACAGAGTAAATGTGCACAAGTAAGTAAAGCTATGGCTGCATAATAAAGCTGCTTTATCTATTAAAATCAAAAAGAATAATGCAGTCTCGAAAATGGAATGAAAAACTTGAAAATATCAGGCCTCAAACACTACTGAGATACTTTTTGAAATGTAGGCATTAATACAATTTAAAGTAACAATAATCTTGATGGAAACAATATTTCTCTATTCCTCAGCCTTACTTTAGTCATTTCAGCAACATTTTGAGATGCTCTCAGGTTTTCTGGTCATAATCAGAACTTCTTAGTGAATAAAAGGCATATTCCAGCGTAAAATTAAGTAATATCCCTTTAAGTTTAGAAAACCTAAATGAATTACTAAAAGACAAAATCAAATCCAGGTGGAGGTTCAAGGAGGATTCTCAGTGTGTTTGGAGAGTAGGTTAAAAGACAGAGCATAAACACACACATACACAGAGGATGATACTGAACCTGACACTGGCCCCGTTTACATGGGTAGTTTTACTCAATCTGGTTGAAATCAATCAGATTAAGTGAATATGATTCCCTCTGTATACATGAACTTTAAGTAAAGAGATCCACATTCAGTGCGTGTTTTCATGGCCCCAGCTCAATCCAATTGTATTGTATTGTATTGTATTGTATCAATGGGAATTGTTAATAGGAACCATTGTTTTAGTTCCGTTTTAGAGGTGCGCACGGACGTGTTTGTGTGTGACACGGCACACACAAGTTTAATAAAAGTATAATCCAGCCGGGTTACACAGCAAGAAGTGTACGCTTCGTCAGTAGCGTGAAACAACACACTTTAACACTCCACCGTCCAGTTTTTCTGTTTGTTTGCCATGTTTGTTTTCGTTTGGGCGTGCTCTGCGTACGTTACTACATGCCTCATACGTACTACCGAGTGCCTGCACAGACCGAACAAGCCTCTCTGTAAACCCAATCCGCTCCACTCAGCCGTATATATGGAGCATGGAGCGGATTATCAATCGGTGTAGACTACCTCTTACAATCTGACCCAAAATACAATCAGATCCAGGTGAATCAGATTGGCTAAGGTGTTTATATGAGACATTTTGAATCTGATTGACCTCTCAATCTGATTGTAAATAGGATTTTTGGACCCATGTAAACAGGGCCACTGTGTTTGAGAGTGGAGCTGATCTCACAGCTACCTGCTGAACAGGACTGTGAGCCTATTTCACTGAGGCAACAGTGAACCATCTCTGAGAGTCACCGTAAAGGGTCAGATCGTTAAATCAGCAACTGCTGTGACGGGGGCTGTAACCTCAATGCGTAAAGCTTTTCAATCGTGAGGCTATCAGCACCCTCATTGACCTTTCATTTTAGAGGGTGTGGAAACCACTACACCCATATCATTTGTCAGGCCTGGGATTAAGGGAGGACTCAGACGCAGAGGTTCAAAGATCAAAAAAACGCTTTATTTTGAAAAATTGTCTTCTTTCTCAGTAGATAGAGTGACAAACAAATAGGCTATGAAAACCTTCTATCTCTCTATTAATAGAGAACAGACAAAACACAAAAACAAAATAAACCAAGACAGAACAAAAATTCACTCCAAAAGGGAGGACAAATTAATAGGCTGATCTTCTCTCATCTTCAGAGGAATAACTATGAAAATTTATAAACAAAAAACACTCCAAAAGGAGGGAAACAAAAAAGGCTACAAACTTAACTACACTGCACTACTAGGCTAGAAAAATGGTAAGAAAACAAAGTCACTCCAAAAGGGAGGAAAAAAAAAAACAGCAAGGCATGAAACAAATGCTAGATCTAGAAACTCAACTGGAAAAACTACAACAGAAAATCACTCTTCTAAAGCGGAAACAAGGATTTTCCAAAATACAAACGTGGTTATCGGGCAAGGCTGTGGAAATGAAGGCCGGAGGAAAACGACTAAATGAGACACTCTGGCACAGGACAAAGGGAGACGCCGACTATAAGACACATGAGGTTAATGGGGAACAGGTGGAAACAATCAGGGATCTGGGGAGACGTCAGACCGGAAACACAAGAGGAAGGGCAAGTGACCTGAAACGAGAGGGGAGTTATTTTTCAAAATAAAACATGAAAATGACAAGACAGCAAAACCAGGACAAGACACCCCAGAGGAGACTCTGCTAGCATAATTAGGTGCAGCCAAACAAAAAAAAACAAAAACAAAAAAAACATGAGCTTTCACAACACTGAGTTATTCCTCACTGCTGGAGTTACTGCTGGATGAAGCTCTACTCCTCTTCCTCTTCCTCTTCTCCCAGTAACAAAGTTCAGTCAGAGCCTCTCCACACACAGACTGCTGCTGCTTCAACCTTTATGGGTCATCAGGACTGACAGAGATCACAACTTCCAGCTGAAAATAGGATACATGACTGTGGTCAAAAATCAATGTTTACACCCAAGACTGCAAAGAACCCTTAAAACTGCAGTACTAAACTCTCAAGTCCAGGTTGTTCTCCTACAGCACGAGGAGGTACTGATTATGTATCAGGGAGTGCACCAAGAGCTACAGTCATCCTACAGATCCAGCTGTTCATGCAGTAAGAGACAGAGCAGAGGTATGTCTGCTCCACTCCTAGCATTGACAGAAAGCATGACAACAAGCTCACAGATCACAGCTGTTACCCCTTGTCTCTCCTTTTCATATGTTGAAACATAAGATGCAGTCTTGCTCTGAATACAGCATCAGGCCTATCACATTAATAATTATTAAGTAAATCAGACATGTTTTAAAGATGGGGGGGGGGGGGGCCCTGCTTCTGATTGTGTTATTGTTTGTTTTTTCAGAGCACTGCTTGTGGTAGTATTGGTGACTGACGGACTAATGGCAGACTAATAGGTGGTTTATATGCTCTTCTCTTTTAATCTACTGACCCGTGCCTGCACAACAAGTCTGGACAAGGTATATACATGTCACAGAATGACATGTTCTCTCAGAGTTCTCCTGGTAGCAAAACCAGTTACTGAAATCAGGATAGGATGTTTACATGCACAAGCACAAATCCAAGATACTATGTTTCTATGACCAATGACCCTCAAGATGCAGGTGTGATAACAGACTCTGGAGGACTGATTCCAATCTAATAACTTTGAAATTTGAAAAAATAATAATAACTTCTGATCAGCTGTCAGCTCTCTCTCTCGCAGCTTTGTCCAATCCTAAAGCATTCTCTCACAACTTCACAGACAGAGGCAGCCACAGACTAATTCAGTGGCCTAATTCAACAGAAAAAAATGTCTGCTGTGACACAAAATATGTCTGTTACATCACTGCTGATTCCAGCATCAACTGTACACACAGTTACTGACCTCACAGACTCCAGTCTGTAGAGCGGACTCGCCACAAGATCAGACAGCTGCTTCACTTCTGACTCCTGCAGATTGTTTCCACCCAGTTCCAAGTCCCTCAGGTGGGAGGGGTTGGACTTAAGAGCAGAGGCCAGAGAAGCACAGCTGATCTCTGACAGACTGCAGTAACTCAATCTGAAAAAAAAAAAAAACATTTAAAAAAGTAATGAAACATTTAAAGTTTAATTAAACATTAGTGTTTAATTGTGTAAAGCTGATCATTAAAACTTTATTATCAATGTTGTTTTTCTGGATATGAATCATAGACTGTATATAGAATGGACACCATCTGCCTCCTTGCGGGGTGAAGCCACTCCGAGAACAGTACCCTCTGTTGATGGGCTGCAGTATAGGTCATAAATCCCGCCTCCGCCAGCAAAGCTTATGGGGCTGTGGACCAACTTTAGAAATTTATAACACAGAACATAAATTTTTATCCCCCCTGCTTGCGATGTTGACATGTCGTTATTGTAAGACTGGTTTGTGCTCAAGTCCTCTTTTTTCTGTGAAGCTCCATTTTTAAAAGTTATTAGGGGGTTCATGTTTGCTATGATTGACACCTGATACAGCCTATGGGCGTTCAGGGATTGAGTAGCTCACCCGGGGGATATGCTGTTTGAGCCGAGCGTCATCACAGTGACTCTCTGCGACTGCGCGGCCGAATGCGCACAAAGCTACTGCACAGCACTGGTTTCAGGAAATGAAGAAAAATCCCGGAAATACAGAGAGCTTTTTGGCCTCAAATCCGTATACAGGCGGTATGCGGAACCAGGTTGTCCGTAGTAAATACAGTCTATGATATGAATACAGAGATTCAGTCATTCTGTTAATGAGAATCATTATAAAATCAGCTGTCTCACACCATCCAAATGTCAGCACAATATTCATACGCCTGCTCTGAAAGTTCATCATTAAGACACATTCAAACTGGAGAAAACATTGGTTCAGAGACTCTTTTGATTATGGGTGCAGTTCATTTAGAAAGATAGAACAAATACACCTCACAGTGATACTTCATCATCATCAGTGATAAACCAGGGATTGTAGGGTGTTTCAGATCTTTAATCATCAGACACCCTCACCTGGGCAACCCAGCTGGGGGTGATCAGACCCCAGCCTGTGTCCAAGAAGCACCATACATCTCCCTACAGATCCACAGCCACCGGGAGGCCTTTTCTGCGGCCTCAAGGATGTTTTTGGTGACTTTTCTCAACTGCAGTCCTCTAGGGCCAAGGAGTTTGAGCACTCACTGTGGTGAGTGACCTGCAAAACCTCTGCACTCGATTTAGATTGGTTCACAGTGGGCTTTTCAGCCATTGCTCCAGCACTCTGTGGGGAGCTCAGAGTATTTGGCCCTCTTGTGCTCATTTGCTTAGTCTACCCAGTCCTCCCAGAGGACAGTCAACTCCAGAAGCACCACTTGCTTGGTTGATTCCGATGTAAAAACCATGTCTGACATTTGAGAAGCCATGGACACTGCTTGTAAACCTTGTAACCTTGTACACCACTGGGTCTGGGAACCGAACTAGATCTTGCAGCTTTGACAGCTTCCTTCACCTCTGCCAGGGTGGGCTTATCGCTGTTGAATAGGGACACTGCTTCTGGAGGTGTCACGAGTAACTTGCAAGGGCCAAGCTCTTGGTCTCTTTAAGTGTCACTGAAGGTGGCCTTAAAATGCTGGTTAATCTCTTCTACAGGGCAAGCGAGGTGGCCACTTTGCTTCTGGCCCAGTAGCCCCTTAGTGAAAGTGAAGGGGTTGCAAATGAAGCGCTTCCTTTCCGAGCCTTTTCCTTTCCCTTCCTTCGGTGCCATACGGCCCTCTCAATGTGATGAGCTTCTTTCTTATGATTTGAGTGAGTTCCAGAGAGCAGGTCTCCTCTCTTCCTTGGCTGCCTTGAACTGGCATCTCAAGGATTTTAGTTCTTGCCTCAGCTGCCGTATCTTGACTTCCTGCCGATTGAGCCTTGCTCGATTTCTTGCTCTGTTTCTCTCCAAAACGTTCAGCTCCTATGCTCATTATTAGGGAGCACATGGTTTGGAGTTTCTGGTCAGCGTCACCCTATAAAATGAATTCCAGGGGTTTGTCTACATCCTCATCCAACTTGGTCCACTTCTTGCTCTCAGCAATAGGCCACTTCACCCTGTGATGTTCCGATTTCCTGCTTGGTGGGGGGATTCGTGTTGCTTGGAGGTTCCAGGTTCTGTGGAGGGATGCCGGACCTGGCTCCTCCTCTGTCTGACCAGGTTCTGCAGCAAGCACAACAAAGACTGTTGCGTCGACTGCCATTCCTGAGTGTATTTTCCTGTAGCATTCTTGATAGCAAGCTTTTGGGTGCCCCCTTACGGGAGCTGTAGGTCAAGGTGCTGGCCTTTTCTACCCTGGTTGCCGTCTCTCTGGGCTGTCCACTGTCCCTCCAGTTGTCACCACTCTTTTCATGGACGTCATCCAGCCTTCCTTGAGGTCACTGGTGGAGCCAGATATGATAGAGCAAATACACCTCACGGTGATACTTGGGCACATCATCAGTGATAAAACAAGAAATCTGATGACAGTCAGTTCATTTAAGGACAGCTTATCTTTTATGCAGTTACTTCAAAGCTTCGGAGGAACTTGTGGTCTGTGTTGATACCAGCACCCCTGTGGACAGAGTGACACCTCTTCTCCTGCTCTGTAAATGTGAAAGTTGTGTTTCCAGACAAGAACCTCATTCTGTTGTCTTTAAAAAGTGGATCATAACTCACTGTTAGTATGTGTAGCAGTCAGAATAGCAGTTTTTAGCATTGTTGTGGAGTATTTCACATATGAAGTTCGCAAAGTGGTATCAGTTTCAGTTTGTCTGTTTCTCCACTAGTTCAAAATAAAAAAAACTCCTCACAGTGTCTTTAAGTCAGAACAGTTTTAACTGACTGCAGACTATAATCTGAACACGGAACAAAAATATGACAAAAAAGGGACATTTCAATGCATCTCAGGTATGTATGACGAAATTAAACTTGAATAGATGAACATGACCAATCAAAAGTTAAAACAGGAAGTGAATGAACTGACCTCAGAGCCTCCAGTCTGCAGTCTGGACTCTTAAGAAAACCACACAGATGCTTCACTCCTGAATCCTGCAGCTTGTTAAAGCTCAGCTGCAGCTCTCTCAGATGGGAGGGGTTAGACTTCAGAGAAGAGACCAGAGAGGCACAGCTGATCTCTGACAGACTGCAGCACCACAATCTTAAAAACAGATTCAAAAATATTTCAGTTTTTAAATTTGTACAGAGTTGAGGATGGTTTGAAATCAGACTCCAAACACCTTAACCTGACATTATTACAGTCTGGTTGACAAGGATATGAGAGCCCTATTTGAATGCAAGGAGTTATTATTATGCTTTCCACCAAATGAGTTGCTTTTCTGGAGGCCTTTCCAGGCTTGAAAACTTCCCACTTCTGCACATGCACTGGGCATGGGAGAAATTTACATATTTTAATGTGTCCCTCAGAGTTATGGATACAGTGACATGAGTGGAGAAATGACATGTTTGATATGGGTTTGGTAGATGGACAAGGTTTAGTGGCTCATTATGCCACACCCACTATCAGACAGACCCTGCTCTCCAGGACCCCCAATTAGACCTTACCGGGGAAGGCTGAGGAGTGTGATCCTCTATAGTTGGAACACACCCTCCAGTCAACCTTCTAAAAAGGGGAAACCAACCCTGGTCTGCCAATCCAGGACATGGTTGAAGCCCTCTCAGAGATAAAAGTTGGAGCTCCCTCTAATGGGAGACTCTGCCAGATGTTCCCAACAGACCCTTAAAATGTGTTTTGGTATGCCAGGTCTGACCAGCATCCTCCCCCACCATCGGAGCCAACTCACCACCTGGTGGTTATCAGTTGACAGATCTATCTCTTTCCTTATCCATGTGTCTGAGATATGAGGCCACAAGTCTGACGACACAATCACAAAGTCAATCATCGAACTGCCACCCAGGGTGTCCTGGTGTCAAGTGCTCATGTGGACAGCATTATGACTGAACATGGTGTTCATTATGAACAATCTGTGACAAGCTCAGAAGTCCAGTAACAAAGCACCACTCGGGCTCAGATCAGGGGGCTCTTCCTTACAACCATACCCTTCCAGGTCTCACTGTCGTTGCCAACATGGCTGTTGAAGTCCCCCAGCTGAGCAAGGGAATCCCCTGAAGGAGCACTCTCCAGCACTCCTTCTCTGGACTCCAAAAAGGGTGGATACTCTGGGCTGCTGTTTGAAGTATAAGCACAAATGACAGTCAGGATACGTTTTCCCATCCAAAGGCGGAGGGAGGCTATCTTCTTGTCCACCGGGGTAAACCCCAACACACACGCACCAAGCCAAGGGGGAAAAAGTATCGCCACCCCTGCACGGCATCTCTCACCAGTGGTAACTCAAGAGTTGAAAAGAGTTCAACTTCTCTCAAGAAGACTGATTCCAGAGCCCACGCTATGCGTCAAGGTGAATCCGACTATATCAAGCCAGAGCCTCTCCACCTCGGGCACCAGCTCAGGCTCCTTCCCTGCCATATTGGGAAGGACTAGACATACCACTTGTCAATCAGGTAAAAGGGGCAATATGTTTTCTGAGACGTTTGCTATCACACAAACTGTGCCTGGCCTGGCATAAAACACGATCTAGAATAATTAAGCTAGTTTTGCAAATCCCTACTTTTCTATTAGAAAACAGTGTTTGAGAACAGTAGTAATAGTCTGGAAACTAATATTTTTCCATACTTTATTTTTTGTAGTCCATACTTTTAGTTACCTAGTAATTGATCAAATTTATATCCATACCTTCTGTACTTGCATTGGATCCCTGCAAGTAATATTTTGTATAACTGTGCTCAGCTCTTGTTCTGACCAATGAGAATCAAATATGTAGCACAGATGGAGATTTAAAAAAAAAAAAGTTCAAAGTCAGACTTTTACACACTGAATTAGTTTCAGGACTGTAGTTAAATCAGTGTCTGACCTTAAAATCTCCAGTCTGCAGTCTGGACTGTCCAGAAAACCACACAATAGCTTCACTCCTGAATCCTGCAGCTTGTTGTCACTCAGCTCCAGCTCCCTGAGGTAAGAGGGGTTGGACTTCAGAGCAGAGACCAGAAAGGCACAGCTGTTCTCTGACAGACTGCAGTCTCTTAATCTGAATGGAAAAGAAATGATGTGAGTTTATAAATCCTTTAGTTAAAGAATCTGTTCAGACTTGAAGAAGATTTAATATGAGACTGTCAGGGCAAAGTTTATATACTTGGTGAGATTTTCAATTATTATAATGTGGCTGGTTGGTTACAAAGACTTTTTTTAGGTGATGTATCAACCTCAAAACAATTTTTACACACCTCTGTTTGCAGACTTTAGGGTCGGAGTGCTTTTAATTAGAACTGTAATGCTTGAATAACATAATGTGTGTATTGGGTTGATATTACCAAACAGAAAATGAATAACAGTTTTGATTGCATTTGGTAAAGTGTGGCGATAGTAGATATGTATATGTATAAAAATCTGCATTATATCTGCAATTTAATGTTGACACAACTTTAGTCACCAAATTAATCTTAGCATCCAAGTAAAATTTGAGTCTGACCTCAGAGTCTCCAGTCTGCAGTCTGGACCCTCCAGAAAACCACACAGATGCTTCACTCCTGGATCCTGAAGCTTGTTGTTTCCTCTCAGGTCCAGCTCTCTCAAATAGGAGGGGTTGGATTTCAGAGCAGAGGCCAGAAAAGCACAGCTGACCTCTGACAAACTGCAGAACCTCAGTCTGAAAGAGAAATGCATGATTAAGATTACAAAAAAGTTATAGAGATTTTGACTTTGTTACTTTGTTCTTGGGGCTCCTTAAAGGTTGGGTAGGCAGGATCTGAGGAAGTGCCCATTTTCGGGAGAAATCTTAAATGTAAGCACTACCCCTCCCAACCAGTTTTCCCCTCAGCTCCTCCTCTCCCCTCCCTCTCTGCTCCAGCAAGCCCTGCCCACAAACAGACCTTCCTGCTCGCTCGTATTGTTTCAATTAAATTCAGATATAATGCAGATAAACACTTAAGATAATTACAAATGGGGCCCAGTCAATGTGAAAGTAAAAAGCATTGGTGCTACTGTAGATGCCAACAGACTACCAGCAAACACAATGTTTGCAAGACTCCTACAACTAGGATAAAGTGACATACTCCAGGACCCGAGGTAAACAGTTTAGCAGCGCTACAACACGCAGCAGGTCCCGTTTGACAAGAAACACGTCTTTACAGACACTTGGCTTACTTTGTCAAAGCAGTTTACCTGTCCAGCAGAAAGGTTACAGGGTCCACAAGATCCTGAAGTGTCCCCTATCATTTTATGTTGGCCTAGCTTTTTAGCTCTTGTCTAGTCTACCTCCTTTTTAAGCACCCGTTATTGCGCCAGAGTCTTCGGTATTCGCTTCGTTTTCTTGCTTGTGTTGGCAGTCATGGTCAAAGGAGGATTCAGACAATTTTCCATACTTTCTGGTTGGTTTCCACTGTCCGATATTGTGGCACACTAACTCTGTTTGGGCTCGTGCATGTTATTCGAGGAGGTGGAGCGTGCCTCACAACACAAGGGAGCAGCATCTGCCTCACAACCAATCAGCACGAAGGAGCAGCAACCACCTTATAACCAATCAGGTTGGGGAGGTGGAGAATGGCTTTGTTTACAGTCAGAAAGAGCGGGCCGCTCAGAAATTTTAAAACGTTGACTTCACATGCGTAAGAGAACACAGCGATATAGTTTTATTAACAAATGTCATCAATAACTAATAACTATTGACTGGTATTATAAGCTTTTTTTATATACACCACAAAAAAGATGCTTTTTTAACAGATTTGTGCCTACCCCACCTTTAACAGGTCTACAGACTTATGACCAGAAACTAATATCACAGTATTTTATTTATTTTTTTTTTTGCTTTGTATAAAAACTATACTACTGTGTTGTGGTGTAAAGAAGTTATACTGGAAGAGAAATGTAAACCCATGAATCGTCACCACCCCTTCACTTTTTTGCCTGGCTCTGCTCTAAGGAGACTGAAGTGTCAGAGTGGCAAAGGTAGTAGACCAGGGTTATATCTTCACTGTTATCTCTTACAAATCACTCTTTTATCCCTCTTTTTTTTTTTTTTACTGCCACCACTCTCAGTGATGAGCATACTAAATTCCCTTCATGAATGTCCTTCAGTCTTTCTAATAACCAAGAAGAGTTTATTTGAACTGGGGATGACTGAGACAGAATCTTGGCAGAATGTGAATGAGAGACAATACTAAAACCAGGACACCACCCACTCTTATTTAAAACTAAAGAAGATTGTGAATGAACTTCAATTTGATTTTGAAACTCATTTTACCAACAGTAAAAACAGTCGATTAACTAACCTCAGAGTCTCCAGTCTGCAGTCTGGACTCTCAAGAAAACCACACAAATGCTTCAGTCCTGAGTCCTGCAGCTTGTTGTCACTCAGGTCCAGCTCTCTCAGATGGGAGGGGTTGAACTTCAGAGCAGAGGCCAGAGAAGCACAGCTGATCTCTGACAAACTGCAGTCACTTAATCTGGATAAAATACATGATAAAACTTAATCAGTGTTTTATATTCTGTCAAGGTAAAACAAAGTTGTCACAAAAGGTGTGAGGTTAAGATCTAAACATGTTATGAATATATAAAGGAATGTGTGATTAACCTTGAGTCATTCAGGGGACAACTCAAGATATTGGGTAGACAATAAGAATGCTCTTCTACAGGAACCTGTTACCGTACAAGTTGAGTGATCACCCTTAACCCCCTTTGACTGATTTTATAAAATACATTTGGTCAAATTGTCTTCCCCCCTTGTTGTGGGGAACTCTTGCTACAGGGTTTTCAAGGGCTTTGAAGTCACAGTCAAAGGTCAGCAGAGCTCTGACATCAGATTAGTTTTAGTGTTGAAGTTAAATTTGAATCTGACCTCAATGCCTCCAGTCTGCAGTGTGGACTCTCCAGAAAGCCACACAAATGCTTCACTCCTGAATCCTGCAGCTTGTTTAGACTTAGCTCCAGCTCTCTCAGATGGGAGGGTTGGGACTTCAGACAAGAGGCCAGAGAAGCACAGCTTATCTCTGACAGACTGCAGTCTTTTAATCTGCATTAAAAAAGAAATAATGCCACTTAAGAAATCATTTAGTTTAAACATGTTCAGAGTTGAAGATTTAATATGGGACTGAACCCAACAATAAAAGGCTAAAAAAATCTCTCATATGTCAGTGTGTTTTTATAATTCTCCATGAATGAGTGTGTGAATGTAATGTGCTCCATGAAATCATCTCCTACGTCATTAAAAATTATGGATGTACAGAACTTTACTTTATTAGCGCAACCAAGTCACAATGATGGGCAACTCTCATCTCAGCTTTGTCTTTTCTATAAAAAAAATAAAATTAGTGAGGTAAGCTAAAACAAAAGAGCCAGCAAAGGAATCTGGGAGCTTCCTTACTGAAATAAATACATAATAATCAGAGGATCAGTGTATAAATGACCTAAATAGAACCGAATGACGAAAAAGGTCGCAAATGTTTCTCAACTCAAACTCAAAACATACCTGTTTTATCACAGGCATTCATCCAGCAAAGTGGTCAATATAAAATGACGAGTCGAAAGCGCACTGCAAGAATTGCAACACTGACATTAGAGCCTATTAAAAAGACTAAAAGGATCACTGAGTGACAGAAGTCTTGTTGCTCACCAAGTGTGAAGTCAATTTCTGTGTCTGTAAGGAGTGGAGAAATACAGCCAAAACAGACTTGTGGGATATACTGCAGGATAAGACCAGGGCTTCTAAGACATTTTTTCCTGAGTAACATAAATTAAAGACGATACCAGAAATGGCATGAATCACCACTCTTTTCCACGCTAATGGATGTGTGCACAGGTCTTACATAGAACGGGTGGACTTCAGCCACATTCCAACCTCCACGACAGATGTTGGAGAGGTTTGACTCATCCATGTACAAGAGAGCCACACCAGACTGTACCGAGTTCAATAGAGTTAAGTTTGGATGTTTATCTGCATTTCCCTTTATGTTCAAGGTTCAATCCACAACATAGTCTGCATCCAGAGGTAAGACATCACACACACACTTATAATCCAATAATCATAATTATTGATTATTGTCTCTGTTAATGGTTATCAAAATCTTTAAAATAGGCTACTTTATAGACCTGTAAAGGTGCAGTCCGTCTAAGCACTAAGTGTGCTCCAAGTGTGTTTGTGCCTCTTCAAAGAGGGATACAGATATATTGTTGCAGCATTGACATGAAAAGCAATTAATTCTCAGCTATTATTTTGTTCAGCTTTGTCAGACTTCTGACTTGTTCAGAATTAGAGATGTACAGAAGATTTTGGCAAAGCTACTTGATGACTCTTTATTAGTATGTAGAGAGAAAAATTTATTCCAGAAGGTGACAGGAACTTACCAAAAATTTGGAGGCTGTGATGGTTGCAAGCTGCTGTTTGTCATTATAAGAGTAATTTTATGTTTGCTGTGGATGTCAGAGCCTCTTTATGGTGTATTTTATGGCAGTTAAAATAGCATTACAGAATTTAATATTGAATATATAGTTATTTTATTTATGTATTTTTTGCACTCCTGCAGTTTTTGGACAGCTTCCAGACTGGAAACTGTCAGTTTACTATGGCAACCCTGTGCCCGACTCCGCTGTTCACTCTTAAACTTAATTATAGACTTCTTTGAATTAAAAGAGCTCTTCACAAGGTGAAATTACCATAAAACATGGACAACATACCCCTGTTCTCTTTGAATACATTAATGACCAAGGGGAGAAGAAAATATGTTGAAACACAGACACAGACACAGACAGCGACACAGACCAGTCCAGCTGTGGACCGCTCTGGATAGATCTTACATGTCAATCATTCTCCTGGGTTTTACTTAAGCCAGAGTTGAGAAAACAAGCCTAACCTTTACAAAACACATCCAGATATGATGGGACAGGGTAATGTATGTTGATGTTTCTGACCAAATTAAAAGTTCACATGAAACCATCTTGATCACACATTACGCAACAGAGGAGATAATTGTTAAACCTAGTGCCGCAGACACAGAATAACATACTTGGGTCACAAAATTCACTTCAATAAAGTAAAGGGTGGTAAAAGCAGTTTATAACTATCTCTCTTGGCCTGCGACTTCTCAACCTAAACTCTGCTTGGCTCATCAGCAGCTCTATCTATGCAAGTTTAATTTGTTTGGCCAAACGAATTGAGCCACCGAAACCAATTTCAGACTCATCTCTTGATCATCAAATTAACAAAGATTAAACACCTCAGGATGAAAAGCAGTATAGTACAAAGAAAAGACACGTAGAGGCATTTCTCTTGAAAAAGTGAAGGCAAAAGAACAAATCTTCAAGTTGAAATACAAAGTCACTGAGCTTCAAAAAGCTTCTTAAAAATGTTGGAAAGAAAATTCTTATTGTAACTGCTACTGTCTGATAGCTGGAATGATTAAGTTATAAGGATTTAAATAAGTAATTAAGTACAGCATGAGTATGGTGTAAAATCTGGTGTTTCAAAGATTTATTTGAATTACTTTAAGAATCTCAGTAAAAAGTCTGACCTCAATGCCTCCAGTCTGCAGTCTGGACTCTCCAGAAAACCACACAAATGCTCCACTCCTGAATCCTGCAGCTTGTTGTTGCCCAGCTCCAGCTCTCTCATATAGGAGGGGTTGGACTTAAGAGCAGAGGCCAGAGAAGCACAGCTGATCTCTGACAAACTGCAGTAATTAAATCTGAAAAAAATCACAGTTCAAAATCAAAATTCCTTTTCTTATCCAATCAGATGTGGTCATGTTCAATATTAACATTAAAACATCCTAATCAGTCAACCTTCATTTAAAATAAATTCATTCTTTTGCATTAATGTATTTCTGCTCGCTTTATCTTGTTCTTTGATTGTTTTATTTGTTTTTATGTGTCATTGTACAGCACTTTGGCTACCCTTGTGGTTCTTTTAAATGTGCTTTAGAAATAAAGTTGATTGATTGATTGATTGATTGATTGACTGAACTCAATGTAAGTCTTAGGCAGCTAAAAAATCTTCCAAATCAAACTCATCATATCTCTACTCTCCCTCAATATAACAATACTTCCTAATCCCAAAAATGAGATTTTTTTTCAGTTATGTACTTAGATAAAGTCATGAAGTCTTGATTAGAAACCACAGCAAGACATGAAGAAAACAGAACCAAAAATATGAAAGAACTTCAGTCAATTAGCCAACCTTATAGTTTCTAGCTTGCAGTGTGGATTCTCCAGTCCTGCGCACAGTCGCTTCACTCCTGAATCCTGCAGGTCATTGAAGCTCATATCCAGCTCTCTTAGATTGGAGAGGTTGAACTTCAGAACAGAGGCCAAAACTTCACAGTGGGTCTCTGTGAGCCCCCACCTAGAAAGTCTGCCATAAAATTAAATGAGAGCAGACTTTATATTTCCTGATATGCTTTGAGAAAAAATGATAAGTATAATTTTGAAACAAATGAGTGGAACACTATTTCAAGGATGACAAAGATTATCTACAGTTTATATTTATTATCAAACTATCACACTAAACTACTTCATGATATTAATTTCTGAAGGACTCACACAGCCTTCCTGCAGTTCCTCACGGCCTGTATAAGTCCCCCTTGAGCCACCTGAGTTGTGATGGATGTCTTCAGATTTAACTCATCCAGAACCTCCTCAGGCATCTGCCCCATGAAGGCCAGAGCAGCACTGTGGATCACAGAGTGTGAACTGTCTGACCTGTTCCCTGACCTCAGGAACTCTTGGATGTCCTGGTGGAGGGAGCAGCCTATCATCTCTGACAGACAGTGTAAGAAGTTGATGCTTCTGACTGGAGAGACTCTAACTGTCATCTCTTTCAGGTTGTACATGACTCTTTGGAACATTTCTGGAGTGTTGTCTGTGTGACCCAGCAGACCTCCTAAGAGTCTGCGGTTTGACTCCATAGACAGTCCATAAAGAAAGCGAACTAACAGGTCCAGGTGACCGTTTGGACTTTTCAGTGATCTTAGCATTGCTTGTTTCAGGAGCTCTTCAAGAGTCAAAACATTCTGTTCTATCTCCAGAAATTCCTCCAGCACTGTTGTGTTCCTGTTAGTGTAACAGTAGAACATGTAGACTGCAGCCAGAAACTCCTGAACACTCAGATGAACAAAGCAGTAGACTGTTTTCTGGAAGATCACACACTCTCTTCTGAAGATCTCTGTACAAACTCCTGAGTACACTGAGGCCTCTGTGACATCCAGACCACACTGCTCCAGGTCTTCTTGGTAGAACATGATGTTTCCTTTCTCCAGATGTTCAAATGCCAGTCTGCCCAGCTTCAGGAGAACTTCTCTGTCAGCCTCCGTCAGCTCCCGAGGACTCATCTCCTGACCTTCATCATACTTCTGCTTCTTCCTCTTTGTCTGAACCAGCAGAAAGTGTGAGTACATGTCAGTCAGGGTCTTGGGCAGCTCTCCTCTCTGCTCTGTGCTCATCATGTGCTCCAGGACTGTAGCAGTGATCCAGCTGAATACTGGGATCACACACATGATGTGGAGGCTCCTGGAGGACTTGATGTGTGAGATTATTCTTCTGGACAGATCCTCATCACTGAACCTCTTCCTGAAGTACTCGTCCTTCTGGGCATCAGTGAAGCCTCGTACTTCTGTTACCCTGTCGACACATGAAGGAGGGATCTGACTGGCTGCTGCAGGTCGAGAAGTTACCCAGATGAGAGCTGAGGGAAGCAGATTCCCCTTGATGAGGTTTGTTAACAGCACGTTTACAGATGTCTCCTGAGTGACATCAGAAACATTCTGATTGTTGTCAAAATTCAGAGACAGTCTGCTTTCGTCCAGACCATCAAAGATGAACAGAAGTTTACAGACAGCGAGCATCTCTGCTGTGATCTTCTGTTGTGATGGATGTAATGAGACAACTGCTTTCTGCTATCCACCTTGAATTCACCCCTCAAAGGAATGCAGGCTCCTCTGGTTTGGACAGGAAATGGGGGAGTAACGGTTTGCACACCAAGTTCCCATTTACGACCCAGGCAACCATTTGGGAGGTGATAGTGAATCTTTAACGCTTCCCAAAAAGGACAAGTTGCTTATCAACCACACAGACCCATAAACACGGAGTCTCTCACCCTGGTTGGGAAAGATCAGAATTGACACTTCAGGATTAACCCAATGACCTAGGGGGGAAAACAGGCCAGTTGGCGCCAAATCTGAAAAACCAGATGCCTGCCATAAATTCCTTGGCTTTCTTTACAGAGCAGAAGGAAGAAGATGACTGAAAATGGTTTAACTTCATGTTTAATGGACACTTCACCAGGATTTTCTGTCTGTACACCACATTCTTAATGAAATGGTCTTTTTTCCAATTCTGTAACATATCCACAAGCCAAACTGTTAACTTCACAAATTTATTCCAGGTTTTCCATGGACCAAGAGCTCCTCCTAGTGGTGATGCCTGAATATGGTTTGATCAGAGCCAAATGGCAGGAATCTAATCACGTGTATTTCTTTCCTTTTGTTATACACCTCGTAGCTTAGTAAATGGTATTCCCAAGATAGGCTAGTAGTTTAGAAGTAGTAACGTGAAACTCGTTTAGACTCAAGTAAAGAGTTTCGGAATGTATCCATACTATGTTTTATCTGCCTCACACGGGGCACCAAATACTGTAGCGATTTTAAATTCAAAATAAATGTCGAAAATTAATCAAATTAAATTATGACATTTATGCACTCGTTGAAGGGGCACCACCCACCTTTCTGGTGGGAAAAAGGACGAAACAAAGTTCAATTGAGTAATTAAACGTTGGATCAGTCTTACACAGATTTAAATCAGATGAGAGACTGATTTAAATCTGTGTAAGACTGATCCAACGTTTAATTACTCAATTGAACTTTGTTTCGTCCTTTTTCCCACCAGAAAGGTGGGTGGTGCCCCTTCAACGAGTGCATAAATGTCATAATTTAATTTGATTAATTTTCGACATTTATTTTGAATTTAAAATCGCTACATGGATGAAAATCATGGAGCAGCTTGAGAAGACTGTACCGCTTATCTTTGATCAAGTTCAGCTCCCTGAACGACAGCAGAACCAGCAGACTGATGTCTTGGTTCTCCAAGCCCTCTGCCCAGTCCAGAGTAAACTTCTGCACTGAGAAGGTTTTTCCAACCCCAGCAACGCCGATCGTCAGAACCACTCCAATGTGTTCCTGTTGGTCAGGTAAGGCTTTAAAGATGTCCTGGCACCTGATCGCAGTGTCATGGAGGGGCTTCTTCTTGGAGGCTGTCTCCAGCTGTCTCACCTCATGTTGGGTATTCACCTCTTCACTTTGTCCCTCTGTAATGTAGAGCTCAGTGTAGATCCTGTTAAGGAGGGTTTGACTTCCTGCTTCAGTTCCTTCAGTCACACGTTCACATCTCCTCCTCAGACTGATCTTGTGTTCATTTAAAACCTCCTGCAGGCCACCTTGATCTAAAAAAAACAAGCAGGAGTGAGAAAATGAAAAAGAAATGTAAAACTCCAATGATTATTTTCAGTCTAAATTTCCAAAACGGCTGTACAAAGAGTTATTAATCAGTGCGAATTACAAAACGTGAACAGAGAATTCAGTTTTCAGTTCATGTAAGCTGGAAGAATGCAGATGTAAAAATACAGATAAAATGAATGAAAACCCTAAATAACTTGAGTATTTACATCCTGCTCAAATGTGAGATGATCAACTCAAACAACCGATCAAAGATCATTTAAAGATCCTAAGAGCAGCTACCATCAAATAGTTGAGACCATGACCGTGACATCTCTACATTATAAACATCTATACAGTTAAGAGCAAAAAGCAAAAACATATGTCATAACTTTATTATTAAATACTTAAAACACTCACCCATTTTAATTATGGCCAGTTTTTTTTGAAAGGAGAAACCAGACAAATGAAAAACAGCAGGGTCATTCGCGATGACACAAAGAGAGTGAACTTAAATCTGGGTTCTGAATTTTAAAGATGATCATAAAAATCTCTGTGTGTTATGTGACATGATAAAGTCATTGGGCTCTATTTTCGTTCGCGCCGGTGAGGCGGCGGAGGGCAGCGAGCCCCGCGCAGTTGTATTTTCGTCTGGCGGAGCCGGGCGTAAGGCGAGTTTGGTATTTTCGTGGACTGAGTCGCACGGAGGCGAGCCGAGATCCGCCAAGCTGGGCGTGATGGCATAGCAGGGGGAGGTGTTGACAGAATCAGCTCAGTGACATTTTCGTGCTCGCCACCGGCGTGTAACGTGCGCTGAAAGCTCGCCGATTCAAACCTGGTCAGCTTTCAGCGCAAGGCGGAACGCAGCTGGTCTAGTAGTATTTTGGTAGACCGGCGGCGTATCAACATACGTCACTGATGCCTCATCGGCAGGTTTCCACAGTGTCAGGCAGATTTCAGTGCAATAAATAATCATCAACAACTATTAATCTGAGTCAGCACATACATTTAGATCTATATCGATATATTCTGATCTATATGTGATCTGATGAGCGCGTTTGGCACGCGTTTGGCACGCGTTTGGCACGCGTTTGGCACGCGTTTGGGCACACAACCTGACCGAATCAATACAGCTGAAACTGCATCAAATTAAATTAAATATCTAGTAAATAAACACACATGATGAAGTTAACAAGATATGTAATGTGTCTCCCTCCTTTTCTTTCTTCCTCTTATTTCTCGCACAGCTCGACCTGGACACGTCTCCGTGTCCTCTGTCCGTCTTGCTTGCTGCTGCGGCTGAACAGATGATTTGTTTCAGTGCTCAGATGCGTTATCTACTTTAAGCCGACATACGGATATTATAATATTCAGTTTTGTGGGCCAAATGTATTTTATATGCCAACATCTATGAAAGAAAGAGCCAGGCCACGGAGCGCGATGCGTCATTTACGCACAGATGGTTCCGATTTTAATGCCATTTTTGGAGTTTATGTTGTGATCTGTGCGCTAAACCCACCTTTGTCACGTGAGGTTTGAATATATGCAACTTTATGTGAGTGTCTTTATTTGTGGAAAAGGGTGTTTGTCTTACCAGTGGGTCCAACATTACATACACCAAATCCATCTGTGCTCAGATGAGAGAGTGTGGAGGACACTTGTTGAGCAGCTGCCCTCTGTCGCCATCGTGTGGCATAACTGTCTTCAGACATCTCTCGATCTCTTTGACTACTTCATGAAAATAGTAATACGCCTCGCCGGTGGCGGGTTTAAAGGCAAGGAGAGGAGCTTATGTGATTGGTGAAAACAGGTCTCGGCTGTGTTAAATCTACTACACGCCCTCTCTCCTCCCCGTCTACGACTTATGCTGCTGGGAGGAGCTGAGTTAGGGAGGGGGGATACTTACGCCGGGCTGCACGGCTCACCAAAATACCAAAATGTGCTTGGGAACGCCTTGTCAGCGCGGCGGATCTGATTGACGCTGCGCTTGCGGCAGATCTCCGGCGAGGCACCAAAATAGAGCCCCTTGTGTTAATTCAGTTGTGTTTTCAGACATGCTCACATGTCAAAAAGACAGGTCGACAGACTTACTTTGTTCAGGGGTCGTCTTACTGGCTGTCTGAAGTCCAGGTCCTGTTCTGGATCTATTTCCACACTGGGGACAGGAGGAGCCCCCTGGTGAATCAGACTGGTCCCAGTATGGAGTGAGGCACTGTCTGCAGAACCAGTGTCCACAGCTGCTAGAGACTGGATCCATGTGGACATCCTGACACAGAGTACAACAGGATAGCTGCTGCTTCACAGAGACAGGGCTCCTCTTCTTCCCCCTGTGGAGACATTTCTTTATCTCTGTGCTCATCACAGGCTACACATGATAGCAGACCATATACATGGACACAGTAGTAATCATCAGACTTAGATGATTCTTGAAGTTAGTCCTTGATCAAACCAGGTTTTGATGTTAGACAGCCATCCTAGAAACCAAAACTCATTTAATATCGTGTAAAAACTGAGACAAACTGAATCAGGCTGTCTTACATTGTGTCTTCAAGTCCAGGTTCCTTTTTGAAGTATTCAGGTAGTCCTTTAGACCGGTCAGTCTTCACAGAAAGACAGCTGGGTCCTGGAGACTCTGCTGTCTCTCTGCCAAGACAAACATGTTTTACTATCTAATGAATACTTGAAAAATCATCTGTTGAATATTTGTTATGAAGGCTTTAAAAAGTTACTGATGAATGAGGCAGTTTTAAAATACGCCTTTGTCCATTTCAAGTAACTCATATATTATGTAGGAACTGTAACTAAAGACTACGAAAGATACTAATAGGAGGGTGATTTAGATTATTTTAATTCAAATCACTGTTTTATTTGGTGTAACAGATTCATATCAGTAGAAATGCTGGACAGATAAATAAATAAACTTGGTAACCATGTTGTCTTACTTTGTGTCTGAGAAACCAGGTTTATTGTTGAAGTATTTAGGTAATCCTTTGGACCTGTCACTCCCTGGAGACAGAGAGCTGGATCCAGGAGACTCTGCTCTGTCCTCCTCTTCTTTCATGGTCTGCTCTGAAGTCGGCTTTTACTGCATTTATTCTGGACTCAGGACACAAATATCAAAAGGTTCACAAACAGCAAACTCACTCTGAGAACTGACGTGAAATTATTCAAACATTGGATCAACACTCACCACGCTTCAGTCTTTCTTCTCCACTCTGTCGACTCAAAAAGAGACTGAACTGACTTGAAGATCTTTACCTTCCGGTTTCCCTCCCTGCCATGAAAAAATATAAACCGCAACCGTGACTTTGACCTCCTCAACTTACAGGAGCTATACTTGCTTTATCTTTGTGTTGAAGTGTGGTTCTGTGTGCACGTGTCTGACTTATCAGTTTATAGGCGTCTCTCTTGATCTGAACAGTTTATATTTTAAAGCTTTGAGTCAAAATACATAAACGTTTTATTGGGCCATTTAGGTCAAAGTTCATGCATAGTTCAATAGACATTAAACAAAAACATCCACATGAATCAGACTCCCCTTTTTCTAGGGTATAACACACTGGGCTCTATTTTGGTGCCTCGCCGAAGACGTGCCGCAAGCGCAGCGTCAATCAGATCCACCGCGCTGACAAGGCGTTCCCAAGCACATTTTGGTATTTTGGTGAGCCGCGCAGCCCGGCGTAAGTATCCCCCCTCCCTGACTCAGCTCCTCCCGGCAGCATAAGTCGTAGACGGGGAGGAGAAAGGGCGGTTAGTGGGTTTAACACAGCCGAGACCTGTTTTCACCAATCACATAAGCTCCTCTCCTTGCCTTTAAATCCGCAACCGGCGAGGCGTATTACTATTTTCATGAAGTAGTCAAAGAGATCAAGAGATGTCTGAAGACAGTTATGCCACACGATGGCGACAGAGGGCAGCTGCTCAACAAGTGTCCTCCACACTCTCTCATCTGAGCACAGATAGATTTGGTGTGCGTAATGTTGGACCCACTGGTAAGACAAACACCCTTTTCCACAAAAAAGACACTCACATAAAGTTGCATATATTCAAACCTCACGTGACAAAGGTGGGTTGAGCGCACAGATCACAACATAAACTCCAAAAATGGCATTAAAATCGGAACCATCTGTGCGTAAATGACCCATCGCGCTCCGTGGCCTGGCTCTTTCTTTCATAGATGTTGGCATATAAAATACATTTGGCCCACAAAACTGAATATTATAATATCCGTATGTCGGCTTAAAGTAGATAACGCATCTGAGCACTGAAACAAATCATCTGTTCAGCCGCAGCAGCTGCAGCAAGACGGACAGAGGACACGGAGACGTGTCCAGGTCGAGCTGTGCGAGAAATAAGAGGAAGAAAGAAAAGGAGGGAGACACATTACATATCTTGTTAACTTCATCATGTGTGTTTATTTACTAGATATTTAATTTAATTTGATGCAGTTTCAGCTGTATTGATTCGGTCAGGTTGTGTGCCCAAACGCGTGCCAAACGCGTGCCAAACGCGCTCATCAGATCACATATAGATCAGAATATATCGATATAGATCTAAATGTATGTGCTGACTCAGATTAATAGTTGTTGATGATTATTTATTGCACTGAAATCTGCCTGACACTGTGGAAACCTGCCGGTGAGGCATCGGTGACGTATGTCGATACGCCGCCGGTCTACCAAAATACTACTAGATCAGCTGCGTTCCGCCTTGCGCTCAAAGCTGACCAGGTTTGAATCAGCGAGCTTTCAGCGCACGTTACACGCCGGTGGCGAGCACGAAAATGTCACTGCGCCAGCTGATTCTGTCAACACCTCCCCCTGCCACGCCACCACGCCCAGCTTGGCGGATCTCGGCTCGCCTCCGTGCGACTCAGTCCACGAAATACCAAACTCGCCTTACGCCCGGCTCCGCCAGACGAAAATACAACTGCGCGGGGCTCGCCGCCCTCCGCCGCGAACGAAAATAGAGCCCACTGTGTTACTATTCATTCTGATGATGAAGAGTATTTTCTGCATGAATTAAATCCAAATCTACAGATCATATAACTAGGTGCAATCAATGTTGTTATTGCTTCAATATTATATTCACAACATGCAAATTATACAAATAAATGAATTCAGTAGCTTATTAGTCACAGTGATGCCACATTCAGATGTCACAGAGTTTTAACAGTGTCCACATATAGATATTACATGAACCAATAGACTTTACTACAACACTGTGATACCACATTGTCACTACACTGGCACATTGTCAGCATATTCTAACACTTCACAATCTAACACGTTCATTTTACACACTCCTGATTGGATCATATCCTCTGCACTACAATAAGTTTGTATGGACACGACAGAAAATTGCACAATGTATTTCCTATCAACCATGAAAAACTAATACAATTTAGTAGTAATGTTATATTATTAAATCAACTGGAATAAATAAATGGGTTTTCTTATTTTGGGTCTAAGGGTCACTGAAGCATTCATGTGATCCTATTTGATCCCTCACTCTTCATCACTCACAGACAGCTGGGTCCTGGAGACTCTGCTCTGTCCTCCTCTTCGTGTCTTGGTCTGAAGTTGGTCTGGGGTTCAGCAGATACACTCACTGTGAGCTCACAGAGGACCAAAAGAAACCAGTTTGTCCCAAAGTGATGTCCCAAATTTGGAGAGCAGGGAGCTAAGAACACACACATCCACTTAAACAACATTAAAGCACCCACCAACCCTGTGATCCCTCATTAATCTAAGTATTGAGTTGATTTTAACTCCCTTGTCCTTTCAGTTGAAAGAGAGAAAATTTACAATGAACTTTGGAGGTAAGATTAGACAAATATTAGATCAAAACCCACTCAGTTTTCTGCTCTGCTTTGTCACTGCAAAAGTAGAGTGCTTTTGGATACTTTCACTTTCAGAGCTCCCTCCTTCTTCTTACAACCACATGATCCACTGCCCCCTCCTCCTCTGTTTACAGGAAATCAGATGATTTAACCTCTGTGTAACAATGTGTTTGAGTAGATAAAAGCTCATGTGTCTCTCACAGATCACGTTTTGAGTGTTGATCTTCAACTCAGAATTAAAAGAGGCCTTAATTTAAGATTAAAGACACTCTGAACTAAGGCATGTGTGTTTGAAATTACTGTTGGGGCCTTCATATTCAAACTTAAAACAACAAATTAAGTCCCAAAGACCGCTCTAAGGTATTGATAAACAGGCTTTTAACCTGTGAAACGTCAGGGAAAGCTGAGACAGTAGAGTTCACGCTGCTCTGTGTCTGATTACAGGAAACCCTGTAGAGTTTCACAGTAGCGCTCAGTTTAGGATGGCGCTCCCCCTAGTGGCATAAAGTGGCAACTACATCTAAAATGTTCTGAAACCACAACAAAAAAACTTTGAATTCGGCTCTTTATACATAAAAACTACTCTGAACAAAATATCGGTGACAACACATTAGCAGGACATGTGAGCGCATGGTTTGTGAAAGTTCACTAAGCACAGGACACCATAACTCTCACCCTGGGGGGGTCTGTTTTATTGAATACAATTATTCCCAATACACAAATTAATTTTGAATATTTGTAATTGTTTCTTTTTTCATTTTCACATAGACTGTTGTATTTTTTCATATCTAATGGTTCTATAATTTTAATTAAGTGGAAATGCTGATTAAGCATTATCCATTTATTGTTATTACTGTCGAACTTTTCTCTCGACTTGACACCTGGAGGAGGAACAGTGGAAGACATGCTCCAGAATTATCTTCAGGTAACCACACCTCTCTCTATGAATTTCACAGCACAACAAAAAGATGCAGGACAATGTGATTTGATGTTAAAATACCCTAATTTGAATCCCCTCACAACTGTTTATGTCAGTGTGTATTTAGTTGTTAATCCAGAACAAATTAAAACCATGTTGGTCTTTTGGTGTTTTACAGGAAATCGAGCTGGTGTATCGGTGTGAATGCGGAGGAATCTTGTCGAGCCAGCGCTTGTTGTTTAAAACTCTACCAAGGTAAGTAACATCTTCGCCAACACAAATAAGCAGACACCTGATTTATACTGCAAAGTAGTACATATCTACAACAAAAACTCTTGCACATGACCTAATGCTAAACATCTGTCATTTTTCTTATTTCAGAGTGCTGATCCTGCACCTGAACCGTGTCAGGTACACACCAGACTACCGGCTGCAGAAAGTGACTGATCCGGTAGATATCTTCTGGGACCTCGTTATTTGTTCTGAAGAGGTAAGTAGACACTAAATGATCTCATTTGATAAAAAAAGAAAAAAAAAGATTATCTCTAATAGACATAATGTGTGAATGTGGGCACTAACTCTATTGACTCTTTTTACTCTCTCAGGATGGTCAATGCTACAGCCTTGTCAGCGCAGTTAATCATCTGGGCACACGAGCAGGATCAGGTAAGATAATCAGTTTCCATCTGATCATATTAAATTTTACACACAAAAAAATGTCACATTTAAAAAAAAAGCTTACAATTATGTTCTAATGCATTACTTATGTGAACATTATGAATTATATGATCGTATGTGGTTACAGACACAGCCCAGTCTTTTAACATTATTACTCTTTCGTCTATTAGGACACTTCATCTCAGAGGGAGTGGATTTGGATTTGCCGGTAACTGACCCGTCGGATCGTTGGTTCACTTATGACGACGAAATGGTCATGGAAACCAGCGGTGCCGACGTATGTGAGAAGCGACGGCGAAATGCCTACATCCTTGTCTACAAAAGACAGGTAAGTACATGGCCCCATCACACTGAGGTACGCCATGGTGAAAGAAAATTGTGATGTAGAAAAAGACATCGATGATCTCATCATCAATGTCTAATCATTATTGATCAGAGTAGGCAAGAGGACTCCTATTCTTTTATTTTTTTACCTTTTATTTTGTTCAAGATATGGTCAAGTACAGCTTCCTGAAAACAACTTCATTTATAGTATTTACATTAACTAACTACATTTGTTTTATTCACAGGATTAAGGGGCAGGTAGTCCAAAGAAACTCTCCATAGAAGCAAGAGGCCTCAGGATAAAAAAGGTAAGGTATAAAGGCAAGGGCCAAGGACCAAGGAGAAGGACATCCAGTGGTGCAGGAGCAGGTAACCTCTGACCCACTGGAGGATGGGTTTTTACCCCAGAAAGCCTGGTTCCTTCCAAGGTTTCTTCCTCCGAGAGGGAGTTTTTCCTTGCCACAGTTGCCCCAAAACAAAAGTCAGATTATTATTAGATTATAAGCAGTGACTCATTTAAATTGGACTTAATCTATGATTCAGATTTATAAACAAGCCGTCCAGATTAGAGTTTGGAAGCTTGTGGCTTTCTCTCTGGGTTAGTTAAGTGAAAACAAACTCACATTAGGAACCACTGCACTATTGAGTATTTATTTGGAAGTAAGAAAAAAAAAAAAAGAGAATTATTTTCAGTAAATTTTTTCAGGTTGTTAATTGCATACTTTACTTATCATCAACAGCAGATGTTCCAGCATGGATAAAGGACCTCTTGTCTTCTAGTACTTGGCATTATTTGCTGAGGACGTGCATGAAGTTGTGTTTATATGGGTTTACTCCGGGTAATCCGGTTTCCTCCCACATCCCAACAACCCCTTACAAAAATAAAAATAAAAAAACAACAACTTCTGTGTCTGCGTGGGTTTACTCCAGGTGCTCCGGTTTCCTCCCAATAAAAAAAAATAAAAATAAAATAAAATAAAATAATAATAATAATAATAATAATAATAACAATAATAATAATAATAAATTAAAAATCAATCAAATATAAATTTCTTCCTCCTCCAAGAACCGTCACCTTATCGTGGTGGAGGAGTTTGTGTGCTCTAATGAACCTAGGGGCAATGGTGTCCAGGGCTTTTTTCACCGAGTAGGGTCTCCTAAGGCAGATTGGTCCAAGGCGAAAGGTCAGACTAAGAACGGTTCGGAAGGCCCTCATGGAAAACAACAAAGGGAAACACTGTACCTGGCCCGGAGGGACACCGATATGATAAAAAATCAAATCAAATATAAATTTCTTCTTTACAATGGTTTTCTCTCGTTATAAATAATTAATTATTGTTACACTGGTTTAAGCATCCTTACTTGGCTATCTAGCATACTGCAGTCCTGCATTTTTATCTAAAACCTGCAAAACCATCATGTTGGCAATAAAACAACTTGTCTGAATTATTTGCATTAGGGACCACCCTAACTTAAAAACCTTGACAGATAGGGCCTCTTGTCTCATACTTGGTGCTATTTGCTCAGAGAGGTCCAGGGTTGCAGAAGTTTGTGTCCCAACCCCTTAAAAAAAAATCAAAAACGCCAAACTTCTAAATTAAAAAAATGCCAAACTGCAAAATAAAAATTTATCAAATATACATTTCTTCTTAACAATGGTTTTCTCTCTTTACCGTTCGTTATTGTTATACTGGTTTAAGTGTTCATGTTTCTGTGAAGTGAAGTTTTAACAAGGTATCATATATACGCTGATGAACAGCTCCATTGACAAATGGGTGAAAATGAAATAAAGACTAACATAGGTATCACTGAACTTTCTGTAACTGTGTATAAATCAACACAAAATATGTTCTGCTGTGGACTACATTGAACTAAGGAATTTACATAGGTCAGTTAAATGCAGTGGAAAGGGTAAGATGCCAGTCCTGTATCTCAAAGTCATTTGAGCATATAAGACTTTACTAGTGCAAGACACTGACCTCTGATGTAAGTGACACTGAATAAATGCTTAAATGGCTTTCCATTTAAGCATCCTTACTTGGCTATCTAGCATACTGCAGTCCTGCATTTTTATCTAAAACCTGCAAAACCATCATGTTGGCAATAAAACAACTTGTCTGAATTATTTGCATTAGGGACCACCCTAACGTAAAAACCTTGACAGATAGGACCTCTTGTCTCATACTTGGTGCTGTTTTCTCAGAACGTCCGGCGGTGAATGAAGTTGTGTCCGAACCCCTTGAAAACAAAAAACAAAAACAACCAAACTACAAAATTAAAAAAAGGCCCAACTGCAAATTAAAAATTAATCGAACATAAATTTCTTCCTAACAATGGTTTTCTCTCTTTATAGTTAGTTATTGTTATACTGGTTTAAGTGTTCATGTTTCTGGGAAGTGAAGTTTTAACAAGGTATCATATATACGCTGATGAACAGCTCTGTTGACAAATGGCTATCTAGCATACTGCAGTCCTGCATTTAGAATCTAAAACCTGCAAAACCATCATGTGGGCAACAATACAACCCATCTGAATTGTTTGCATTAGGGAACTCCCTAACTTAAAGACCTTGACAGATAGGACCTCTTGTCTCATACTTGGTGTTATTTGCTCAGGACGTCCAGGGGTGCAGGAGGTTGTGTCCCAACCCCTTAAAAAAATCAAAAAAGGCCAAACTACAAAATAAAAATCATTCAAATATAAATTTCTTCCTAACAATGTTTTTCTTTTTTTATATTTAGTTATTGTTATACTTGTTTAAGTATGTTTAAGTATTTCTCTGAAGTGAAGTTTTAACAAGGTTATATCTATACGCTGATGATGGCAGTCACTGAAGCACAGCAATAGATGGTGCTGTTCAGCATTCTCGAGTTACTATGGTTGGATACTGCAGACTGCAGAAATCTGTTTTACTATTTGTACATTTAATGGGAACATTGTTACACATTATTTTAAGGCATTTGTTTTTCAAATTCAATTATTCTTATTATCAGTTCTGTTTATTCACATAAGTCATATACGTTTTTCATTTAGGCTATTGGACAATTTGTACATTAGTCAAACTAATTTACCTTCAGCTATACTACAATTCTTCCATTCATACAATTTCTTCTTCATCTACTCCACCTTTTCAACAGTTTTTCCATTCATACCTTCCTCCATTTTTTACTGGCAGTTTAGCATTGCTTTTTTGGCTTTCAGCACTCAGCATTTCCACGCATTTTCTGCAAGGAAATGCATTTTTTCTAGTTAGTAACTTTTATCGTGATGGCTCTTAGTGCAATTGACCTTCAGGCCCACTGTAGGCTACATACCAAAAGAAAGCACCACACCGCCACCATCATGTACCCACGTTAGCTCAGGCGCATTACAGCGTACTTCCTCTTTAGGCGTGTCTGACTCAAAGTGGCAGATTTCACTTCTGTGTCTCTGCTGCTGGTTCAAATGACCGTCAAACTTCGAGTAGTGGATTTACCCCACAGAGATGAGTTTCTACAGCGATGTTTCCACTGAGGACATTAGCGACGAGTTGGAGACTCTGGGGTGAGGGTTTCTATCTTATTAACAGAAAAATGTGAAACCTTGTCATACCTTACCTTTCACTTGTTGCGGAAAATGCAAAATGATGTAATTTATAATACTACCGCTCATTCCCAAGCGTATATAACTTAAATTACGTTTAATATGATTATTAACGAAACTGTATGCTATCTGGGCAAAATCGGCATTATTTAACCACCTATTACGTTGATTTTTCTCTTCCAAAAGTAGCCTAAAGTCTTCACACCTGACACTTTTTAAGGGGCATTTCTAGAGAGGATGTTTATAGAACAGGAGCATGATATCAGAATAGATTTATTGTTTTGTGAATATGCACAAAAGCGTTAGTCAAAGTTTTATTGTGTAATGTCACTGACAGACAGTTATAAAAGTTCCTTATCTGAAACACACAGGGCTCGCTGTGTTTAAAGTTTTAGGAGAATAAAATACTTATTTTAAAGAATTCACCTGAATCAGATGTTAGAATAATTCAAGTATAAATGCACAACCTAATCCCACTTTAGTTATTTTTGATTAAACAGTTGGGGAAAAAAAAAATAAATAAACACCAGATTTGCCTTTTACTTCAACATATCAATGTATTAATTGAGTAACTTCTTGGGAAAAGTGTTTTTTGTGGTATTTTCTTTATGGTTTGGGCTTCGCGCATCATTTTAAAAAAAATATTCACTCTTGGCAAATGTGAATGCAAATTACAGACTTTCACATCCCTTTACTAGTTTCCTTTGCATCTGTTCTACTGTCTGAGGTTTCTACTTTAAATAGTGAGAATGATTCTGAACATGACTTTTTAGTAGCATGAATGATTTTGTGATTGTTTTCTTTCACAGTGTGGTATTCACAGTATTTAATAAAGTTTTACTTTTAGTGATACTTTCAGAAAACACCGTCCGGTGCAATTTGGACATGTCATCACTAACCAAGTCTCTAAGGAGGGCAAAAGCAGGCAGATCACAATCCTCCATGCAGACTCCCATCAGCAGTGATGTAAAGATAATCCATGTATCTCTACAAACAGATATCTGCATGCAAATAGAGCTGACAAGCTGAGCAAGATCAGACATTTACAGCTGAGAGACAAATCTACTCCATCAGAGGGGAATTTTTCAGACTGCCTGTGGTCTGTTCAATGGTCCTTTTTGTTGGGAAGGTTTCTTACTAAGTAAAACAACCCAGAAGTGTTTGAGTGTTGTCCACGATAAGAGCTGTTCAAATACTCAGAATGATAAGCAAAGGAGCTTTGTCGTTTCCTTTTTACCACCTTCAGCAAAGGATACACTGGACCATCCTTTAGGAAAGGGGAGAATGAAATGACCCATTTTAACCACCGCAGAGATGAGGGGCTCTATTTTCGTGTACGCCCGTGAGGCGACGGAGGTTGGTGGAGCCCGCGCAGTGGTATTTTCGTCTGGCGGAGCCCGGCGTACAGCCACTTTGGTATTTTCGTGGGCTGAGGCGCTCAGAGGCGAACCGAGATCCGCCAAGCTGGGCATGGTGGCGTGGCAGGGGGAGGTGTCGACAGAATCAGCTCAGTGACATTTTCGTGCTCGCCAGTGGCATGTAAAGTGCGCTGAAAGCTCGCCGATTCAAACCTGGTCAGCTTTCAGCGCAGGCGGAGCACAGCTGGTCTAGTAGTATTTTGGTAGACCGGCGGCGTATCGGCATATGTCACCGATGCCTCACCGGCAGGTTTCCACAGTGTCAGGCACATTTCAGTGCAATAAATGATCATCAACAACTATTAATCTGAGTCAGCACATACATTTAGATCTATATCGATAAACCCACTCCATGCCCTCTCTCCTCCCTCGCTATGACTTACGCCGCTGGGAGGAGCTGAGTTAGGGAGGGGGGATACTTATGTCGGGCTGCGCCGCTCACCAAAATACCAAATTGTACCTGGGAACGCCTTGTCAGCGCGGCAGACCTGACTTACGCCGCGCCTCCAGCACGTCTCCGGCGAGGCACGAAAATAGAGTAAAATACTTTTGCTGTGGTAATGGAGGATTGTAATTTGCTGTTCAGAGAGCCACATTATTTATGAGCTTGTAGTGAGACAAAACTAGTGGAGACTAATTGGTGATAGTTTACATGGGTTCGGAGATGACCCTCAGCTGGGTTGGACCTCATCTAGGCAACCCTGCTGGAGTCAATCAGTCCTCAGTCAACGTATCCTACAGCCACTGAGCTGCCTTTTCGGCCTTGTCACTGCAGCCCTTTTATACCAATGATTTTCTAAGTGACCGGTTACTATTGCTTATTTCCTGCAGGTGGTACCACTATGATCTGTCCCGTCACGCTGCAGAGGCTCTTCTCTTGTCTAACGGGAGTGATGGAAGTTACCTCCTCAGAAACAGTAATGAAGGTCCGAGTTGTTTCGCCCTGTCTGTCAGGTCAGTCTGCCAGAAACATGAATAAACTTAAAACCAATGGGTCAGTGTCTTCCTATGTTCTGTCATTCAACTGGAAAAGCTTTAAGTGGTTCTCTGTTTACGCTGATGACTTACAAAGTTCATGTTGTTTCATACAGGGCGAAGGACTCGGTCAAGCATTTTCACGTGACACGCAGAGACAACACGTATGTATTCGGCTTCAATGAGTTTGCAACACTTCAGGACTTTGTCAGCCACTTTGCAAACCAACCTCTGCTGGGCAGTGACACAGGTACTGACAGCATGCAGCTCTGCCAGGTGGTCCTGAAGTTTAACGCTTTAATGGCAAAGATGACTTTTGTTTACCTGTTACAGTTACACCAGAATTCATTCGGTTCAAGTGGAAGTTAAGTCATCAGTCTGTGAGAAACCAAAATATATATGCCAGGGTGGAACGCAGAGACATAAAACAGTTTAATTTCGATCAGCTAGACTCAAGGTTTCCCTTATTTGCACATATGTAGTCTGAGTAGAGTCTGAATGGAGAGCAAAAGCAGGAGGAACACAATCCACCTTGATGACAGCAGAAATCTTACAAGAGTTTATCCACCACTGTAAAGAAATAAATTCAGACAACCATGCTGATATTGTCATGCATTTGTGCAGTGTATGGTTTGCAGACATTTCTAGACAGACTAACTTTGCTATTCTTTTAATCCTCACACTTGGTCACCGCTCAAGTTGCTGTTTACACTGTAAGCTGTGCAGCATGTGGAAAAGGAAGTCTTGGCTGCGAGTTGATTATTAACCAACTTCAGGCTTCAGTGGAAAACCTGGAAAGTTCATTCTTATTCCCAGAGGCCATATTATTTTTTACTGTCAAATGGTGGCCAACTATTTCTGAGATAAAGTTTTGATAAAGATGGTGATAATTAACCTCTGAGGTTTTTCATGTTACTCATTAGTACTGCTGCCTTTGCAGATGCTCCAAAACCCTGAAAACTTCCTCAGTTTCCTTGTTGTGCAAATTTAAAGAAAGGAATTTAAAGGCAAGACAAGGTTATTGCTGCAGCACATCCATAGTGCAGCAGCATAAAGTTAGAGTGCAGAATGGTTTAATAACCTACTTTATTTCAGCAATCTAATAAAAGCAGCTGTAAACAAGTGAGTCTTTAACCTGGATTTAAAGAAATGGGAGACGGTCAGCAGATGGGGCGTTTTCTGCAAGTATGTTCAGATATTTGGAACATAAAAAGTGAGCACTGCCATCTGTGTTTGGCTCTGACCCTGTGGACAGGAAGTAGACCTGCACCAGGTGATCTGAGCGGTCTGGATTAATTAAACTGAACTAGAAAACTGCAGATGTATTTTGGGAATAATTATTCAGCACGTTGTCAGCCAGTGATAATATCTTAACATCTATTTTTTACAGACAGGGAGCGAGTGTAAAGACCTCAGAACATGATTAATGTTATCCACTTTCTTGGTGTAAACTTTTATCATACTTCTTGATGATATTTGATGCACAGAGCAAACAGGACATGTAAACATGAACAGAACATATAAACACTCCCTGCCATCATATAATTATGTCTGTTTGTGTGGTATGATATATTTATTTTCTCTCATTTGATCCTGTGATTCAGGAACCCTAATCGTGCTGAAGTGTCCCTACCCATGGCGAGTGGAGGAGCCGTCCATCTATGAGTCAGTGCGAGTTCACACAGCGATACAGACGGGTCGCACAGAAAATGACCTTGTGCCGACTGCACCATCGGTAAGACACCTACTCTGCAGATATGTCAGCAGCTGCAACTGAAATGCTTAAAAGTACCATTGAGTGGCAGAACAAGCCAAAAAAGTGCTGAACTTTTAAGTATGGATGCAGTAATACTTTAACTCTTATTTCAACTATTTGGCTTGTCTCCAAAGTACATCATTGTCAACTGAACTTTTATTGAATGAAAAAGGTACAGAGGCTGCAGCCGCTGCCATGTCACTGTTTATTTGTAGACTCTGGGCTCTATTTTCTTGTCCACCAGTGAGGCGGCGGAGGGTGGCGGGCCCTGCGCAGTTGTATTTTCGTCCGGCGGAGCCTGGCGTACAGCCAGTTTGGTATTTTCGTGGACTGAGGCGCACCGAGGTCCGCCAAGCTAGGCATGGTGGCATGGCAGAGGGAGGTGTCGACAGAATCAGCGGGCACATTGACATTTTCGTGCTCGCCAGTGGCGTATAAAGTGCGCTGAAAGCTCGCCTATTCAAACCTGGTCAGCTTTCAGCGCAGGCGGAGCGAAGCTGGTCTAGTGGTATTTTGGTAGACCGGCGGCGTATCGGCATACGTCACTGATGCCTCACCGGCAGGTTTCCACAGTGTCAGGCACATTTCAGTGCAATAAATAACCATCAACAACCAATATTCTGAGTGCGTTTGGCATTTGGGCACACAACCTGACCGAATCAACACAGCTGAAACCGCATTAAATTAAATTAAATATCTAGTAAATAGACACACATGATGAAGTTAACAATAGATGTAATTCGTCTCCCTCCTTTTCTTTGTTCCTCTTCCTCTTATTTCTCACACAGCTCGACATGGACATGTCTCTGTGTCCTCTCCCTGTCCTGTTGCAGCTGCTGCTGTGGCGGCTGAACAGATGATTTATTTTAGTGATCAGATGAGTTATTTACTTTAAGCCTACATACAAATATTATGATATTCAGTTGTGTGAGCCAAATTTATTTTATATGCCATCATCTGTGAAAGAAAGAGCCAGGCCACGGAGCGCAATGCATCATTACGCACAGATGGTTCCGATTTTAATGCCATTTTTGGAGTTTATGTTGTGATCTGTGTGCACAACCCACCTTTGTCATGTGAGGTTTGAATATATGCAACTTTATGTGATTGTCTTTATTTGTGGAAAAGGGTGTTTGTCTTACCAGTGGCTCCAACATTACACACACCAAATCTATCAGTGCTCATATGAGAGAGTGTGGAGGACGCCCAATACAGCGCTTACAGTGACACTTGTTGAGGAGCTGCCTTCTGTCGCCATAGTGTGCCATTGCTGTCTTCACACATCTCTTGATCTCTTTGACTACTTCACTAAAATTGGAATAATTGGAAAAATTGGGGGATTTAAAGGCAAGGAGAGGAGCTTATGTGATCGGTGAAAACAGGTCTCAGCTGTGTTAAACCCACTCCACGCCCTCTCTCCTCCCTCGCTAAGACTTACGCCGCTGGGAGGAGCTGAGTTAGGGAGGGGGATACTTACACCGGGCTGCACCGCTCACCAAAATACCAAATTGTACCTGGGAACGCCTTGTCGGCGCGGCGGACCTCATTTACGCCGCGCATGCGCCGCATCGCCGGCAAGGCACGAAAAAAGAGCCCTCTGACTTTAAAGCTCAATGTTGGTGCAGTATTTGTTGATGTGAGACTGATTTTAGTAAACTAGAATTAGTCTGTAAAGTTAACATAAAGTGTGTTTTTCCAGCTGGGCACAAAAGAGGGGTATCTGGTGAAACAGGGAGCGATTGTGAAGGTAAGAGAGGAGTGTTCATCTTTGATTTTCGTTTAAGTTTATGAACATCAGGTCCAGTGTTTAAACTCTAAATTAAAACACTTTTCAAACTTTAATTTTCAGAGCTGGAAGCAGAGATGGTTTACGCTTAACAGATATGAACTCAAATACTTTAAAGACAAAATGGTGAGTCAGTTTCAGGACTTCATTCTGGTTTTCTTTTATTGAGTTAGAGACCCTGAGCCGTTGTGACAGCTTTCAGCTTCTCATCAGATGATCATTCGTGGCTGTAAGATTGCACTGTGTAAGCTGGGAAGCGTCTCTGTTTCAGTGTGAGGAGCCCATCCGAACCCTGGACCTGAAAGCCTGCTCTGCTGTCCAGTTTGACTACTCACAGGACAGAGTCAACTGTTTCTGGTGAGAAATAGTTAGAGAGCGCATTATAGTAGATTTAGACGGCGGTGGACGGGTGAGGGTGAATATTATCACGACTGCGAGATCAAACACAGGTCTTTTGTGATAAATGTGTATAGTTTTTACATGGGTTTTCAACAAAAACAATTTTAAATTTTGATACATTGAAATTATACATTTAATCAATCAAAAAAATCTGTTTGGGCCTGGAAGGAATGTGCAGCTTTTGCTTACACTAAACCTGCACAAATAAGAAGAAAGGATATCATCTAATGCACTGAGTGCATGCAAAGGGTTGCATGTGCAACAAACTTTCTGCGGAGCCTAAAGCATCACTGTGGTCCTGTGTTTGCATGTATTTAAATAAGGTGTTATGCATTCATCTGGGGCAAAGCAGACTCCTTTTCAGTCCAAATGAGCCTTCAGTACAAAACAGTTGTAGCCACACACACCCACACAAACAGCCATGCACAGTTCAAGGGATATTTTTTCTCCCTGCTGAAACTTGGTGATGACTGTATGGAGGAATTCAAAGTGAAGTTATGTACAAACTTTTCAGTGCTGAAAAAAAACACTCAAGGAAGTAAGCTCAATATATTCCAGGAAATTTTTGTCACATCTGTCATGAAAAACTAGTAAGACATGTCCCCGCTCCGTTCTGCTCACCGTCTGTGTGTGGACAGATGTGAGCTGCTTGAGAATGAGAGGCATGATCAAGTTTTACTCAGCAGTGAGAAGATGCTTACAGCTCATCTCCACAATCAGACACAACACAAAAGCAAACTGTGCAATTCACAGCTATGTGGAGAGTTTTTTTTTTTTTTTTTTTTTTTACGAGTGCATGGAGTCAAAACAGCATTATGCAAGCAATGGTCCTCTGCAGACTGTAAAAAGGAAATATTAGGATTTCATTAAAGAATAGGTAGCATTGATTTGTCCCTTGTCTTCTGTTTAAGTATTATCGGGACAAACAACAGAATAGCTAATAACAACAGAGTTTCCTGTGTGTTACATGTTAGAAATCAGGACGCACTGAACAAAAAAAGCAAACTGTGCAATTCACAGCTATGTGGAGAGTTTTTTTTTTTTCAAATCTTTCACAACACTGCAGTGGGTGTTTGGCATGTGTGTACTTCCCCACTGCAATGAAACGTGACTTTTGTGATTTGTGATAAAGGAGAAGTCAGATTGGTGAAACAGAAGAAGGAAACAGGAGGGTGAGAAGTTTCCGTGGCTTAAAAGAGGTCACAGCCACCAACGAGCTGAAAACTTTCACACACTAGGCTGTAATCATGTTTGTTTCTGATTTTAAAGTAGGCATTTCAACATGTGGTCTTTTGCAGCAAGCTTCATGTTAACTCTGCATTTGAATTTTTGCACTTCTTTACTGTCTTCATGTTTTGACTCCAGAAGTTGTTGTGTGGTTACAGCCCACGTTGAATGCCCTTGATTCTGTCAAGGGTTTAGTGCCTGAAATGTAGCTGGTGTGTAAAATACAAGCAATTTTCAGTCATCTTGCTTTTTGTTTTGATTTGTATTTGACCTAAAGTGACCTTTTTTTAATGGAGAGAATCTATGATATGGACTTGTCCTCAGAGACTTCACTCATTGGTTCCTGGAGAGGCTTTTTGAAGTCTTTCAGTGGTGGATGCATTATTGCAAATGCTGCCAATGCAAACTTGCCCCAGTTCCCTGTCTATCTGAAAGAGCTGAGACCAAAGCCAGGCCACCTGGAAAACAGCTGAAGTGCATTGACTCAGTCAACTCAATCAAGCCCCCAACTAAGATAAGATGTTCCTTTAATAGTCCCACAGGGGGAAATTATGCAAATGTATGTATAAGCCTAAACCTCAGAAGAATAAGAATGGCTCTGTCATTTTTTAAGGTTATTTGTGACTTTTCAGACGTTTATTGTACCAGTTAGGACAGTGGACAGAGCAGAAGGTATACCGGAGCTTGTGGACTGCTAGGCTGGCCACATCCAAACGCTGAGTCATTTCAAAGAGGAATCACCACTCGAGTGTGTGTAAATCATTGATTGTACAAAGAATTTATAACGTCCATGATTTTTATGGTGGAAAGAGTGTAATGGCAGAATTAAACAGTTGACTGCCAAATCTACTAAATCTGGATTGTCGCCCTCTGCTGGCCATCATGGAGAATTCAGGTTGAAGTCATTTCTGCTCTGGCTCATATTTTAAACTAGCAGATTGAGTCCTGCAGTGTTGATGATTTCTAAGAAGTTTTCTGGAGAGCGTTTCGATGTTTTATTTGTCATTAACTGGAAATGAAGCTAAATACAGAAAATCTTCTAGTGATCCACAATTTGAAAATGTTTTATTGACAGTTGCTGTAACTCTGTAAGACTTAAACACTAAAAGTGTTCTTAACTTATTTTTCACAGGGCTGAGTCTTAGCGTACAGACACAGGGCTTAAATTTTAAAGAAGTAGATACTGAACTGCTCTGAAGAAGCCTTCCTCCTTCTGGTCCTCTAACTCTGGATATCTCTCTGCATTCACAGTCTGGTGTTTCCTGAGCGGACGTTTTATCTCTGTGCAAAGACAGGGGTGGAAGCAGACGAGTGGATCAAGATCCTGCAGTGGAAACTGGTGAGTTAGCAGCTGAGCACTACGCTGACAGGTCTGACTTATTAACCACAAACTCAAATAGCTGCTTTTCAGCGAACAGTGAATCAAAGGAGGAAAATGCTGTCTATAATATGCTGCACAAGCATTCTAGGACACTGAGGAAATCAGCCTTGCGGAAGATGACCTGGGAGGTTGGGGGAATTTATTGTTGCAACACTTAATGAGTCAGAAATCCTGACAGTGCAACACATCTGAGTCCATATCTGAGGGGATTTCTTTGAAAGACATACAGACATATATAAAATGAGTCTTAAAGGCTCATTTTCAGGTCCTGCAGGTTTTCCCTCCATTCTTTAATCTCCATGTGTAGCTGTGATAGGACTCTTTCAAAGGTCCAGGGGTTTTGTGTTTTGTTGAATATACCGTATGTGATGTTACACTCTCTCTGTCTCCAGTCACAGATCAGGAAAGGTCGATGACTGCTGTGTATGAACCTGGATTGATGTCGTAGCAGAGGACATGTGGACTGGAAGCGCAATACAGAACTGTTTTAAGCTGAGGAAACGACTGCAGCAGGAAAAACACTGACACATTTCTCTGATATGACTCCACTTAGTTTTATGTCGTATTTATTAACACAGAGATTTTGTTATGTCAGCTTTGTTACAGCTGCTCACCGCAGTTCTAAGTACATTCAACTCAAACTGTGAAGTATCCACTCTCTGTTTTCCTCTTTTTTTTAATGTATTTCTGGCCGCAGGGGTGAATTAATCTGAAATGCTATAAATTAATGTCACTGAACCTCATGTCTTGTCTTGTTCATCATTTAAAGCTCCTGTTAGGAACTTTTGGTGTTACATTTGTTGCCCCCTGTGGACAAAACTGTCTTTGCTCATGTTGTCCACCACTTTGGTAGTGATTTTTGTCAAAACTCAAAAAAACCTCACCTTTTTAACTTGTGAGAGTCATATGTATTTTCAGTTATAAATTTCTTAAAAATTGCGGAAACTGGGCTGTTTCTTCAGCTGCAAGGCCAATACTCCCTCACTCCAACTTTAGGCTTTTAACATTTTTATATAAGAATCTTTAATCTTGTCCCAGATTGTCTTCTTTGATTTAAGATATCATTAACAGGCATTGATATGGATCAACTCCCCAAAAGATACTCCCTATAGGAGCTTTAATGTGTGCAAAGTTGACACCAGCTAACACCAGTTTAATAGTCTGTGCAGTGATTATTGAATAGTTTTAGCATTTTGTTTATGAGCGATATCTGCACAAAAACGAATGCAGAAAATTAGAAAACTAACCACCTTACACTCTAATGACCCTACTTTGGCTGAGTCTAAACAACACAGTTCGCCTGCAGCTTTTACAGGTTCACCCAGCAAAGACAGGTGGGCCTGTACCACTGTGGTTTATGCATGTGGACTAACTATCAAACTGTAACTGCTAAGTCACTTCAGTCTGCAATGGCTGATTTCTTTATTTATGTTCTTACAACTGACTGGCACCTGTGTATGCAAACTGTGCATAAATTGTTCTATTTCCTATTATTCCCAAATAAAGTAAATTTTATTAACAGGTTTTAACACAGACTGTTCAGGCAGAATAGAGAGAGTCAGAATCAAAACCCATGTAAAGACCTTTTTTGTTTGGGTCAATAAGAGCAAAAACTATCTTGGAATATATTAAAACAGTGTGAGTTAAAACTTTGAACTTCACAGTATTAAAGCTCTGACTTGCAGCTGTTTGAACCTTGAACTTCACTCAGAGTTTAAACCAGCCCTGTTTGAATGTGAGGAATTTAATAGGCTGCATGAAGCTGTCTAAACTTCCTCTTTCCACCAGATTCTGTTGAACAGGTTTTACCTGTATGGCTGTTACACAAACATAAAACAGCTGCTGTTTCAGCCCACTCCCCCTCCCTCATGTTTTTGTACATTTTCATATTTTTAGATTTCAGGACAAACATTTCCAATATCCCTAACTCACTTGTCTTTTCCCAGTTTCATTTTTATGTTTCGATTGAAAAAAAAAAAAACTTCACCAGCAAAATTGAAGTGTCAAAATGGCAACAAACATCAAACAGGTATGCTGCTAAATCATCTAATACCAAATCTAAGACTTTCATCAAAGTTCATCATTAAAGGTGGATTTATGATTAAGAATGAAGTATTGCGGTCTTTAGAGCTAAAGGAAGGGGTTGTGGTTTTTCATATCAAAAACTCATTATTAGCAAGAAAAAACTGTTGTTTGTTCAATATATCACACAAGACTTAAGCAAGTGCCGCAGGAGACTTGCTCAATTTGTGATGAAACTGGCTGTGGGTACTGCAGACACAGTTCTGACACCTTCCATGTCCACCCAGCAGCACTTTCAGTTTGACTGCTCTGTTGGTGATTTCTATGAACTTCCCTGCAGAATGTGTGTCTTTGGTTGTTGGGGATCAGCTCCACTGTGTTACTCTCTGATAGATAACACTACACAGTGCGAACTCTTTGGTTTTTGCTCAGAACAAAAACAAAAGCAGCTTAAGATGAGTAGGAGCTCCTGGATCTGTTTATTGGCACCAGTAATGAAAACTTAAGTCTTCCCTGGCCTATCAGGACAGTTTCTAAAATTTGGGGTTCTAAATGTCCTGAAATCATCTCCAAATTGTCAGGAGTTCATCGGTGAAAGAGGCTTAAGACATTTTTCTGTAACGCAGCCTATGCAAAACCACTGCAGGTTCACTCTCAGCACTGCATGTACTCCCAATAACGAAGAATTCATGACTACAATGATGGAGCCTGGCAATTAAGCGCTTTATATGTCATAAGGAGGATTTGAAACTCAATTATATATTATTAAATCTAGGTAGCCAATGAAGAGAGGCTAAGACAGGAGAGATGTGCTCCTTTCTTCTGGTTCTAGTCAATACCCAAGCTGCTGCATTTTGGACCAGCTGTAGAGTCCTTAGAGACTTATTGGAGCAGCCTGATAGGAGAGAATTACAATAATCCAGCCCAGAGGTAACAAGAGCATGGACTAGTTTTTCTGCATCACTCTGAGACAGGAGGGGTCTAATTTTTGAGATACTGCGCAGGTGGAAAAAAGCTATCCTAGAGATTTGTTGAATGTGGGAGCAAAAGGACAAATCCTGATCAAATAGAACTCCCAGATTTTGTACAGTGGGGCTGGATGCCAGACTGATGCCATCTAGCGTAGCTATGTTTTTAGAAAATGCCTCTCTAAGGTGTTTAGGACCGAGGACAAGAACTTCAGTTTTGTCTGAGTTGAGCATCAGAAAGTTTTTGGTCATCCAGAGTTTTATATCTTTGAGATAAGCTTCTAGTTTGGTTACCTGATTTGTTTCTTCTAGCTTCATAGATAAGTGTAACTGGGGGTCGTCCGCATAACAGTGGAAATTAATCAAGTACTTCCTCATGATTTTACCCAGAGAAAGCATGTACAAGTGTTGGGTCTAAAACCTGCCCAATTACCTGAAAAACATACAAAGAAGAGAAAGACAATGGAATATACTCGAGGAGAATGGACAGAGATCTTTCTTTTAGTTATCTCAAAACCACTCTAAGGGTTCTTTCTCTGTCCGGCCTCTTTTATTTAGTCCCTGGTTACACAATGTTACTAAAGGGGGGGAAATGGTGCAGCAAAGTAAACATTCTCATAAAGCATAATAATGAACACTTGTGAATATGTGAAGGTCAAGGTGGCATCTAATGAGCTCCTTCTGATAACAGCGGCACCTCAAAAACTTCCCACGATTTACAGTGGAGGATACATCACTCACACACCCCCACCTGCTGATAGGAAAGACACGGTGACAGAAAACTGAAAGAAACATTGTTGTGCTGTGTAGTAAATCTATTGGAGAGAGAAGTTAGGAAACACTCTTATATGATGTATAAAAAGAGGTCAAAACAGTTTATACTTGTAGTCAACTCTTACATAAGAATATGAGGAATAATGATAACTTCTATATACATTTATGCACATTATTCTAACATTTCCCTCCTGTTTATCATTACTTTGCTCAAATTCTCACAATCCCTCTAGTTCAGCCACTTCTCTCGATTTTCAGCTGCGAGTTCATGTTTATAACTACAAAGAATTTACACACGGAGGTACAAGATGTTGCTTTAGTCAGAATTATACTCATCATCTGGATTGGGGCACAGGTCAGGCCATTGAGTGTCATCAAGTCTGTCCTCCTCGTCCTGCTGATGGAGCAGCGGGTACAGCTCCTGCATCTGCTGCTCCACAGGGGACAGCGCTGTGGTGATAAGGCGGTAAAGAAGAGCACAAATACAGAAATACAACAACATCCACACAAGGTCAGAATAGCTGCAAAAACAGCAACAGAGATTAGGACTGAATCTACAAGATTTTTGTATTTTCCAAATACATTCATCCAATCATCCCAAAAGAAGTTATCTATTCCTGAGTGGTCTTTCATTTTGCTGTTAAGCATTTTAGGCCCTCTATGGCTCGAGTGAGGCTGCCATCAGCAGCAGTGTTTTCAGGAATGAACGTTTCTCCAAACATGGCACATACACCTCCTGTTTCTGCGAGCAGCATGTCAAGGGCTATACGGTTTTAGAAAGCCATCAGGGATGTTGCAGATAACTGCGAGTGACCGGCCTAAAAACCAGCCTCAGTCCAATTACCTAGCTTTTGAATGTTGAAATGGATGTAGTCGATTCTGATTTGATCTATATTTTTGTTCATTGTACACCAAGGACAGACGAGAGACTCAAAGCCTGCAGCAACTTGATTTACTAGTTTATACTCATCTGGTACCTCACGAGGAACTATCTATATAAGTCGGGTCTGACTCTGTTTGCTAATTTCTTTTACTCTGGAGTGGCTCAACAAAAGAATAAGACTAACTACAGAGGTTAAATTTGCCACACTGGTCTGGAAAGTTACAACAGTTAGGATTAAAGTCACTAAGGCCCTATTATCAGTCTGCTGTCATCCAGGTACAGCTACAGAAAACACAAACACTTTTGTTGTGGTTAGGAAATTCCTAGTACAGACATAGAAGTTAGACTGATTCTTCATTTTTGCTAGATATTTTTGCATATCTGTACCACATGTTCACTTCAAATTAGTTTTTTTTAAATTATTATTTATTGAGAGGGATTGCGAAGCATTCCACTATATGTTATTCATATCTTTATTAATATTATTCTTCCACCATTTTTTTTAATTAATTTTTTTATTTTGTGATGTACCTTTAATAAACATAAGTATAAGTGTTTATTGACAAAACAAGCATACACAAAATCCCATTGTAAACAGAATAACACAAACGCCTAGTAGCAGTTAAGCTATGGTAAAGTTCTCAGTGTCTTCACCACATGAAGCAACTGTGGTGTCCGTCTGGGTGATTCATACCCCTGCTCACTGTCTCTCAGGTTTCCTCTCTGCACATGGTCGCCTTCAGAACAGCTGAATGTGATTTTTGATTGGTTGTCACGCAGGATGTGAGGACTATTGTTGTTGTCACTTCTCTTTCCTTCCTTAAGTTCATCTGAAGTTGTAAATAATGTTTTCAGTAGGTAAATTAACAGTATCAAGTTTAGCAGAAGTAAGATACTTAACTTCCCCATTTTCCTAAGCTCCTAAGGAATTCAACACCATCTAATCTTCACTGACATTGAGACGAATGCCCACTATAAGGACGCCCCCCTTTGAAGTCAGACTTTCCTAACTAAAACCCATATAGGTTTTTTTGCAATTGGAAAGATGCATTCAACTACTTCTTGGTGCTATTTTTACTGCTGTGGGTGTCATTAGCAGTACCTTTATTTTTTTAATTCCTTCCACTTACTTCAACGTATTAAAAACCATTCAAACTTCAGGAGATTCCAGCTTATATTCAAAATTTTCCTAACATTCTTCCTTTCCAAGATATTCCAGGTTTTCCAACCAATTTTTCTTATTAGAAATACATTACAGAATTTTTAAATTGGCCCTTTTCTCACATTTTCTTTACACAACTTTAAAAGACTTCGACTCCTCTATACATTCAGATTATGATCATTTTAATTTTTCAGTTTTAAATCATTTCATTCTTCATTCAGTATCCAATTTTTTCAAACTAATTCCAACTCAATTAAACCGATTTAAACCTTTCTGAATCTTCAAATCTCATTTCTTTCGCATAATTTTTGAACTTAAACCATTTACAATAGCAGCTTAGCGATGGCAATTTTAGCTGGAGCAATCCATCTCACAATTTCTTCAGAAATAGTATTTTCTAGTTATTATTATTTATTTATTTCATTTACAAAATGAGTTCCATTGTCACTGTAGATTTGTTTTGGAACGCCAAATCAAGAAATTATTTCTCTACGCAGGATTTTTGCTACTGTTAATGCATCTGGATGGGTAACAGGAAATAATTCTATCCATTTAGTGAAAGGATCTATTAACACTGAACGGTATTTCTTTCTCTTATACTGATTTAATTCTATGAAGTCCATGTGTATGGTTTCAAATGATGCATTGGTAGGTGGAAATTTGCCTCTTTTTGGTTTTATACTGTCTTGAGCATTATGTCTACCACAAAC